TGATACGCAAACGCCTGCCGATTCTCTGCTGTGAAAATATCCTGGAGAATCTGAACAACCGAGATTTGTACAATATCTGCTTGGCGGCTGAAGACCAAGCCTCGTGAATAACGATAAATGTATTTCCTGTACTTTATTTATGTTCTTGTATTATTCATCGTTCCATAAAGCACAACAGAGAATTATTTTCTAAAAATACTCCATTGTAATATTATTTGATTGTAGATTTAGCAAAAAATAAATTTAACAACTTGGAAAAAATGGTTCAAAGAAAATTGAACCTACGTATACTTTAGATCCTTTTAACTCAAGTTGTAAAACTAGATATTAAATTTTCACCACACAACATTTCTTTGCAATGTAAACGAAACTTGCTATCTAATTTAATGGCAATCAAAAGCTAATAACAATTTAGAGAATAGAGAAGTAATAATTCTTTTAAAAAAATTGAAATATTCTATTCTATGTATACAAACGTTTATTCAATAAAATAAAATTTTCTCGTGATTCTATCTTCTATTTATTTAACACATATCATATAATAACAGTATCGTGATCACTCCTTGTCTTATTCTGATCTGCAATGGCAGGTATGGCAATCAATGAAATTAAATCAAAATTAAAATAGATTTCTTTTAATTTCATTATAAAATTCAACTCAAAGAGTTAAGTCATTTCAAGTACATCTATAACTACCTGCATAGAATTCATTTCGATTGTACGAATAACACGGCGCAATCGGTGCTCTCTCTGAAAGACACGACAAGTGATTAAAAACACGACTCGAAAGAAAACGCAAAAATCATTACACATAAACTATCACCGGTTAAAATTTCACTTCGATCTAAAATTTTTTTCATTTTCTCTCCAACCTCCTTAAGTCATAAAAGTACTGTTTGAGTGATCCATTGGTTCGATCGCAAAGAATACGAAAATGGCTCATCAAAGCAGCTGTATTTCAGTGTTGAATCAACATTTTGGAATTTCGAAAAATGCAATGGAAAGGGATTCTAAAATGCTACTCAAAAATTCAAAAAAAATTTTTTTGAGTTTGAGGTGTATTCCTCCCCTTAATATGTTTCACATCTTGCAGCTGTTCGGAAACAGCTGATTTTTAAATAAATATATCTACTACCAACATTAATTGAACAGTCTGAACAAAAGGATCCAAGCGTGCAGTTGCTTTTGATTCGTGCGCGCGTATAAAGTAGAATGCCGATGCGTCGATATTTTTTTTTTTTTTACTTCATCTCGAACCTATATATTGTATGATATACGCGGCAATGACTTTTCACGCCACTCAATTCGACCGTCGAAGCGAATAACTGGATGCTGCGCTCAACTCGCTCCCTGCATACCGCTTTTATTTCCTCTCTCTCTTTTTTTTTTGTCCTCCCAATGAAGTACCAATAAAACTTCCATTTCATGCCAAGTCCAATTTATAAACGACGATTCGAATAAGCGCCCGAAAGCCGAGCCATTCTGAGCATCTCTCGAGGGAGAGCGAGGAACGAAAATCGAATTGTAATATTTTTAATAGATCCCAAAAAGTCTCGAGGGAATCTACCAAGTTTGTTAAATAGAGAGGGGCACGATATGCTCGTCGCAGTCACTGGGTCAACAAAGTCGCACGAAGAACTATGTACTCGTCTGCCATTTATTACCTTCTGCTTTGCGCTATAATGCACAACATTATGAGATATTACACGCGCTGTAAATCCGTCTCTGTGCATGGAAAACCGCGAGGGTAGTTTCAAGGTCTGAGAGGCGATATAACCGTGTATACGCGCTGAGCGAGCTAGATATTGCTCGCGCTATGTGTCGTATGCATCGTGGCAGTGCCGGTAAAACTTTGAAATGTCTGTTGCGTTCATTTGCATTAGTATAATATATGAAAGGTTGCGCGCGGTGAGTTTTATTATTATTATTTTTTTTTTTTGTCAAAAGACAAACATATTCATTTTACGATTTTCAATGCGCGTCAAAACGGATGAAAAAACAAATTTTACTCCACAAAGTATACATAATTTTCCGCTGGCACACAACATATTCGGAATATACGAGGTGCGCGAGTTTTTTTTGTTTTTTTTTTTTTCATTCGTCGTAACGAAATTACGAAGCTGCTTCGAATCCGTTATGAATTTATATGCGCGAGCGCTTGCGGTTGGTTTGGGAAAATAAAAAGCGCCATGTAACGGTGAATTTTCAATCGGCAAAAATAAAAAGCACAGATGCCCTCCGACGTGTGTGCAAATACGGCGAAAAAACTTCTTTATTCCCGCGCGAATACAGATTTGGCGTATAAACATCTGCATGTGCAATTGTTTTCCCTTCGATCCATTTATTCGTTTATTTCATTTCATTTTTTTTTACAATCGATGTTTCGATTTTCCGCAACATCTCTTTCGAAAAAAAAAAAATAAAAAAATAAAATAAATAAAAATAGCGTTGTATACAGACGATACTGCCTAATTGCTCAACGATAATACACACGAGACTTGTTTCAGTCGCGCACAAGCCTGTGTAAAGGAGGGTGAAAATTCATCCATTCGTCGACCGGCAAGGAGCAAACTACAGCAAAAGCAACAACAAATTTACTCCAGACTGATAATTACTCGACGATTAAAGTGCACCGAGTGCGCCTTTAGCCCAACGCGAAGCCAATACATGTGTGTGTGTGTGTATTATATGCTACTGTACTGTATACACGGCATGCGCGCCTTCAATTTACTTGTGCCTCGTTGAACAGACAGAAAGAGTGAGAGAGAGAGAGAGAGAGAGAGATAGCGAAAGGCACAAAGAGCCTTTCTTGACACAACTCAGAGTCCGTGCGCATGTGTCTGTATGCGTTTTGTATATAATATGTATCGTGAGCAGCCGAGTGTGCGTTATGCACGCGTGTAAACGATATCGGTACACGCACACGTCAACCGTACACCCGAGCGCTTTTGCAGCCCCTCCGTGTGTTTCGCACTATTATGCATGCCGTTCGCTTGTCGCGTGTGTGTTAACTTGTGTTCGTTCTTATTCGCTTGAAGTCACTCGCACTTGTATCCTTGGAAGGAAATTGCTACTTGCGGGAGTGATTTTCGTGGGACGCGCCACCTGGCGTTTGGTTATGAAATTTTTCGTGAAAATTAAGGAAGGCGCGCGATGATTGATTTTTTTATTTCCACTTCATTCGTGTTCGATTGCGTTCCTGACGATGATCGATCCAACGTATTTGTTCGGAAGACAAATTAAAAACTATTCCCATTCCCGTAAGCGGACCGCTCGTACAGGAAATGGCTCTCGAGATCGCTGCGAACGTCGGCTATAGAGAGATTTCACTGCGTATATCGCGCAAAGATCTCACAGTTGTACCACACACATTCGGTCCGTCATTTTTTGAAGAGATTATTGATTTGACGCTGCCTCTCTACAACCAATCGGAGCTCCTATAAACTGCTCGTGCTATTTAGCCCGTCACTTTTTGAAGAGAGAATATATTGACTTCGACATATAATGATATTGAGGTGGCATCGGTCGGGGGCGCACGATACGGAGCTTTAAAAAACTATCGAAATTTTAATGGTTAGCCAATAACGGATTTACCGTTTCGGAAGGCGATGCGATAACTTTATTTTACCGATGCCGCATTTTTTATGTATATCAAAAAAATTAAAAGCTCGATACCAACTCGATCAACGACGAATTAATGGCATTATATCGAAGTGCGACTATTATAATCGCGATGGAGCGGCTTGGGCGGGTCGAGATCTTTGACACAGATTCCGAGCTATATATAACCAAAAGAAGAGATGACGCGGCGCAACTTCGTTGAGCATATACCTCGGCGCGTTTAATTGCACAAGTTTAAATGAGCATGGCCGTATTATAGTCATCCAAAAGTTTTGCCACTCCAACTTCATAATCCTGCGAGAAAGACGCCTGCTTGCCTGCCTGCACCTAGCTCGTAAAAGTACGTATACACGTCGCTCTACGTGTAACTTCGATTCTCTCAGCACGAGTGTCGCGCGGCAGTCGAGTGCCTTGTACGCCGGCAACGCGCGCCGGGCGAGCCCTGAATCGTATACCGAGTTGTTACCCTCTCGACGTCGATGGCGACGCGGTTGCCTTTAGTCAGGGGCAAGGCAAACATATTATCCTCTTATTTCCCCAGTGACACACACCTATGTACGACTTTATATTAAAATGCCGGTGCCGTGAAGAGATTACAAAATGAGCCAAGCGAAACGAAAAGGGATCGATGACTTCGAGTAATTTAGATCTAAATCAAAGCTCGTCGATGCTGCTTTCTCGACGTATTCGATGCCTATCGGCTAGAACGTTTAGCAGAGCGTGAGCTGATAAAAGTGCGAATATACACTGAACGTATTGCCAAAAACTTGGAATAAGCCATGTTGAGAGAAGTGTCAATTTTTAAAAATTGAAATTGAGGCATGAAGATGAACATCAACTTATCATATGGAAAATGAATGACGCGTGAAAACATTTAGCGAAAGTTTTTTTGACAGTGGAAATTTGTATTTTCGAGCATTGAGGATTTTTATGAAAGAATAAATGAATGAAATTACGTTTGCACGGTTCATTTAAATTCAGAAAGTTTTGAAAAAAGCACAACTTTTCTCACGTTGTTTTCTTTTACAAAGAAATAAATAAAATAAAATTTTTATTAATTATCAATAATTTTGTCATGTTTTGTCGTGACAGTGAAAAATCTTTAGCCACCTTCTCGCTTCCATTCATAAGCTAAAAAACTGCCAATGTTTCGTCTTCGATTTTTCCTTCCAATTGTCGCTTCTGAATCGATCATTCATCATTCCAACTATCGGCTGAACTTTTTCCCCCGAGTATCGACGTTCTATCGTTAAGTTAGCAGAAAATATCTGCCTTGAAACAATAATTATTTCTAAACTTCGCACTCTGATCCTTCAATTGATTTCCACATACGTAAAAGATTGAATAACTGCAATTGTAAATGAAAGTAACAGCAAAAATAAAGTTAATGAAAAGAACTTTATTTTATCAAGTAAAGCTTTGAATCATCATGCTGACTTGCTCACAATCGATTGAGGTACCAACATTTTTTTAGCTCTGTTTAGAATTAAAGACTCGACATTAGTCTTTTACTGATACAATATATCGTACATGGCTTTTTTACACAATTGAATACAAAATTTATACTTTTTTTGATTTGAATCGTGCATGATTCACCATATTAATGTGAAGTTTCTAAAAGATTTTTTTGTAAATATTTTTCTGCATATCTCGTATGCATGTCTGATACCATCGATGAACATTCATGATGGTGGTTAGTCATGAATTGATTCGAAGCGCCTTTTGCAATCACCCTATCGTCTTATCGTTTTTCCTCTATCTACAAGACTTTATCATGTACCGAATCAATGTGCCTGTTGAGATTTTTCTTATATAAGAATTTCTTTCATCAAATATCACATTCATGAGTAATTCTGTCATGTACCGAATTGATGTGGCGTATGAGAATACTTTTTAGTGAAAATGTCTTGCCGCAAATATCTCATGCACATCTAAGACCATTGTGCTCCACATCGATGTGTGTTTTGAGATCATTCTTATGCGAGTATTTCTTTTCGCAAATATTACATTCATGAATGATTTTATTATGTATCGAATCGATGTGGTTCTTGACATAAATTTTTTGAGTAAAAGACTTTCCGCAAATATCACATGCATGTCTAACACCATTGTGCACTGAATCGATGTGTTTCTTGAGAGTACTCTTATCTGAGTACTTCTTTCCGCAAATGTCACATTCATGAGTAATTCTGTCATGTACCGAATTGATGTGGCGTATGAGAATACTTTTTAGTGAAAATGTCTTGCCGCAAATATCACATGCACATCTAAGACCATTGTGCTCCACATCGATGTGTGTTTTGAGATCATTCTTATGCGAGTATTTCTTTTCGCAAATATTACATTCATGAATGATTTTATTATGTATCGAATCGATGTGGTTCTTGACATAACTTTTTTGAGTAAAAGACTTTCCGCAAATATGACATTCATGAATGATTTTATTATGTACCGAATTGATATGGCGTTTGAGAACATCCAGTCGTGCAAATGTCTTACCACATGTCTTACAAATAGGGGCCATAGCATTGTGCGCCACATCAATGTGTGTTTTGAGATCACTCTTTTGTGAGTATATCTTTCCGCAAATATCACATTCATGTGTGATTTTATCATGTACCGTTTCGATGTGGCGTTTGAGAGCATCCAGTCGTGCAAATGTCTTACCACATGTCTTACAAATAGGGGCAATACCATTGTGCGCCGCATCAATGTGTGTTTTGAGGTCACTCTTTCGTGAGTATTTCTTTCCGCAAATATCACATTCATGAATGATTTTATTATGGGCCGAATTGATATGGCGTTTGAGAACATCTAGTCGTGTAAATGTCTTACCACATGTCTTACAAATAGGGGCAATACCATTGTGCGCCGCATCAATGTGTGTTTTGAGGTCACTCTTTCGTGAGTATTTCTTTCCGCAAATATCACATTCATGAATGATTTTATTATGCACCGCGTCGATATGTTTTTTCAGATTACCATTATTTGAGAAATTCTTTTTGCACATATCACAAGTATGAGTGATTTTATCATGTACCGAATTGATATGGCGTTTGAGAACATAAAGTCGTGCAAAAGTCTTACCACATGTCTTACAGGGATGGGTGGTATCATTATGTACCTTTTCGGTTCTTATTTCGAGTCCATCTTTTAACTTTACGCTGTTGTTCATTTTTTCATTTCTCCCGTTGAGTTCATAATCAAAATTCAAATTCACTTCTTTTTTCACTTCCGCCACAGTTTCCTCTTTAATTTTATTTTCATTCTGATAATCCTTGCTATATTTCGTAAGCTGTAAGTAATTTCGAGAATAATCTTCGGATTTTTTATGTACTAATGAAACCATAGTGAGCTTGACGTCTACACACTCGAATTCAATCTCCATTTCGTCATTTTTATCAACTTCTTGATCTTCGTCATATTCCCGAAGTTTGTGAGCCTGTGAATAAAATTCAAATTTTGTAAAAATCATTAATGAAAAATGCTCATATTAGTCACGTATAATTGTAAACAATTACTGGATTTTCCAACGAAAATGGTAAAAGTTGGATGTTTTTAACATCGGGTTTCTCGTCAATCATTTCACATTCATTTTCAAGAAATGAGACATCAATCGTTTCCTCCTTCACTCTGAAATGGATCCAGTAAAAATAAGTATTTAGCCAAGTTTTTTTTTAATTCATACTCATAAAACAATAATTACCTCACAGCACAATTAAGCATATCACTCGATTCCATTTTGCTCTGTTGAAATCTCGCTAACGACTAATATTTCTGTACCTTGTAACGATCTATCGTGAATTTATTTATATTTAGAAATCATGAATTGAGAATTTGAATACACTTAATCGAGCAAGTCATCGTTATAAACAGATATTCGAATTAAACGAAAACTCTGTAAATGGGCGTCTGTTTTCAATTTTTCACTTACCAAAATAATTAATGCCACCTTGACCTTTATGTTTTTTTCATTGATTGGGTACTCGCTCAACAAATTTTCAAAATGATGGTCGTAAATTTCATGAAAGTACCTGGACAATATTCATTTGAGATCACTAAAAGATGAATTATCATAATTCGAATTTCCAGATATATCTAAATTTGTATATGAATACAAGTATTCACAATTGCAAATTAGAATTTGTTTTGTGCAAGCATGAGCCGTTCAGAGAGCTCGTAAGTCACAAAAAAGTACACACAGAGTAATTTCCTCGTCAAAACCAAATTTAGAGTTTTAATGCGCAAAAGTTTTAATAAGTAAAAATAATCTTTTCTTGAATTTCGATTGCAACATAGTTGATGCGTACATGTGGGTCCAGGTAAAATTTTGCGTTTCAATTTATCATCACATACAATATTTTTCGTGATGACACTATCCATACGTATAATGCATAATAAAAATTGACCTCGCGACATTCTAACTTCCATTATATTACACGCCGAGCGAATTATAAAGTAGTGGTATAGTGTGTCGCTGCGAAAAGAGCAAGTAGCGCGACGAGCTGCAGTTACACGATGCCTCGTGCGCGCGACGCTCATTAGCTCGCAATTGTGCGTCGTCGCGTCGTCGTCGTCGTCGTCGTCGTCGCATATAGATACGGGAGAACTGCGACGCGACGCGTACACGAGAGCGAACACCGACGTGTATCCCCCCGCGCATTACGCGCATGTCATACTATGCGAAGTGGAAACTTTAGCCGAGCAGCGCGCGTAGTTTTTGATAATGTAGCATATACGCGTGTAATAAGCGATGCTTTACTATAGGTATATGATACATATATACGCCGTGCACGCAGTAGCTGCAAAGAAAATTACAAGCCGACGGTGTGTAATGCACGAAAGCCGAGAGCTCGACTCTTCCTCTTTCTCTCGCGCGCAGCATCCAGGCCGTATTACACGATGCTGGAAGTAACGCGTATTTGTACCCCGACGGAAAAAAAATCGTTCAAGAAAAAGTAAAAGTAGTAACTAAAACCATCGTATTAAATCGTAAAATGTAATAAAATGTAAAAAAATGCAAAATTACCAGCGATTTCGGATAGCCAATGCATTAAAAAAGGCAGCATAAAATCACATTTTTTTACACTTTTTTACATTTTCTTCGATATTCTATCCGCGTTTGATCGCATCAACCGCAGCAAGTGATTTTCGCGAAAAAAATGTATTGATTTTTATGAATAAATTAAGACAAATTATGATAGATATGTATATGAACGAAATTCAGTCATCTCAGTACTGCTCAGTACATCTTATGCTGATGTTATAAGGCTTTTTGCTGCATTAAAGTAAGTTTTCTTTCACGAAAATCACTTGCTGCGGTCAATTCGGGCTTGACTGGAATTTTAAACTCTTTTTTACTTTTTTACTTTTTCCATGTAACTTTAATGAGCTTGAATTCATAGGGTTTTCATTTCTCTAATTATAGGTAAACAAATGTAATAAACTGTTGTAGTAAAAAGTAAAAAAGTGTAGAAAAACGTATCACATGTCCGAAATCGTTTGTAATCTTACATTTCTTTTACACTTTTTCACTTTTTATTAAAAATCACAACATTATTATGCACGTTATTAAAAAAAAAAATTTCCGTTGGGGTATAAGAAAGTTTTTTGTGCGCGTGCAGCGGGAGTCGACAATTTGTGCAGTTGTGTTCGACGCGTATTTCGATAAATATATAAACTTGGATCGAACTCGAGTCATCGTCGTCGTTACTTGAAAAGCTGCGCGTGTGTGTGTGCGTGGGTGCTGTGCAGCTTGTATCGTCATTATCACAACACGACTGCTCGGCTGCGAAGGTGGGGATGATATTGTAACGATGTATGAAGAGGAAAATAGGTAACTTTGATGACTTTGATAAATTTGACACAAATCGTTATTTATGAATCGTTACGTCATCGAGCAGAGCTACACGATCGTAATTGATCTCGCGAGCGAAGTAGCCTGACTGTTGCAGTGCCTTCGCGCTCGCAGTCTGCCGCGTGCACGCGATCGTCGCGATGCTGCTTTTGCTCGGCGCGATTCTCGCGCTCACCTGTCTCTACTGGTATCTCACGCGCACCCACGACCACTGGGCCAAGCAGAAGAACGTGCCGACGCTGCCTGGCTGCTGGCCCGGAGTGGGCCACATGCTGCCGAGTCTGCTGATGCGCGAGAGCCTCGACTATCTCGCGGATCGGGCCTATCGCGAGGCTCCGGGGCAGGACGCCAGCGCCGTGGGCATCTACTTCATGCGCAAGCCCATGCTGGTGCTGCGCCACCCGGATCTCGTCAAGCAGGTGCTACAGTCGGACTTTGCCAGTTTCCATTACAACGGCCGCCAGATCAATCCGAAGGCCGACGCGATACTAGCCAAGAATCCGTTCTTTATTCACGATATGCAGGCCTGGCGGGAGAGTCGCGCCCGGGTCGTCGGCCATCTGTCCGGCAAGAAGTTGAGCTGCCTGTTCGCGATCGCTCGGAACGTGTGCGAGAAGATGACGGCTTTCATCGAGCGGCGACTCGCCGAGTCCAAGGTGCAAGAGTACGAGGCCGAACTGAAGAAACTGTTCGTGCGCTACACCGGCGAGATGGTGGCCAACTCGGCCTTCGAGGTCGAGGGTCGCTGCTTCGCGGACGAGCGAGAGCCCGGCTCGTTTCACGCGGTGGCCGAGGGCCTCTTCGAGCCCAGCTTGGCCAACGTCGTCAAGCAGGCCGTGGTGTTCTTTCTGCCCGAGCTCGCGGGCTTCGCCGACGTGCGCTTCCTGCCCCGGAGCGCCGAGGACTTTTTCCGCGAGACGCTGCTGAGCATACTGAGGCATCGCCGGGAGCAGCCAGCTCGAAAACCCGACGACTTTTTGCAATTCGTCCTGGACACCAACGACGAGGACGACATCGAGAGCATCGTGGCCGACCTGCTGATCTATCACACGGACGTGTACGAGACGTCGAGCCTGACCCTGGCCTTCTTCGTCTATCAGCTCGCGCGCAACCCGGAGGAGCAGGCCAAGATTCGGCGGCACGTGCGCGACGCGAGCGGCGGCCAACCGATCACCTACGAGTCGCTCAAGGCCATGGGCTACCTCGAGCAGGCCGTGTACGAGTCGCTGCGGCTGATCGCGCCGACGCCGGCGCTGTACAAGCGCTGCAGCCGCGAGACGACTCTGCGGGGCGAGGACGGCGCCGAGCTGTGCCGACTGCGCCCGGGCGACGGCGTCCTGATACCCGTGCAGGCGCTGCAGAACGACTCCCGTTACTGGTCGGAGCCCGAGGCCTTTCGGCCCGATCGATTCGGCCCCGAGCAGCAGCTCGCGGGCGAGCGCAACAGGTATCAGATGTTCCTGGCGTTCGGCGAGGGGCCGCGCATGTGCGTGGGCATGCGGCTCGGACTGATGCTGGTGAAGCTCGCCGCGGCCCAGCTACTGCTGAGATATCGCTTGGCGCCGTCGGCAAAGTCACCCTGGCCCCTGGAGATGGATCGCACGTCGTTTCTGGCCTACGCCAAGGGCGGCGTTTGGGCGACGTTCCGAAGATTGGAGGAGGAGGAGGAGGAGGCCGCTTGATCGCCGACGTCGACGCGATTTTGTCGAGACGCAATGACGCAATCGAAGTCGCGAATGTAAACACCGATCATGCAAATTGTACCCGAGCTTTTACGTAATTCGAATGGCAGGATTAATTAATAATTTATTAAACGTACGGATTTATGATGAATTCGACTGAAAGCCGTGTATTGTTGAGTGCTTCCGTCGTTGATTATTACATAATTCATGTGGCAATGATCAAGTCCGTGCTGCAGTGCAAAAATCGTACATCACTCATCGTGATAAAAGTACAATTGATACGTGAAAAATAGAAACGAGATGTGTACTTTTAGATTTTACTTTTTATAGAATTCATTGTTTTTCAATAAAATCACAGATATGTAATTTCTGTAAACGATTATGGACTATTTATTGTTATCTCGATTATGTTACAATACCAATCATGTGTCTGAATATAATTTTAAAAATGACGATGCGAGGCTCGGCGCGCGCAGGCATAATAAATAAATTGCTCGCTGTCAGTTCTCTCAGCGTATATCAGCGTACGGTCGAAACTAGTAATGTATGCAACTGATCACAAGTGCCTTAATAAGTCGTCATGAATCTGCATGAGGAATGGAAAAAACAAGATTCGCAAGATCGACATACATATATACGTACACTTCGAGACCGTCGAGTGCTCCAGTCTATGTATACACTTCGAAAATAAAACCGAGTAATGTACGTGTGTAAACACGACACTCTTCGTTTCTATGTGGAGCTTTTGGTTCTAGTTACAGAAACATGTTGAAATATTTTTTGTGCACACTCACAGGCGCGCGCGCGCGTGTGTAACATCAAAAAAGTGCAACTGGCAAGCAGTATTATACAGTCGAACACCCACGCACAGGCGTTCGGCTTAGAAAAAAAAAACCAGGTGGGAAAAAACGGCGCGCGTGAGTCGAGCGCAATTCAAAGAATCTCTCTGTTTGCCGTGTGCAAAACACACCCATACGTGCTGGAATTGCGCGGCGTGCATCCGCGGATTAGCTATCGATGTTAAAAGTATTTACATTAGAATTTCCAGATCGATGAAATGTCGCGGGGGTGAAGGCGCCGTTCGACTTCGGTAGCTGCTTTAACAAAATGAAATGAGATAATTTTCATATCCTTTTAAAAGCTGCGGTTATATTATACAATTATCTTCACTTTACCACTTGCAGATTTACAAATAAAGGTACTCGCCATCTAGTGGTGAAGGCTGGCCTTAACTTTGATTGAATTTTATACAATTTTGGAACTATTCAAGCAAAACCCAAGTCATTATTGAAAAATTAATTCTCAATCAATATATGTTCTTTCACTTTTTATAGAACACGTGAAAAAAATAAATAAATCATCAATGATACATTAACTCTAAACGAAGACATTAACTTTAATTTCAATATCTGATTTTACATTAAATTTGGAAAAGGATCTACTCATGGTTTATATCACCAACAGGTCAGAAATAAAATGTTTGTATAGGTTCGACAGAAATATTAGAATATTACAATGTACACAAGTCTCTCACGCGCACTTATTATACTGAAATAAACGGTGACAGTCTAATAAGATTCATAAAGTATTTTTTTCCAGTCAAGCTAATTCGAATTTACACACACACTCACTCACACACACACATATATACATATCGTTGTGCCATAAATTTCGATTTTATCTTTCTGGCCTATGAGTCAAGCTTCGTTTGATCAAGATTTCATCTATTTCTCTTTCCTTTTTTCTTCCCTTTTGTTTTTCGATCAGTCCTTTTCACAGATAGCTTCGTCTATATCGCCATCGAGCCGTGCGCATCGAATAATAATACATGGACGCGATAGTTCCTCCGCAAGCCGATGTATGCAAGCTTTGATAGATGAAAATTCTCGATTCGCTTCGACGCCGCTTGGCTGGCTTATACGAACATTGCATCCTTTTTTTTTCTCTGCCTTTGATAGGATATATACACTCTAATTATCGTACAGATGCTCGAGTTTGATATTCAGGATAGCGAATATAGGAGTGGGTCCGCGAGAATATAATCACGCGTGACTCGCTCGAAGCACCAGGTCATAATGTTTTGAAACTCAGATTGACAATTATGAGTGAAAAAAACAAGTCTTTCGATAACCGCGAAATTTATTATTTTCTTAACACGTTATACGTTATGAGTTTATGAGTAATGAACAATACGTCAGGCTGATTTTCATAGTTTGATGCTAACGTTTGAATATTATCCTGAAATTATTCGGCAAATTTGCAATTGGTTTAAATTTTTAATCGATCTATGACAAACATTGAATTCAATCGAGGCGAGCAGGCAAGTAGAATCCAAAGTAAATTTAACTTTACTATAATTTTTACCAATGATATTATTATTTATTGAACAATTGTATTAAAAACTTGTCAGTGTGGTTAATACAGTTTGCAAAAGAAAATTTAAGTTTGCCTAAATACTCATCATATATTTTCACGGGTTTGAATCATTCTATTGTAAAAGTTTTAGTTGGCTAACATTTTGAAATAAGAGAATGTCAGTTCGTCGAATACCAACGGAATTCATTCGATTTCAATAATATCATAGCTGAGAAATCGATCATTGTGTACAATGTGATATTACCATACAATAATAAAAGTAACAATTTGTCGAGCCTTGCGTTATACTAGCCCTGTGCGAGAGCCACGTGATACGAATCTCTTCGAGAGGGGCAAAAACACACAGGAACAGCCCATAAACGCGCGCGACTCTTTTCCCGCAAATAATACGTACACTCTATCGTGGTGCTCTGCCCGGCCAACTGTCACTGGGACTCTTGCTATTTTTTTTTGCAAAGTGTAAACTACTTATATAATTTTCTTGACTCACGCGTCAAAATGCGCTTGAAATATGTGACTTCCGATTGGGAACATGAAGGCGAAGTAGAAGTCTATAGAACAATGACGATCTCTGATCTGAAAATGAGAGTTGCACGGCAGATAAACCGGAACCTAATAGGTATACCGGCAACTAGAATTATACTCACTATTAATCATGAGCTTTATAAAGACCATGAGCTACTTAAGAATTGCAACATCAAATCTGACGACGAAATTAGGGTAATATGATCGGTCAATTTTATTTATTTCATTTTCTAAAGCATCTTGACTGCGAGTTTTGACATATTTCTCATTTTTTGTGTATAGGTGATCATTAAACCCGTTGGAAAACAATTAGAATTTAAAAAAATGGGTTCAATTAAAGGAATTGAAGAAGGTGCGCTATTTTGGGATAGAGCGCACTTAGCTGCCTGTAAAGTTCACACACCTACGCAACCAGGAATATCTGGAGACTCATTACAGGGTGCTAATTCGGTTGTTTTGTCTGGTGGATATGAGTATGATTGTGACTTTAGAAATGTAATCTTTTACACCGGCTCCGGTGGTAGAACATCTGGAGAACAAACTGAAAATCAAACTTTGACCAGAGGTAACAAAGCATTGGCTATGAACTGTAAGGCTCCGTACAAAATCTGCGGACGAATAATATCTTCGGACTATCGCAAAGGCGTTCCCATCAGAGTTGTTCGACAAGTCAAGTTACCTCACACAAAGCCTAATAAATCGGTGAACTTGTATAGCTACGATGGTATTTACAGAGTCTATGGATACTGGCCTTTCTGGGGGACGTTTATAACACCTGCCTTTGAAATTCGCAGATTTATCTTATGGCACTTTTGTTTAGTAAAAGATGGTGTGGATCAAAATGAGGTAATAACAATAAAAAACGCAAAGCTAACTTTAAATTATAGTAATGATATATGTCAGCGCGTGCGAGTAAAAAGAAAGAGGCTACGAGTTTCAAAATGATTTCACGACTTTTTTCTTCAATTTATATACCTCGAGCGTATAAGAATCGATATGTAATAATAGTAACGATGCATTGATCATTCTTAATTTGTTTCATTAATCGCAACTTTGTTTTCTCTTTGTTACAGATAGATTACCATATTCGTTGGTATGATACCCAATTTGTAATTTGTATGCATGGGCGATGAGGCCCAAAGCCTAATTTTAATGGACAAGTTTTTCTTTATCTTTTAATCAATTTTAACGGACATCAATACACTTTTCAGCATTTTAATAAGTAACACGTTCGATGAAATACTTTATACAATAATTATTATTAGGACGTATTTGTAACGAAAAACTCGATTTGTAAATAATTATCAAATAACGCATACACCATAACAGTGTTTTTTATTTTATAGTATCAGTTTTATGTTTCGTTTTTCGTCCACCTCCCAAAAATCTATATCCGCTGAAGCTCTCGGTCAGATTCGTTCGCGCGTTTAGATTTTGATCATCGTTATTAAATAATATTATTTTTGACGTACACATCGTTGAGCCATAAATTTCGATGTTATCTCCCTGGCTTATGTGAGTCAAGCTTCGTTGAATCGATTGATTCCATATATTTCTCTTTATTTTTTCCTTTCTTTTTGTTTTCAGGCTAGCCCTTTCCCCCGATAACTTCGTCTACATCGCGATGTATACAAGCTTTGATAGATGAAAATTCCTGATTCGCTTATACGAATATTGCATATTTTTTTTCTTTCCATAATTGATTTTAATTCGTGCGTTGGATATACAGTATAATTTATCGTACAGAGTCTGATTTTCAGGACAGCCGCGTTATTGAAGGTTATCATACACATCTGGCCCTTTCAATTTACCGAGACTACGGTTTTCAGTTAAAGAAAACATCAAATGCTCGCTGACAAAAAGAAGAACAAGCCCTCAAAGCTTTTTATATCCCAAAGCTTCGTTCAAAAAAAATCTCCTTCGGATCGTCTCGAGCTCGAAATCAGAGATACACATTATTTTTTCGATACGTACGTTACAGACCTTATATATACACCGCATCCGCGTACGCTGCACGCCACGAGAAATATATATACGAGAGAAATCGCTGGAGTATATCGAGTTCAAAGAGAGATACCTCCTCCGCCCCGTATATAGAGAGCGCAAGCTCTGGTCGCTCTTCTCGGGGTTAAGGTCGTGCGAGCAGTCAAGAGACAACGGTACAAACTTTTTTTGCGGTCGAAATCGAAACGGACACACGATCGCGAAGAAGCTGCGCTACTGTCCGACACGGGCTTCGACGCCTACATAATATACAGCGCGCAACGACGAGAGAAAGAGGAGGACAGTGGGAGCGTTGCTTTCATATAATGATACTAAATAATGCAATCGAGTCACGTCTCGTAACGAGAAATTGGCCGAGTGTATATATATTGTGTACACGCTGCGGCACCGCAACTATGTGTAAGATCGTCGTGTCCTCCGCTGATTAACTTTTCGTCCTCGAGGCCAACGACGAAGTATAATCTCGTGATTCTCAACTGCTGCTGCTTCGAATTAAAAATCGAGACTCGACGCAAATTCTTGGCTTATATTTACAATAATGAAATTCTAATAGCCAAGCTATTTGCTAGTAGAGATGACAATAACAATCATCTCGGAAAAGTCTCTTACGAACTGAATCATCCTTTTCCTACATAACAATACGATAATTGCTCAAACGAATTCAAGGTTACCTTTTTCGGAAATTGATTAATTCCAAAAATTTATACATATCGACGCTCGTGCCTGTTTCCTCGTTCTCGATAACGACGCGGACACTGCGCGTCTAGGATATCACGCGCCGTGCATTAAATATAGCTTCGTCCATTCGCACGATCTCTCCGTCGTGGCGCTCATTATTATTTGAATAATGCAGCGAGATTGGAAATGCGGCACCTTTAAGCTCCCTCCTCGTTTTCTTCCCTCCCTATATACAAACGACCCGAAGATATCGACCAGATGTAAAGTTAGTTACATACCGGGCTCTGCGGAGAAAATTTATACACGTCGAGTCGGTGTATACTCGCGCGTAAGTATATAGTATCGTGCGTGACACGCGTATACGTGCGAGAGGGGTGACGATGCATAAAAAAAAAAATTACGCTCGATGTCGAGAGAGAAATAATAAAAAAACAACTTCCGCGCTTGGTATATTTATATATAACGTCACGCGAGACAACAAAAAAAAAAAAAAAAAATCTCCGAGCAATTAGTGGGCACTCTCGTCGTGTGCTCTTTGTCCGTGCGTCGCGAAACTCGATTACGACCAAGACGAATTTGAATAATTAATTTTACACGTTTCGCGCCGATCTGCCGACCTCCGGATTCCATCTGTGTGTCTCCTCTCTGTCTCTCTCTCGCGGGGTCAATTAAACGAAGTTACGGATTAAGCGGAGATTTGCACACACACACACACTCACCGAAAAAAGGGAATAAAGTCGAATATCACGACGCGACAGGCAGCAGTAGCAGCAGCTCCAGCAATTTGCATGCCAACGAGATGTGTCAAAACGTTAAACGTCGAGGAATTTTCCCGTAGTACCGAGCTCATCCGAGCCTTTATATCGCCGTGTAAACGAGTTCGTGCGTCGCGTATACGCTGCACCGTGACAATTATAATATACCATTTATTTAAGCTACGAGCAGCGTCGGTTCGAAAGCTAATTCGTCGTGGTAAAAACTCACAGCCCTTGCAGCAAAAAAATCGCTGCGAAATTGCAGTACGAGGTCCTCGGTAAATACATCCCACTATATACATGTGTATAGAAGACACAGCAGTATAGTCGAACTTACCGTTACAGCAGCGGCGAGGGGGGTCGAACGGCGCAAGCTCCAGCTGCACAGCTGCACTCGCGATCCGTGTATATATGTATGTATACACACGATCCTTTTCTTTGGAAGCGAATTGGATTCAAAAAATTGTACGAACGAAGAAACGAGGAAATCTTCGGCCGCGCTGACTCCGAACTTCGACGAACTCACTCACACGCACTGCGACACTGATATCACGTAAGGAAGGAAATTACCCGTTTTTTTTTGGCCATCGATCACGACGACGATTCGAGTAAACAACAACGGCCGCACTGCGTTACGCGCACGTATCGTGGAATATATACTCGGATGCAGCAGGCCACCTTATAGCTACTATACACCTATATACAGCAACGATTGATGCAATTTGCAGTGCAGAGATGTGCGCGCACGGGGGAAAACGATTGTGTCAATTTTCTTTCTTTCTTGTATAGCGCGCACACACACGCACACAAAAACGCGGGCACTCCGCACCGTAAACACACACACACACACACACGCGTATACGCGATAAACGTGCGGCAGGAAAAAAGCTGCACACGACGGATTCCGCGACGAGCAAAAATATCAGCTGCAGCTGTACTGCGAAAAGCCCAGCGTGGCTGTTTCGTGTTCCGTGGTCGCGATGTTAAAGGTTAAAGCCGAAAAAGCTCCCTCGTAGCGTGTGCTTGTATTATATACTGGCCAGGAGGGAGAGAAAAAGACGGAGAGAACACAACGAGGTTCTGTTGGTGGTGGTGGTGGTGGTAGATGAGTATCCCAACGTCCGCATAGGATCTACAACGTTAGCGCAGGGGTTGCTCGTGTATGTGTGTGTGCGAGAGAAGCAACGAGGGCGCTGCTCTGCCTTTCCACATACACCCGTACACGAGTACGAAGATCCTATATACACTTATACATGCACACATATATAAACGAGCGAGTGGCGCCTCGCGGGCGGCAAGCTCGACACAAAGAGAGCCCCCTTTTGCCTCCCGTATATATATATATATATATACGTGTGTATACAACAGCTCCAACGGGCTTATATATGCGAGTGTGCGAGAGGTAGAAAAGGTCAAACGTATGTGTACGAAGGGGGTATAGCCGATATCATATATATACGTATATATGTATTTCGTTCGCGATCCCTCTCCTGTAGGCGGCCACGCGCCAGGACGTGGCGCCACTGAACGACGTCTCAGTACTTGTGTGTGTGTGCACACTCCACTTTTCTCCCTCCCATGTATTATTTGGTATGTTATACCTATATACAGGACCCCTGGCAGGGCTGTAGTTTCGAACTTTCAGCACCCCTCTTTGTACGATTTCGTATATATGTCATGTGTGGGCGCGCGTGGGTACATAATTTCTATGGTACGAATTTCCATCGTTCGATTTTCGTTTGTGAGACGCGCGAGTGTAATATGCAAAAATTAGCCAAACGACGTGACGATTTATGCTGTACGTATAAAAGAACGATATCGAAATACCCTCTTTATCTTATCGTTCGCGATTGCTGAGATTATGGCGCAGAGACAACGTTTTTGTTAAGATCGACGTACAAGATGGATGAATCATACACGGAGGAATTTTTACTCGTCGGTTTTATTATAAAGAACAAAATAGCGTAAACAGTCTTGGAAACGATTCGGTACCCGGAGATGTGTGAGTCGCGAAAACAAGCTTGTATAGGATTTTAGGGTGAGCGATGCGCGCTGAAACGTAACTAACATTGTAAAATTCATAATTAACTTGAAGGATTGGTCAGTTATTAGCTTACGATTATGCTTCATTTTTCTGCAAACATTTATTAACTTTTATTTCGACGTAAACATTGTTTTTACATATTGAGATAACATTTGAGAAAATTTTGATATTATTATAAATTAGATTTTTTTTGTGTTTTCGAGTATGTGTGACACCGTTAATTGGGCTATGTGTCTATGTGGATTTTGAGAGTACTCTTGACTGAAAATTTCTTTCCGCATTTATCGGTCGGATGTGCGACGCAATTATGCATTATATCCATATGGACTACGAAATTACCCTTAGGTTGAGAACTTCCTTCCACATACATCACATGTATACCCGATACCATCATCCACTGCATCAATGTATTTTTTTATAAAATCCTTATTTGAAAATTTCTTTCTGCATATGTTCTAATACCATCAATGAACATTTATGATGGTTCTTTATGAATTTATTGGAAGTGCCTTTTGAAATCACCCGATCGTCTGATCGTCTTACACTACTTTATCATGTACCGAATCAATGTGCTTTTTGAGATTTCTCTTATGTAAGAATTTCTTTCCGCAAATATCACATTCATGAATGATTTTATCATGTACCGAATCGATGTGGCGTTTGAGAACATCTAATCGTGCAAATGTCTTACCACATGTCTTACAAATAGGGGCAATACCATGCGCATTGTGCACCGAATCGATGTGTTTCTTGAGATTACTCTTGTCTGAGAAACTCTTTTTGCACATATCACAAGTATGGGTGACACCATTGTGCGCCACATCGATGTGTTTTTTTAGATCACTCTTATCTGAGTATTTCTTTCCGCAAATATGACATTCATGAATGATTTTATTATGTACCGAATTGATATGGCGTTTGAGAATATACAATCGTGCAAATGTCTTATCGCATGTATCACATGCATGCGTGCTACCATTGTGCGCCACATCGATGTGATTTTTGAGATCACCCTTCTGTACGTACTTCTTCCCGCAAATATCACATTCATGAGTGACTTTGTCATGTACCGAATTCATATGGCGTTTCAAAACATCCAGTCGTGCAAATGTCTTACCACATGTCTTACAAATAGGGGCCATACCATTGTGTGCATCAATGTGTGTTTTAAGACTACTTTTTTTTGAAAATGTCTTTCCGCAAATATTACACTCATGTCTAACACCATTGTGCGCTACATCGATGTGTTTCTTGAGATTACTCTTATTTGAGTATTTCTTTCCGCAAATATCACATTCATGAATGATTTTATTATGCACCAAATCGATGTGATTTTTGAGGGTAATCTTATGTGAATATGTCTTTCCACAAATACTACATGCATGAGTGACACCGTTGTGCGCTGCATCAATGTGTCTTTTGAGTTCACTCTTTTGTGAGTATGTCTTTCCGCAAATATCACATTCATGAGTGATTTTGTCATGTACCGAATTGATATGGCGTTTGAGAACATACAGTCGTGCAAATGTCTTACCACATGTCTTACATCTATGGGTGATACCATTGTGCGCCACATCGATGTGTGTTTTGAGGTCACTCTTGGTTGAGTATTTCTTTCCGCAAATATTGCATTCAGGAGTGATTTTGTCATGTACCGAATTGATATGGCGTTTGAGAACACCTGGTCGTGCAAATGTCTTACCACATGTCTTACAGCTATAGATGATACCATTGTGCGCTACATCAATATGTTTCTTGAGATTACTCTTGCCTGAGAACGTAATTTCACAAATATCACATTCATGAATGATTTTATTATGCACCTTATCGATGTGTTTCTTGAGATTACCCTTCGCTGAGAATTTCTTTTTGCACATATCACATACATATCTAACGCCATTATGCACAGAATGGATGTGTGATTTAAGAATACTTTTTTGTGAAAATGTCTTTTCATAAATACTACATGCGTGAGTGACTTTATTGTGCACTGAATCGACATGGCGTTTGAGAGTACTTGTTTGTGAAAACGTATTTCTGCATGTATTACATGTATGTGTGACATCATTATGGATTTTGAGAATACACTTTGGTGCAAGCATTTTTCCACTAGTGTTACCATTGTTGGTATTTTCATTTTGTTTCGTAGCCTTGTCATTTTGTTCAACAAGCTCGAAATTCAAGTTTGATTCTTCTGCAACGACACCAGCGATTTCTTGTTTCACTAATAAATTCCTATTGGGTTTGACGTCTTCGCATTCTACGACTATTTCCACTTCGTTGTCAAGTTCACTTTCAAGTTTAATGTCACACTTCCGTAGGATATGGGTCTGTTAAAAAAGCAAATGTATATGAGAATTTTTATCAAGAAAACAAATTGATCTAGTTATACACAATTATCAACACTTACTGTAGTTTCTCGTGGAAATGAGAAGAGTTGGATGTTTTTAACATCGGGTTTTTCGTCAATCATTTCACCATGATTTTCAAAAATGAACACGTCGATAGGCTCCTCCTTCACTCTGAAATAACCTCAATAAAATCAAATATTCTGTTGCAGTGTGTTATGCAATTTCACTGGCATAAAATGAGAATTACCTCGCAGCACAGTCGAATGAATCACTCGATTCCATCTTCCTCGCTTGGAATTTCGTTAATAATCGATCTCACAGCAGACAATTTCACGTATCAAACGAGCTAAACTCAAAAAAACTGGCAAGTAGCAAAGTGCCGTGCTCGCTTCATTTCGAAAAACTGCGTCTCGGCGAAGAACGCCAGTTTATGCGCGACTAGTTTCACGGTCAGCAAGGCAAAACACCGAGTCGGACAAACGCACGGAGGTCACAGGGCGAAGCAAGACGTAAACAACAAAACGAGCATAGCTCTGCACCTTCGCTAGTTTATCTGAGTATATAGCTTAGATTCGATGCAATAATATTTACAAATCATGGTATAAAATTTCGAAGTTTTCAATAAAATACAGAGTCTTTATTATTATATCATATAGAATAAATCACTGTATGCATCTCGTATTCAATGAATGATAAACATTTTTCAATCAATGATTCATTATTACGGAAAAATGAGAACTAAAAAAAAACGATTCTATGGTCTGCGAAGCGCACTGAGAAACAGTAAAACAAACATCGGATTGTTATTGTTGTATTAATGGCTCCGACTTTCGGGTTTTCCTTCGCATGGATACGATCCCGCTACGATTGAATAGAGCGACATTGTTTTCATTTCATTTATCACTGCTGCTATATATCATTTTTAAAGTAAATATTTGCAAAAAAAGTTATTGTCGCGATTGAGCGTATGACGATGAAACGTAAAAAGCAACTAAAATTAAAATTTATTTTTCATAAACTTCAAGCTTTATTGCTTCTTTGTCTTTTAAATGAGATATAGGAGAAAAACGTACAACTCGATAATTCAAAACAAGCTTTTACTCGAGCAATTTTTTTCATTGAGCTCAACGGTATTATCACTGACTGTCTTGCTTTGCTCATCGGCAAAAGGATCAACCAACATACTCGATATAATTTATGACGATAAGCTTCGCGTTATCCGCAGGTATAACGAGCAAATTTTTGTGCGACGACGAGACCCATCGTATATATTACAACGTAAAATAAACGTTTAACTTTATCGTGGACCCATTTTACGTAGCCATTGTAGAGCATTTCAACGAATTTATTTCTGGAATTAATCGATCAATTATTCAGGTGCGAAGTATAGTGCGGCGGGCAGAACTTTTATATTGTCATCGGCGGCTCCCATCTTCACTTATAAATGCTGCCAGTCGTGGAATAAAAGTAATCCGATAAAAGCGTAGCGGTGTACATTAATTGGATACTCGGTTTCGCTTTGAGCTTGCGAGCTTTTCAAAAAAAAAAAAATAATCCTCCATTGTTTCGTTTCGACGCGCGAAATTAATTATTAATCAAAAGTCGTATGGGCCGATTTTGGTATTGAAATTTCGCACTGGTATAGCTTCGACGTATATGGATCAAATAATAGTCTCGATCATTGATGAGTTACATAGAAGGGCCACGACGGCAAAAAGAGGTAGGAGTATAAGAGGGGGTGGAAAGAACCGTTCAATATGTGACGTTAAAACGAGTTATTGACTCTACATTGAGCGAGAGACAGAAAGAGAAAAGACAGGTACGCTGAAGTCCAATCACCCCAACGATCGATATTCTAATATGTAAATAAAATATTTTTCGCGATAAAGCAGAATTTCAGCCCTTCATTTCTTATATTGCAACATCCATATAGCATCTACATGAGCGATTCTTTAAAAAATCCTTCAAATGTAATCCAAAAATTACCTGTTATTTATTTCTTATTAATCAATAATCTCTATTTTTAATAGGGAATCAAAAACCATCTGAATACAATTGGAGTATATACGAGTCAAACATACAAGTAACAAACATTTTTATAGCAATTTTAGCCTGCAATTTCAAAGAATTTTCATAGAAACTGCTCATACTTACCCTGGGTTCAATCTTTTTTTCACATGCTCTTTAAATAGCAAATAAAAACGATAATACATGACGCGATCGCGGCGAGAATGATGTAGTATTATCACGCGCATGTCCGGCACGCGTCAAGAGAAGATATGTAATACATTATGCAACTTGTGGATGAGCGACGCCGGCCGATAGTGATATACAGTTTCACACACGAGATGTCTACCAACGCCGCTTCGTCTGTACGCAGTGGCATTGCATTATTTTGTTTACATAAAGTCGGCAGACGACGATACAATGAACGCAAGATAAAAGCCCGACGCTTCGAGAGAAAGTTCATTTATTTTTAGACTCGACCGGTTGTTATTTGTATAAACCGCGTTGATTTGTTTTTTAAACTCTCGTTACGTACCTTTACGTATCTCTGGCCACTCGCAGGGTGAATTTTTTTCTTATCTCCGTTACGTTTGAGTTTCAACTAGTGTATGAAAATTAGACGATTAGTTAGCCTCGGAAAAAACGCCGCAACGCAGAAATTGGAGCGACTCGTAGATTTTTGCCCCGGTGCGTTGATAAAAACATCATCAACACACGGAGCGTCTAACCGAGAGAGCTTTTTTTTTATAATATAATTTTTCGTACGTAAACAAGCGCTCGCACGCGGAACTACAGCACAAAAATTACTACATCAGAATATTATGCCCTCGAGCGTCTATAGTTTAACTACGCGTACACACGCATACGTACTCGGGCATACATATAAGGACGCACACTTACATCTATCTAGGTATTTGTAGTGCAAACAAGCGTAAAATCTCTGTTACGTGCCTTTTTCCTCTCTCTAGCTGCAACTACGTAGATTGGTTGGAGGATTTAGTTGAATGGTCGCACTTGTCAATGTTTATCCTTGAATCTATCCAAAAAAAATTTATCTGACAATTTGAAATTCTCGATCTATTCATCATCTTTATGTTAGACTAATTGAATCGTTATGTCGGAGATTTTGTAAATGAAGATTGAATTGTATTTGCAAGAGTTACAGTTACGTTTTTTCAACGTAAAAAGCAATGGTATATACTATGTAAGTTGATTCCAAAAGGGAAATCAGAAGTCATCCGCTGTATATCTCATTAATAATCTCATTATTAAAATCAGAATGGATGGAAAAACTTCAATATGCCGTCGAATAATGTAAAAGAAGTATTTTTTTTTCACTTTATAAACGTTAATTGAATTTTAACACCAATTAGCTATTTATAATATAAAATGACGGCATCACTTTCTCCGAAAACTTTCCGTATTAAAACTTTTTAACTTTTTTTCGAATTAATCAATTCAACCTGTGGTCTTCATCGACTTACAACACCGATTTATAACAACGGCGTTGCATAAAATACTATAATTTGTTTAAAAAACTAACATTTTAAAAGAGCTGCAAAAAACTTTAAACGCAAGTGTGAATCTCATCAAAGGTTATTAACAATAGGTGTGATTTTTTTATGCAGCTGTAGAATTTTTCCACGAGTATACCAGAATCAATACAAGAGGCACAAGCAACTGCAAAAATTTATAACTTTGAAGACTCGGCACACAAAAATAATAAAAGCCTAGGGGTTGAATTAGATGCAATTTTAATACGTTTGCCTATATCTATAAGCAATTCTTACAAAAAACAAAAACAAATGTGGTTCTTATTTATAAATGCCTTTGAAGACTGACACTTCGCGAAAGAACACTAGTTGGTGGTTTACTGATTTTCGAGTTGGTGTATAAATTACTCGCATTCTTATTGTTAATTATTTCGTTATATTACTCAATAAATGTAGCATTTATATTATAATTACGTAATAAAGAGTTTCTTTTGATATATATTTTACTCACCATTTTTGGTTTGTTTAAATACGTCGAAATTTTAATATAAAATCGAAAAATTTTGGAGTAGAATTTATATCATTTGCGAAGTATTTTTGATCATGTTTGACGCTAATCATAGAATTCCCAAGTAAATTTTAAGTTAATGACTAACAATTTTTTAAACTTTTTCTCAATTTGAAATTATAATGATTCCTTACACTAGAACTGATAAGCATCTTGATGTGATAAATATTCATTTCGGAAAATATTGGTTCAAGCTTTTCCCTTCGATTCAAGTGATATTAAGATTAAGTTGTTTAACACCTTTTCAATGCAACTTTCAATTTTTTGGATGTCTTTGCCATTATTTTATTATATTTTTTAATTTAATTGTCACGGTAAGTTTTACGAGACACATTCAATTACTTTTACGATAATGATAATACCAACTTAAAGGTTTTGTGGATCCAAAAAGAGAAGAAAGAAACAGAAACTCTTGGCAACTCTATGATTGAATCTATATTTCAACTTATACTTATTTTTAGTATGATATTTGTTTACATGTACTTTAGAGCGTCTACAGTAAAGGTAGTTTTTGAAAGTAATCAATTTATAAATCTTGAGTTTTAATTTTTTAGTAAGTTTATCATGATGGGGTGAGTGATCATAATATTTAAGGAAACAAATACACCTTGAACTCAAAAAAAAATTTTTATTGAATTTTTGAGTAGGATTTTTCCGTCCCTTTCAATTGCATTTTTCGAAATTCCAAAGTTTCGATTTTGCACTGAGATACAGCTGTTTCCGTGAGCATATACTTATGTGTTCAATTTTTTCTTCTTTTGCGTTTTCTAGCGAGTAGTGTTTTTGGTCATCTATCGTAACTTTCAGAGGGTACCGATTAAGCTTCAGCGCCAAGGTCGCGTACACTTCTTCAGAACATCAATGGTTACGGTCACTACCTCGGATGAGACGATCGAACTAATACGTCACTCTCAAACAGTACTTTTATGACTTAAATTTCGGTAAAAACGAAAAATGGAAAAAATGTGTGTTTAACTGTTCATGCAGAGCAATCTGCCGGTTCGATCGTCTCATCCGAGGTAGTGACCGTAACCATTGATGTTCTGAAGAAGTGTACGCGACCTTGGCGCTGAAGCTTAATCGGTACCCTCTGAAAGTTACAATAGATGACCAAAAACACTACTCGCTAGAAAACGCAAAAAAAGAAAAAATTTAACACCTAAAGTATAGGAAAAAGGCTCACGGAAATATCTGTATAAAAGGGACGGAAAAATCCTACTCCAAAATTCAATAAAAAAATTTTTGCGTTTATGTGTATGTATCCCCTTAAGAAGTTAAATTAATTGGCATATTTTTAATTCATTCAGTAATCATATCAAAATACTTTAGATATATAGGGTGATGGCTCGCGTGTGGTACAGTTATACCGAAGATATTCAAAATATTATTTTAGTAATTGCCTCAAAAGTATACCATATTGCTACGATTGTAACAAGTTAAAATTATTTTTATTTTTTAAATTGACCTCTTTATTTTTTTTTAAGACAATTAATGACAGTAATTATTTCCTTCACAGCATGTTTATGTGTTTCTTGTGCTACTTTTGCATCAGCTCCAGTAGCTGTACCTTTATTATTGACTTTAACAAGTTCGGGAAATGAAACCTTTAAAAAAACCTTACCCTTTCGCGAAGAATTCTTGGTTGATGAAGATGAATTCTTTTATATAATATTTACATTCCAGTTTATTTCTGCAATTGATTTTGGTATTGTAATAGGCGCTTTCAATATTCTTTACTATACGTTTTTAATAGGGATTGTTGGAGGAATTCGTGGTTTAGAGTTCGTATATCATAATTTATGAGTTCCAAAGGCCGTTTGATTGGAAAACCAATGATAACTATGAATTTTATTTCAGACAATTATTGAAAAAAATTGATGCCCAATACAGTTACAAAATTATGTTGGGTGATAAAAATGCAAATAAATGGATTTATCTGCAGCTCAGAGAATTCATTCGCAATCACCAAATTCTGACAAAGTATGTATTTCTATTGTTTGCTTTAATATTTTTCTCATTATCCCTATTTGTTTAGTTTTTATGAATTTACTCGGGAAATTTGGAGCCCCATAATGTTCGTAACTTTAACTGGCACTAGTTGTGGCATCATAATCACAACAACAGCAGTAAGCAATTCGATATTCATAGAACTCCTGACATCGAGATCGAGTGCTTATGAGTTTTTTCGCTTCATAACAATGTTTTATTTTCAAAACAGATAGTGGTTTTTATGGGTACAGACTTTACTCAATCAGCTAGAATGTTCATCGCAAGTTTTGCATTAATAATGGCTATAATCTTCGTTTGTGGTCCCAGCCAAATGATGAAGAATGCTAGTGATGACATGTTTCTCGTGAGGTAATAGTTTCACATCAATATTCATTAAATTATTCATCATTCGAATGAGCATTTTATGTCAGCTGTGAAATGAATCATCCAAATTATCCACCAAAAATCAGAAAGATCTTTTTATTCATAATGATGAGAACCGAAAAATCGTTTGTGCTGACTGCTGGACCTATAGTTGAGTTAAATTTTGAAACGTGTAGTTCTGTGAGTATTTTAGAAGATACTGCAAAACTAATATTTTCAGAATAATACAAAAACCGATTTTTTAATGACAGATTATTAAATCCTCATTTTCTTACGCAGCAGCTTTTAGATCAGTCTACACATCCGAATAACTGAAAATTGATTTTTTACGATAAATCGTATTGAAAGTTACTTATTATAACAATAAGCAGGATTTTTTAATAGAATTAGTATTTTGCTATGACTACATCTCAAAATGTTGGTATAGAAATTTTCTCTATAATGCACTGTTATAAAATTGTAAGCGATTAACGATTTTAAAATAAAAGAGGTAATTTTACTTTCAACTAAGCAAAACAACAGGAAAAATAATATTTTCAATGTTTCAAACATTTTTAACATATTTTAATGACTTGTAAGTAAGAATAATTGCAAATACCAAACCCATGAATAGCTGGAATCACGAGTATAAATATATCGAAACAAGATCGATTGAGCGTATGTGAGAATAACAAAAAAAAGGGATTATTCACGTTCAATTAGAAAATTGGTAATCAAAATTTTTAATCGGTACTACAATTTTTTACAAAATACCATATGTCTCTACTATTAACAGATGCTTTCAGGGGTCAACTTATCTCTCCGTGAATAGTAGATAATAATTAATCGTTGAATGAAATTAAAAAAAATAGATAACTTTATCAACAATTTTCATAGAACATTTCAATATTATTAAATATCATTCAAAATCGTATTTGATTTTTTTGTTTTTAAAACTATATACAAACTTATTTTGCAGTACTAATTAATTTGTATACATGGCATCTACTGAGAATCTTATCAGCTTATCTTTGATTTTGTTTGACATGTTAACAGAACAATTGTCAATTTCATCAGCTGATGCTCATAGGAAAAATTTTTGTAATTTACCACTTTTTATGAAAAAGAATAAAAATAATTTATTTTATTTCCGAATCTACGTCTGCAAGCAGCCACCAAATTATAGATTACCTGATCCTAGTTTCACAGCAAAAAATATCATTGAAAATACTTCAGAATTATCTGTCCAATTATCTATACATATCAAAGTATGGAATAATTTACATGGATCAAAAAACATAAAGATCTGCTTAACAGTTTAGACATTTTGGATTCCATGGATTATACTTTCATAACCAAATTCACATAAAAAAAACTGTAAATATATTTCAAGGAAGCCAAAAAATATTTGATTGGTGACAAAACACCTTTTGGAGAAATTGTTGATTTCAGTTCAGATAAAACATACTTACTATAAAAACATTGTGATTACCAGTTAAAGTACATTAATTTGTTTTAATATTAATAATTCATAATGGGAATGTGTAGATTTTGATATGTTTCGTTACAAAAATAAGTATCTAATTAGGTTGCAATGAAATAAAGTGTCAAATAATTCAATGCAGGTTTATAAAAATATCTTTTTATGTTTGTTTTCGCGCATTTTTCGAGGACACAAAGATTTCACATAAATATGTATACATGTTTTCAAATATATATATATATATATATATCTTCCGTCATTTTATATGCATATCACTGAACGAGATTCGAAAAATAATGTTGTAAATCTTTCTATTTTATATTTATTACTAATACTATTAGTGAACTTAGCAAGCACACAGTAAATAAACTTTTCTCTTTCTAAAAATAAAAACACTGGAGAAGCTCAAAGTACTGTTGAGTATTAATTTAATTGCAAGCACACCAAAACAAAAAAGAATAGATAATTCTCTTGGTAGGACTATAAAGAGCGAAAATCTAAGATCTCTAATAAAATATTGCAACTAGCAGAGGAAATACTCATTAGCAACTGAGGCTGTACACATCGATAAAAAAAACAAAATTTAACAAAAATTCGATATTTATAATGTATCTTATCACACTGAAATTTATGCTTTGCACAATTTAAATCAAAAATAAATTATATTATTGTCAAAAGATCGAGTTTCATTCAAAGACGTCGTAGCTCTGCCCAACATTGAGAACAATAGTACTGATTTTGCGGCGAACCGAAGAACTTACAGTCTACAGTGCGACAATTTTTAACGCAGTCCTAAAAATTACAATATAATTAGACAAATGACGAGAGAAACAATCGAAGAAGTACATTTAATTTCTACTTGCCGAATTATTATTCCAATGTGATTTGGATTCTTCGGATAATATGTTGTCGTTATAAAAGGTAGATCTGGAAAAATAAAATTTTAATTAATTGAAAGCTTATTTCGATTTTTATTACGAGAAACCAATTCTCTACCTTGAAAGATATAATGTAGAATCACGATCTTTATTTGGATTTGTTGCTGGAAGCTTGCTGACACTGGCATGACTATTGCTATCACATGCAGTATAAAATTTCGATTTTCCAGCTCCGTAATTTAATGGAGTACCAGAATCACTAATTTTGCAGTCTTGGAGGTATCTAATTCATGTAAAGGAAAAAATTATGATTAAAAATAAATGAAAATTGAATAATTATAATGGCCCAATTTAATTAATGAAAAATATATAAAATAAGTTACCTATCGTGAGCACTTTCTAAATAATTTTGCAGCATTTGATCAGCATATTGATGCCTTCTGCTTCTGACTCTGACACAGAGTAAAGTATCTCCATAAGAAGAATTTGGTTTTGGTCTCTTAGACCAAAATTTACTGACTGATTTTCCTATAGATCCAAATTGTTTAGCTACACTATTCAATTGTTTAACTTTATGTTTTATGGAATCCGGTTCAACCATCCTATCTACCTCATCGACTGAAAAAATTTGATATTCACAATCCAAATAGCGTTTTATGAGAATTTCCATCTGCAATTCCAATAAATTGACAAGTTGTTTTAATTTTGCCTCTTGGTAAAATAAAGCTCATTAGTATTTTTAAAATTGACAATGAACTTACGTCTTCTTTTTTACAAGGTAACAATTCCTGTGATGCAGACCAAACCCAGTCTGGTCCTGGATCAACGGCAAAGTGAACGGGATACAGTGATCCTGTGTCTGGGTCAACTAAAGGTATACTGTAACCCTCGAGACTTCCTTCTCTGGGATCAGAACTACTATCCACTGTAACCAGTGGTGAAAAGTGTGCTGAGTGATATGCTAATAATAAAGGTGTTCTGTGGCATAGCTCAGGAGCTATTTCAAAAGGAAGATATATTCCACCAAAAGGAATGGGAGCTATCGCAACACCTTCTGCATCTTTCAACATTGTTTCAGCTACAACAATGATTGTTCGTCGCAGGATATGTGCCAAGGCAAGAATATGTACCTAAAAATGAATTGTAGAAATGAAATAGCTATACTCCCTGTAAGTTATATATATTTTTACAAATTTGGAATATTTTTTTATTTTTTACCTCCTCTAAACTTTGATAAGAAGTACTCATTTGATTTCTAGGATTTGCAGAAGCCATATCCACAATACCTTGCCATTCAGAAACCCACTCTGCTTCTGTATATTTTAAACCAGCCGCTTCATTCAAAGCCATTTGTCTCCATCTCCAACGTCTGAAGAATATCATATAATTATTTTCAATATTCATGATCAAGTTAAATAAATGAACTTAGTATTACCTGAATAAAGCAAGTCGAAATTCTCCATTTGAAAGTGTGGTATGTAATTGTTCTCTTAATGTGAGTTCTCTGTCGTGGAACCCCCACATACCAAGTGAAGCAGCGTGAAGAAGACAATTCCCATCGCCCGTTGTGGCAAGTGGCCAGAGGACTCTATGTTTTCCTCCGCACCACCAGTTCAGTCTTCCAGCTGCTTCCAACGAAACCAAGCAGCCACGCTCTATTAAATCTTTTTCCAAAAATTCTCTAAAGTCATCTGAAAGGCAAGGACAGCTTATAATAATCGTTTAAAAAGAATTCTCTGTAGCTTTCGAGTTACATACCTGGATAAATGGATAAATCAGGCAATGAAAAAGTAAATTCAAGAGTGTCACCGCCAGCCAACTTTAGTCGAGCATGTGTGACTATGTCAGTATTTTCCGTTGCTCTGGATATACCTCTGGCAAGCTTTTTAGTAGATGTATTGCTCAACGGTTCCAGAGAACTTGCACTGCTGGTACCGTTCTCTATATTTAAAGAATCATACGATGGTACAAGACTGTTGATGGCTGTGTCGTGTAAAGCCATGTTTTGTAGTTTATAATCAATGAGTATCCATAAATTAGTAATTTCACTCAGAAAATATTCATTTCTATGGTCTTTGAGTATACGTCAGAGTCGCAGTGCTTGAGAATGCACTCTTGTCAATCTGAAAATGAAATTACACAGGAGAAGTTAGGTATAGCATTATCCAAGCAGGTAACATTGAATAAATTATCTCCTTTTTTTTTTTTCTCATTATCAAGAACGCATTTCATATGCATCTTTAATTCATGCGTGAACGTCGAGCCAATATAATTGAGCAACGTCAAAAGAAAAAAAGAAGAAAAAAAAACCAATGCAACAAACACTGTGCGTATAAAAAAAACAAAACGACAGTGTGCGTGCAAATTTTCACGATCAAACAATAGGGAACGAGGCCCGAAGGTTAAATCGTGTCCCTGCGTGTCGTTGCAGTGCGTGCGCGCGTGTGTGTATATGTGTGCAGCTCAGCACCACTAAAAATATAATGCATTTACACACTCGCTCTCTCCGTCCGCGTTGTTGTTTAAAATTTTTTTTTCTCTCGCTCTTACCTGCAGTAGTGAGATTCGGTGGTGCGTAGAGAGAGAGTCGACGACGACGGATCTCGATATTATTACTTATCGATGCGTGCCGATTATCATTTCACTGGCGCGTCTCGTCGCGCATATAGATACCTATATACGACACCAACACCGAGGAAAAATTCGCGCGAGAGGTAATTAAGCTGCTGCGCGAACGCGTGTGCATCACTCGCTGCTGCTCAATGATTATTATTTGTGATTATTATTGTTGCACGCTTCTTCTCCGTGTTGGGCTGCTGCTGCTGTCAACAAACAACAACATGTCACACCACAGGTATGTTAGCACTATATACGGTACACACTACTGCTCCGCGATTGCGTTTATATATCAATTCGTGCTCGCGCGAACTATATATAGTAATAATGACACACGCGTATTATCGAAATGTGCACGATGCGTGTACGCGAGGCAGCGAGCGCTACATGACTGAATTTTCGACTATAATACAACGATATACCTCTCGCGATACACACAAGTCGCGCGCGGGCTCGCTAAAGCTTGGCTTACACACACACACACACACACACACACGACTACGACGAGTCTCTCGTCAGTTATAGTGAGTGGAGGGGATAGAGAGGTGTATAGGCAGAGCAGATGGTCGCGCGTGTGTTGGTGTATTATATACTCGTGCATGTGCACATGTGCGGCTATACACACAGTCGTAACGCATCGATCTATCTGGTTCTCGGGGGGGTTTTTTTTTTCCTCTTTTTTTTTCTCTGCTCGAGCGCAACACTCAATGAAATTACGTAATACCTATATACACATACACAGACGACGCGCCTCCCACGCGTTACATTACACACGCGCACACGCATATGACATTTGCTGCTGCTACACAGCCGAGTTAGAGAGACAGATGATATGACGTTACGCGTGATGTATACATTTGATCTCTCTATTATACACATGTTGGAGCTCTCTGCCGCGCCGATCAAAACAATGAGCAGCCGAGAGAGATCGTCGCGCAATTCCGGAGCGCCTACACTGTTATACATATACACATGTGATACAATGAATCGTATACATATAACAGTAATATAAGATACTCGCCTCGTTACGAGTGTATAATGTGCAGTCCACGCATGGGCCAATCGGATATCGTATTGAATTCTCGGTGCTGCGTATGTATACGACGACGACGATGATGATGATGTAAATAATTGGGAGCTTTTCTCGAAACTCAAGCGCAAGGAAATCGAATGCATTTACACGTGGACTCGAGATCTTTCGACTTTGAATGATCGTCTACGTCATGTCAGTAGGGAAATAATAAAAACTTTTTTTTCTCCTTTTTAATTTATTTATTTGAAAGACGAAGAAAATTAACACTAAGAATTTAAAGAGACTTGCCAGTATATGTTTACGATTTTACTCCTGCTGCGGCCGCCAAGCTGATGCGCCATAAATCTTCGTTATTTAAATGCTTCATAATCATGCGACAGCCCTCGATCGACAGCCGATCCGAGGTCAGTTCCGAGAAAGCATCCAGCGTCCATCTCCGGAAAAATTTACTCGACATTTTCTCGCACAGATGCGCGACACAACTGTCCCGAACAGAGGATCCTAATTCTTCGGGGAGCTTCGACAATTTTCTCGAGCACGCGAACTCGAAGTAGTCGTGATGTGAGAGTCGTTTGGATGCCTCTTCGGCACGTAACTCGATCAGATCGTGGAGAAACAGACTCGGAAGTACCATAATCTTTTTCGCTTCCGTCGTGAACCCCTCGTCGTACCAAGGTTCACGAAGGATCGTCGATTTTCCGAACAATCCGTGATCGGCGAAGAATTTCACGATCGTCGAAGCGCCGCTCCTGTCCAGTTCGTACCCCCTTTTCTCGAGACGCTCGACGACGACCAGAGCGCCGGAAGCCAGTATCAATTTGAAATTACCCGAATAATCATTCAGTGGGTCGAATCCCTTGCCGAAGTAATCGCTACCGGGAAAAACGAAGCTCTCGAGATCGGCACCGTGATCCAAGAGCAGATCGACCACGCTCGGATCGAGACTCGCCGCGGCCCACTGCAGCGGCCTTCGTCCCAAATTGTCCTCCGCGTCGACGCGCAACGGCTGATTCATTTCGTCGCTGATCTCGAACAACATCTCCGCCGAGTCGTCGGCGTCGTCTCCCATGCAAACGATATGCAGACAGGTCGATCCTTCGGCGTTGGCCAGATTCGGGTCGGCGTTTCGTCTCAACAGCAGCTCGGACAGTTTTTCGTTGCCGTGGGCCAGAGCCAAGTGCAGCGGCGTGTTACCCAACTCGTCCCGTGCATCGACTCGCACCGGTCGATGTTCCTCGTCGCAGATCCCGAGAAACATCTCCGCCAATTCGTCGTCTTCGGCTCTGTCGCAAACGATATGCAGCGGAGTCGATCCCTCCCCATTGGCTGAATTAGGATCCGCACCTTTCCTCAGCAGCGATTCGATCGAGTTCGCGTTGCCGGACTCGGTTGCCAAGTGCAACGGTGTGTTCCCTGACTTATCCCGAGCGTCGATCCGCACCTGCTGCTGGACGTCATCGATGATTTGGAAGAATGTCTCCAAAAAATCATCGTCGCTGTCTCTCTTGCAAATGATATGCAGTGGCGTCGATCCATCGGCGTTGGCCAGATTAGGATCGGCCCCGCTTCTCAGCAGCGACTCGATCGACTCCTCGTCTTCCTGCTCCAGTGCCAAGTGCAACGGTGTGTTACCCAACTCGTCTCGGTGCTGATCCATCGTGACGATATCGTTCTGCGTTGGCGTTGTTAAGAATCGACGATACAAGTGGCTGATCGAGTATTTTTTTTATCGATCGAGGTAGTGTAGACAATTTAGATTAATATTTTCATGTTGATAAAGTATCGTGCCTGTTTTTTAAAAAAACATTTTTTAGCTTTTATACCTTAATGCTGCATATATGTAAACATTATAAAAATGCGAACCTCTTTCATCATCATCTCTCAATCTAACTTTGCTACATACGCCTAGATCGATATGACACAGTCGATCAGCTGGTCGACCGCCACTCGTATAATCGCCAGTTTTTCGACACGCTCAGCTGCTCACTTACGCACTCGTAAGATAAAATATGTATTTTTTTACATTTTTGCGCGATATAATCGCGATACGTGTTCTTTCCTTGTGTTGCTCGCTCGGCGGCGTCGTAACGCGTACTGACTATTACATACCGCTTAAAACAGAAAAAAAACGTCATACGACTCATCGGTGTCGTTGATCGTTTATCAATTATCGAGACGTGTATCATATGAGTTTTGCGCGTGTGGGATCGATAAATAAGTGCCGAAAGCCAATTGTCCATTTAATTTTTAATGGACGCGTAAGCTGAAAAATGGGTTTGTTATTAAATTTTAACGATGTATCGATAGTTTCGAAATCCAATGCTCGCGACGCACGACAAGCTTCGATACTGCGCTAAAAACTCGCGGCCTTGAGTGAGAAACGCGCGATGGGACAAGCACCGATCAAAGACCGAGTCAAATTTCGCTAATCTACGTATTCAATCGTAATAAAGCGGCTACCAGTGGCCACTATACGCTACTGTGAAATTTGTCAACGATCTGTGCGTGCGTGCTCGAATACGCGTTACTATATATAGCATCGCTCGACCGTACGTATGGGATAGCATCGATTTTTATAGTCAAATTAGTTTTTTTATACCCCACATGGTTAATACGAATAATGTAAACATAATTATTGGGGACAATCCTTAGAACTTATAAAAAGCTTCATTAAAAAAATCAATTGTCTGCCTTTCAAAACTATACAATATCCTATTGTTTTGTTTTGTTTGAACAATTATTATTATTATTGTTATGTACGCGTATAAAAAAGCAATTATGCGTCACACGAGCAATAGCACGTCAGTCGAGAAATTTCGGTATGCGTCGTTGCAAGGCAATATATATGGTCAATACAGCATCGCAGTAGTAACCACTCGACGCGTATGCATTCAATATCGTACCGCTTTCATCCGATCGTCATGACTACCGAGATGTTCCAGCAGCTATATATATAACATGTGTACGTATACGTATACGTGTATTAAATTGTCGGAGTCGGACTCGAGTTCGATCGTTGAAAAGGAGCCCCGCTCCACCGCCACCGAGAGGAAGGCCATATCGTGTATTGCACGTAGTTATGTATATAGATAGATAGGTATGTACATAATAATGTGCGAGCGTAGGTGCAGCGGCAGCGGCAGCAGCGAAGCGAGTTTCGGACAATCTGCGCAAAAGCAAAACACACATATGTATGTATGTACGCGTTGCTGGGCATGTGTGCGATCAGGTGATCGTCGGCCGCATACGGGAGGATGGCACACATGATGAAATATATCGCAGTAATTACTACGGAAAAATCGGATAAGGACGAGGAGCAATGGCTACATACATACGTATTTTTGGCTCGTTTCACGCAGACACACGAGCGATATATACGCGTGAATCATGCAGTAACGCATTAGAAATGAAAATTTCATCTTCCGTTACGCGAGCGCATAAAATATATAATAATAATCCTTGCCGTGACCTCTCTCGGCTCTGGCAAAACACCCACGCCTGTATCATATGTATGTGTGCTTAAGTCTACCTGCGCGCTTCCATTATTATTATTATTATTATTGTATACGCGTAAAATGAGTTGCGCAGTTCGCGAGAGATAACAATCGAGTTCTCGATTGTCGGCACCATACACACACGGTACACGCGTGTACGGGAAATGAACTATCCGCTCGCGTGTGTGTGTATACGGGATGCACCGAGACACATCCTACGATGCAACTACGAGCTATCTTGCCTCCTCGATCCTACTTTTTTCGTTCGGAGCAGGTAGCTGTATTGGAGGAAAAAAAAAGAACAAAGAGTGCAACGAAGTACCTTCTGTACCTCGTGTTTTGTTTTTCTTTTTAAATTATATTGCAATTTATAATTTGACAAGCGACGATTTCTATCTCGCTGAGAAATTTCGCTCGTTTTCGAGCATATACGATGTGTCTGCGGAGGCCGCTACCAGTACGTGGCATTCGTAATAATGCAAGGTCTTGGCCAGCCGCGAGTTTTCTAGGACACGCGCGTTAAGTCCAAGGTCGCCCGCGGCTGCTGGCTGCAGCAGCTTAACCGAGCCGATGCAAAGCTGGCACGAGTCGACAACGAAGAAAACGTCGTTACTCGCATGTTTTTCGTCGTCGGAGCGAGCGAGCGAGATGGAGAGAGAGAGAGAGAGAGACATTGAACATGAAAATTTGACCCTGTACTCGTTCGTACGTTACTTAAATGCAGCTTGAATATATTTTTGGTATATTGAAAACGAGTTTATGAACAGGGTGTCGTAAAACAATTTAGTTTACATATTTATTAACTATACATCGCATTTCCAAAAAATTTTTATTTATAAATGTGTGAATATAACTTGTACAGAGAATTACCTCGGAAAAGGCAGCCATGTTCGCATTTCCGAATTTTTCCTGTTCCGTTTTCGATATTCAGATTTTCAAACATTCCGAATTTTACGCATTCCGAATATTTATAATTTCTACTATTTATCGTTCCGAAATGTGAACATGGCTCGAAAAAGGGAAGTTTGATTGTATTCAAGTAAAGTGAATTAATATGGACTTTGAGATAACCCTTTTGTGCAAACGTCTGTTCACAAATTTGACATGGGTAAGAAATAGAATTGTGCACCGAATCAATATGTAATTTGAGACTAAACTTGTGTGAAAATTTCTTTCCACAAATGTGACATGGGTAAGAAATATAATTATGCATTGAATCAATGTGATTTTTTAGACCACTTTTTCTTTTAAACGACTTTCTGCATGTATCACAGATGTGAGGTTTTAGACCATGGTGCACTGAATTAATATGGACTTTGAGATAATTCTTTTGCGTAAACGTCTGTTCACAAATTTTACATGGGTAAGAAATAGAATTATGTACCGAATCAATATGTAATTTGAGACTAGACTTGTGTGAAAATGTCTTTTCACACGTGAGACATGGGTATTTGATACGATTATGCATCGAATCAATATGTCGTTTCAGATCATCCTTATGCGCATATGACTTTCCGCAATTGTCATAGATATCAGATTTTAGACCATTGGGCACTGAATTAATATGGGTATTGATATTATTCTTTTGAGCAAACGACTTTTCACAAATGTGACATGCGTGCTTGATACGATTATGCACTGAATCAGTATGAACTTGCAGTGTTCTCTTACAAGACAATTTTTTCAAGCATGTCTTACATTCAAAAGATTGTTTGTCTACATTGACTAGAGGATAAATGTTCATATTCTGTTTGTTCAGTTTGCAGTTAGTAATCAAATCTTTAGTTTTTATAGTATCACTGAGAAACTCTTTTCTTTCTATACTCTCAGTATCTATTTTAATCGAAGAGAGAGTTGCAAAATTATCACTCATTTTAACATCTTGATATTGATCAGACCAATCGTTTACATTATTATGTACTAATGAATTCCGATTAGGTTTCACATCTTTGCACTCGAATTCTATTTTAATTTCTTGGTTAGGTTGGAATTCATTTATTTTTCTCTGTTCTTCGAGCGTGTGAATCTATTATTAAATTAAAGTATTGAGAAAACGTTGTTAAAAAAATAATAATGAAATCAAATACAATTATTAATCAACTTACGGTATTCTCTTGCAGACATCTGAGATACTGCAAATTTTCAGTTTCAGATGTTTGATCTTCTATTACACCATCGTCGTTTTCGTTGTAGCACATATCATTGGATTCTTCCTTTATTCTGAAAATATCGATAAAATTAAAAAAAAAACAAACACCAACACATTTTGTTATTTTAATTTGCACAATGACAATTACTTCGCATAGTTGACTGTACCACAAGACTTCATTTTTTGCGATGTAAGCAAAAGAAAAAACTGAGCAATTCCGAGTGCTCGAAACGTTTATGAGTATTGAAAAGATTGAGTACCAGCAGATGAAACCAAGGTGGTAGAAATTTTATGAGTAAACAAGAGGCGTACATAAAAAAAAATTACCTGGTAAACTATGAGATCAGAAAAAAATTGTATTAAAAGAAAACAATGATGCTATAGAAATGTATGTGCATTTTTTTAGAATGATTATTTATATATCTAACTAAGAAATTCATTCAAAACTCATTGATGAAGCCTGAAAAACTTATTTTGACATTAGCCAATTTTTACTTGTTTATATCTCATGTTCGATTTTTTTCTCAGAACGCAATTAATTTTTTAGAATATTAGCGCAATGAAAACAAGAATTGTTTTCGCGAGTTAAATGTAAACAATGGTGAACGAAAAAGAGAGCGATTTTGACGTTGCGAGGTATCTCGATAAAAAAGAATTAAACGCGAAATATAGTTAAACAACCTCTCGAACGATGATGTCTTATTTACGAAAGATGAATAATTACAAAAAATACATTTTTGGGTTCGGTAAAATTTATTTATTATAATTATTTGTAAAGACGATACAACACGCGTACAAAACTTCCCACGCTTCAGCGAGCTCTCGCGCAATTAACTGCAGCGCATCGACAAAAACAAGCGTCATCGTCTCTCTGCAATCCTGTCCACGGGGAAAAAGTACATGTTTATCTTGTCGTCGGCGGGCCTCAGATTGAAATCGGCCCTCAATTTCATCTCGGCCGGGCGCAGACAGCTGTAGACCCTCCACTTGGCCAGCAGCGCCGACAGCACGAGCTTCATCTCGAGCAGTGCCTGATCGCGGCCCAGACAGGCACGGGGCCCGTCGGCGAACGGCGCGTACGCGTGACTGTGCCTGACGTTGCAGTTCTCCGGCAGAAATCGGTCCGGCTCGAAGCGCTCCGGATCGTCCCAGACGTCCGGATCGTGATGCAGCTGGTACACGTGCAGATCCACCTGAGTTCCCTTGGGTATGAAGTAGAAATCTGCGTGGGGAAAAAAAAAAATTCTTTCAATTAGATGGCTCGAGCGAGCTTCGGTACTAGGGAAACGATGCAATGATTACCGAGGACGAGATCCTTTTCCAGGCAGCGACCGACGGTCGGCACGCTGGGATACAGTCGGAGAACCTCCTTGGCCACCCTGTCGAGATACTTGAGGTCGAGCAGCTGGCGAATCGACGCGGGCTTCGAGCTCGTCGACTCGGCCGCTTCGCGCATCTCCGCGCTGACTCGCGCCTGAGCTTTCTGGGCATTGCCGAGGGCGAACAAAGCCCAGCTTATCGCCACGGATGTCGTGCTGTAAGCCTATTTGAGAAAAAAAAAACAAAAGATTTTTATGGAATGCTTGTAGAATTGTCGCTACGGTGCATACCAACCGAAAAAATGTACGCGTCTAATTCTTCGCGTATTTGTTCAATCGTCACCGTCGATTCGTACTTGAATTCCTCGTAAACGTCCAACAGAGCGTCCAAAAATGACTTACACTCTGGAAAAAAAGATAACAATACGAATGTAATGAATTTTTGTGGTGTCGAATTTTGGTATACACAAAACTTACTTGGTTTTTCCTCGGTATTTTTTCGCAGGCTTATCCGTTGTTTTATTATCTGCGACAAAAAAACATTTTTGTATTTAATGTGTATTAGTCATAACAACTATTTAAGAGCTGTGATATCATTTTCTAAAATTACCTCTTCGGTAAATTCGCGAATTATATCGATGGCGGTCATCAATTCTCGGCCTTTCGCAGTTTTGTAAAACAAATAATCCCATTTCATCAGGAATTCGTAATATCTATCTATCGAGACGTTGCATAATCTAATCGACAGTGAGAAACGTTATAATCATTGCAATCGTATGATGTGAAAAATGTTATAATGAAATTTATAGTCACTTTTGCAGCGCTTCGACGTATGGATTGAACGGCACTCGTTGGCAATCCAAATCCACGCCCAGAACATTTTCGCAGACGACGTCCAAGGAATACTTCGACGTCAAATGCAAGATATCTATTGGTTCTTTGACGTTTTTATTGATTTCCAATTGTATTTGTTCCAAGAGGATAGTGACTTTTTTCTGTATTATCTCGATGAAATCGTCGTTTCTGGACTGGTGAAATGTGCGTGATATTAGTGAACGATGCCACTCCGAATATTCATCTAGAAAATCATGGATTATTGCAAAATAATGTTTTTCCATCATTTGATAAAGGCGATATATTTTGCATCGGTACAGAGATTAGTTGAGGATCGTCATGAGGAGTTTAAAAATGATTCTAGTTTTAAGACGCGAGTTTTCTATTACTAGACATACATATGGGATATATTGTTTGCAAGTTAGTTAAATATCAGAAAGATGTGTATACGGGTTTTCAGAATAACGACAAAGTTGATAACAGTTTGAAATACTTTTATTGTTCATTACAAAATTGAAGGCTTATAAGAATGATTTTCTCAAATTAAAAAGGGCATTCGTGTAATTGCAGATGTCTTCATTGCATCCTAATGTCCTCGGCACAAAGTCTTAAGGTTTGATAAGAGCATGTACTAAATTTAAGTGAGTTCTGAGATGTTTTTTGTCCAAATGACAAGCGACAAATGTTACACTTGAAAGTTTTGCTATGAGAATGTACTGCATTTATGTGTCTATTGACACTCGAAGGGTCGGCTACGATCATGTACTTTTATTATGTGTTTTTTGAGATTACCCTTTTCTGAAAATGATTTGTGACTAATCTCACATTCGAAGGGTTTAATATGACCATGTACTGCATTTATATGACTTTTGAGCTGATGTTTATAACCAAATGATTTATGACAAATCTCACATTCGAAGGGTTTAATATGATCATGTACTACAATTATATGTCTATTCCGGGTACCTTTTTCTCCAAATGATTTGTGACAAATCTTACATTCGAAGGGTTTGCTCTGATCATGTACTAAATTTATATGCCTTTTGAGGTCTGCCTTATATCGAAATGATTTGTGACAAATATCACATTCAAAGGGTTTTATTTGATTATGTACTAATTTTAAGTGTCTGTGAAGGTTACCATTTTGTCCAAATGATTTTTGACAAATGTTACACTCTAAAGGTTTGCTCCGAACATGTATTGCATTTATATGAGATTTGAGGGAACATTTTTGACCAAAAGATTTGTTACAAATGATACACTCGAAGGGTGTGCTACGATCATGTACTGTTATTATGTGTTTTTTGAGGTCTCCCTTATATCCAAATGATTTGTGACAAATCTCACATTCGAAGGGTTTGACACGATCATGTACGGCATTTAAGTGACGTTTGAGATCACTCTTCAGGCCAAATGATTTGTGACAAATGTTACACTCGAAGGGCTTGCTACGATTATGTAATGCATTCATGTGTCTATCGAGTACATTCTTGTATCCAAATGATTTATGACAAATTTCACATTCGAAGGGTTTGCTCCGAATATGAACTGCATTTCTGTGAACTTTGAGATATTGTTTTTGTCCAAATGATTTATGACAAATTTCACATTCGAAGGGTTTGCTCCGAATATGAACTGCATTTCTGTGAACTTTGAGATGTTGTTTTTGTCCAAATGATTTGTGACAAATTTCACACTGAAAGGATTTGATCGGATTATGCACTGCATCTGTGTGAGCTTTGGAGTGACTTTTTCTTTCAAGTGACTTGTAAAACGTTTTACACTTAAATGATGGTTCGATTTGAGAAGTCTTTTCTGATTTTGGCCCCTTTTCATGTTCTTCGGGTTTCCATTGAGAATTCACTAGAACTTGGCTATTACAATTGAATTTGTTTTCTCTCAAAATTATCTGATCTTTATCATTCAAATAGTTAGTTCGAATTCGGTTTTCTTTTTTTACAGTAGGCAGGCAATTTTGCGACTCAGTTTTGCAGATGGTTGTTGATGGAGATGTTAGTTCAAGTTTGAAATCTTTGCATTCAAAATCAACGAATACATTTTCATTCGTTTCGTTAGGCTGATTTTCGTTCTCTTCTTTTACAATGGATAGATAACCTTGATCCTCAGATTTGCAAGTGGTTGTCGATAAAGGCTTTAGCTCAAGTTTAACATCTTTGCACTAAAAATCTACGAATATTTTTTCATGTAATTTTTCCTGTAACTCCATAGCTGCATTCACGCGATTTGACTAAAATTCAAATTTTTTGAGTTTTGAATAGAGAAAAAATAGAACACAATTCAAAACATCGAACTCACCGGTAATTCATGAAACGGAAATGTTTCAAAGTTTTTGATTTCGCAAGAGTCCGCAAAATCAAAATTATAATTATCACCTGCATCCAGCCAAGCATCATTTGGTTCTTCCTTTACTCTAAAGACAAAATCAAGATTGATGAAATGATCAATTTAAATAATACGGTAGAATGAACAAAAATAGTTGTACCTAACTGTATCCTTTCTGCTTTCCATCACTCACTCGATTACCGGCAATCACTGTGATTTCTTACGATATGCGTAGAAAAAATATTCGAGGTTATGTGCCTCGGGTTGCAAACACTGTATCTCGATATCAAATATTTTTTCACTGGTATTTTTCGTAAACACTATCTTTACTAGTGACTGAATCTACTTATTTATACATTAATGATAAATTCCCCACACGATTATTATAATTGCTAAGCGATATTTCGACCTTTGTCGTTGACTAGCCACGTGCAGAAATATAATGCAACATAGACAATCGCATGTTATTGAAACTACGCCAAAATTGCGATGAAAATTGCATTCACCTAGACGCTCGAAAAATAAAAGTTTTTGTGATTTTTTTTTTTTTTTTTTTTCAGTTGATTACGGCCCTTTCTGCTACTAGGCTAATTGGCCAACCTCACCGTTCTACCCAACGGTGGGTCTTGCGTGTATATGTAAGTGTGTGTGTTAGTGTATTAGCGTGTACCTATAGTCGATATGGTTGCGCCTCCCATACCACTGAGGTTACGCTTTGATAATGGTGTGACCCCCAACACCAGAGACCGCAGTTGTAGTGCACCGGCTTTTTTCCAAGGAAAATTTCCACGGATTACACCCAACGGTGCAAACCCCGCAGAAAAAATCCTCGGGAAAAAACCAGCCCACCGCCGGGATTTGAACCCCCGACTTCTCGGTTGAGAAGCAAGAGCTCAAGCCCCACAGCCACCGCGGCCTCGTGATTGGTCGTTAGGATTAGTTTGGTGGCGCCATCTCTACGTAATACCAGTGAACACCAGTGAGTATGTCAACACCAGTTTTTAAGTTCACAATAACGCGATAGTATATTATAAATCAATCACTGGTCAAATTGTTATGCTATTTTCATTAGTGAGAAAATTGTATAATACAAAGAAAGTTGCATAAATACCCTTAATTTTAAGTCGAAATTTTATTTTGAAACAAATGTATTTTGCAGTGAAGCTACTCAAAACGATTGAGTATCTTCTGTCGAAATGAGATTATATCGATATTTACAGTAAAAACACATCAACTTACTCAAAAAATAACAATTTTTGGTTTAACTTAAACAATATGTTTTAATTCGATTAAAGAAGTAGAAAAAAGCTGACAAATCATCGCAATAGAATTAACCTTTAGCTAGCATTTATACATAAAAATAAGAAAATCATTTTTTCTAGGAAAGATCTTGACTAATGTTATTGACAGAGGATGTTTTGATATGATTACGTCTATTTTTTCTGTAAGCTTCAAAATTAAATATTAATTCATATAATATTGAAATATTTACCATTTGAAATCAATAGACCTTTTCCCAACCACGGCCTCAAGAGTTTGTACTTTTGTGACTTTTGCACAAAGCAGTAGCTCTTCAATACGGTCTAATAAGAAACACGAAAAAATTAAAATTAATTTTTACACTGCCGTGAAAATTCATCGAACGATTGTCATCGTACCTTTATTTGATCGGGTTTTCGTACATTGACAATGGGATGCAATCCGAACCACGTCACTATGATGCCCCGCTTGAACGAGTAGCAGAGCTCGTTGAACCACTTGAATCTGTCTGCGTAACACGACAAAATTTCATTAATCACCTGCATTAATTCAAGTACAATAGTATATGATCGTCGCTTTACTTTCTGGCGCTATTCTGCTCCACTGCCAGCTCAAGCCGACGAAGGGCAAATTTCCGGGGTTCGGTATGTGCCTCAGGGCCGTGTTGGACTCCAAATAATCGGATACGTGCAGGTAAAACGTGATCATCAAGTACACGCCCGCGACGAAAATTACGCACAACAGTATGGGCCCCATTGTGCGCTTTCGCTCACCGACACACCGATTTTTATGAAATACACTTCACCGGTGACTCGTGCTATTTTTTTTTGTCGTAAAAAATAACATCGCACAATGATGAGTATTGTTCTGCATGGACGAGCGGAGAAAGCGAGCAGTGGCACATAACGTTCATGGTGTAACGCATCGACGATAGAACTGCTCGTAGCGAGAGGTAAAGTTCGACTAACGCACCGATAACTTCGATGGAGGCGCGGGGTACTTTACAACTATTGTATAATACGTTCGGATGCTATTCACGAGTTAATTTAATTTTTTTTACCTTTTCTTCGAACTATATATATATATCATTCGAATTGTACAGATATTTGTTCGACGATAATAAATTTACAAAATATTTGCAATAAAACTCGATGGAAATCAGAGCTGAGGTAAACGACATCGCTCGAACTCTCTCTCTCTCTCCCGTTCGCGACTGAAGTCGTAATGCATCCTGCGCGGGGTAACTTGATCGGGAAGCCCATTTAATACCAACGACGACGACGAACGATACGGTATCCTTGCCCAAGAGAAAGAGGGAGAGAGATAGAGCTAGTTTTGTGGCTTGCGCGTGTGAACGATCGTAAGTATATGCACGAGCTCAGGCGGTTTAGATCTCAATTTTTCAACAACAACAACAACAACGGCAAATAACTATTTTTTATCAGTGAATTGAATTGAGATTTATCGTGGTAATTGTTGACAATATGAAATTTAGTGCGAGGAGTTTAAAAATTCGATATTTAAGATCAATTTCACACAACATTTAATAAAAAAAGACTTTGCTATTTTTGTACAGAAGTCATTTAAATTTACATAACTCATACATTTATATCTTGAATTGTAAATCATATTCATCCTATACAGTGAGGTGTATTTAAAATTTCTGACTCACGACAAAACCTATACCAACATCCGATGGTAAACATCGTTTAATAAAACTGTTATTCTTCAAATTTCGTCATAATACACTTCTGCATTTGCATCGAGTTGAGTAGTTATAAATTCGAGACTAACTTCACTGTCATATCATAATGTCAGGTTTAACCTGAAATTTCGAATCAGTCACGCGAGAAAATAAAATTCTGTATTCGGTTAACAGAAATGTATCAATTTTTCAGGCTCATCATCGTCGATATTAATGTAAGTAAATAATCCTCATCGACGCTGCGCTTTCGATTGATTAAAAAAAAAATTCCAGCCACTATAACAATGCGTAAGTACTCCGTATCACCGCGAAAGCCCACCAAACATCCAGAAAAATAAACATCGCATCTTCCACACCAGCGAACAACAAAATCGTGAACGTCGCGGGGTCGTCAGCAGCAGCAGCAGCAGCCGCAACCACCATCCCGTCATGCCATCCCGGGCTGCGTCACGCGATCGATCGCTACGAGCACAGCCAGGAGGATCTGCTCGACCACGAGCGCAGCCTCCACGATCGGGTCCAACTCATGGAGAGCTTCGTGCCCGTGGCGATCGTGCAGAATCTGCTGCAGGCCGACGAGGCCCACCGCGACTGCGGACCCCGGGCGGCCCTCGAGCGGGTGCGCCGGATGATGCGCGAGCTCGGGCCCGAGTCGCCCGATCCCGTGGACGAGCTGCTCGGCCAGCTCTGCGCGAAGATCCAGGAGATCGACGGCCGGTCCGCACAGTTGCACGTACGACAATCGTTTGGGTTAGTCTTTTAACGTGTGCGTGTGCGTGAGGAAGAGGTTGGAGAGATGAGAACGAGCGACGAAGCGAACGATTTGTTGAAAATATTTTCTGCCCTTTCTACCGACCGAATCTTCTCTCACCCGTGTTATATATTGTTTCAAAAAACAGGACAAAATCAAGTGCGTCGACGAGCGTCTGTTGAAGGGCCGCGACGAGCTCTCCAACCTGGAAAAGAGCAATCGCGAGCTCGAGCAGCAGATCCAGCAGACCGAGCTGGAGCTCGAGCGACAGGCCTCGATCGGCACGATCACCTCGGCCGATCGGGCCGGGATCGCGCGCATGCGTCGCCTCGCCGAGGAGGCGGTGCGCACCAAGCGCAACATCCGGGCGCTCGAGGCTCGCCAGGCCCTCATGCTCGGCCGGGTCGAGGCCGTGTTCCGGTCCGGCAACGCGCGCTGCTACCGACTGTGCGAGAACAACGTCGCGGCCGCCTCCTCACGCCCCAAGCACCACGTCTATCGGCCCAAGTTGAAGAAAAAGCGATGCGTGAGTTGGTTTTTTATCTATTGCGATTTGCGTACGTGTGTGGGTGCGTGGGAAAATGAGTATGCGCTAGGGTATGACGAAACCGGACTTGTCGGTTTCGCGGTGACGCCCCGCACTCTATTTACCGCTTCTCTCTCTCTCTTTCTGGCATACCGCGAATTTCATTCATTGTTTTCTCGCAGATCCAGAAAAATCGTTCGAGGGAGTTCTGGCCGAACGCGTCGTGCCACAGCTGCTGCCACGGCGTCAAGGACCATCACCACCATCATCGCGTGGTGGAATACGTCGAGTCCAAATCAGCGCAGGTGCGTATAACATTCGATAAATTTTTTGCAATAGCCACGCACGTCGATGTATATGAGTATCGATCATAATGCGACGTGACACGCGCCAACCAGCACGTCAACTCCAAGGAGGGATGCGAGGGGTACGGTGGCCACGATTTACGCAACAGCAGCAGGCATACCTGCGGCGAGGGCAAACAGAAGGAGCGGACCGCGTGCCGGATGAAAGAGGAGGAGGAGGATGTGGAGGAAGAAGAAGAGGAGGAGGAGGAGGAAAATTGTCAGCAGGACAATCCGTGGTGCACGTCCGGCGATTTGGATGCTTTTAAAAAGATCGAGTCGCAGACCAATTGCAAGGATGCAAAGGCTCGGTGTAATAAAGAATAAACGTGATTAGAATGATGAAAAAAAATAAAAGTTTTTCCTGTCGATGATTATCTTCCCAATTAGAAACTAACTCGTGATTACTTCAAAAAAAGTATAAAAGCCTAACAAAGCAGTAAAAGTCGTAAAAATCAACGTGGCTAATTGATGTCGAGTTTTGGAAAGTTGTTGCAAAATTATAATTTGTTATTGCAACATTTTTTCTCGGGTGCGCTTGAACATTGTGCGCGCTATAGATAAATATTCATTTATTTCTTGTGTTACTCATTAATGTATCTTTTTGAAACTTGCATTGTGCAAGTGATTTCAAAATTCTTTTCTTAATTTGAAAGATTTCCTTAACATTTAAAAATTAAAATTTTTTTTATTTTCAAAGGATAAAATGTTTATGAGAAAAATTGGGATAGTCGAAATTTTTGAGAATATTGGATGTATAGAAGAAAATATTTTAGACTTTTAAAATCTTAAAAGAGTTGAATACAGAATTTTTATTGAATACAATGTAAAAAAAAATCAAGAAGCATGGTCTCATTCTTCTATACAAAATTTATTTATTTGTTAAATAATAGGAAATTATTTTTTGCAGTAAGATAACTATAAATTTAGAGGAATACAATACGTAATGTCAGAATGAATGAACTTTTTTTTTCATTGATATTCTTAAAAAATATATCAGATCCTGCTCTTCAGTTATTGATACCAGCGAACAAAAACCGTGCGTCAGCGATGCGCCGCATCGACGTGCATTTTAAGATTTTTCTTTTCTAAAAATGATTTACTACATGTCTCGCACGTATAGGTGATACCATTATGCGACAATTTGACATGCCTATTCAGATCAGATCGATTTTTATATTTTTTTCCCCTAATATTACGTGCATGTCTGACACTATTATGCATGGTATCGATGTGTCTCTTAAGATTACTCTTATCTGAGTACTTTTTTTCACAAATATGACATTCATGAGTTATTTTGTTATGTACCGAATTGATATGGCGTTTGAGAACATCTAGTCGTGTAAATGTCTTACCACATGTCTTACAGCTATGGATGATACCATTGTGCGCCACATTGATGTGTTTCTTGAGATTACTCTTGTCTGAGAAACTCTTTTTGCACATATCACATTCATGAATGATTTTATTATGCACCGCGTCGATATGTTTTTTCAGATTACCATTATTTGAGAAATTCTTTTTGCACAGATCACAAGTATGAGTAACACCATTGTGCACTGAATCGGTATGGATTTTGAGATAACCCGTTGTTGTAAATTTCTTTTCACACATGTTGCATGAATGACTGAGACCATTGTGTGCCACATCGGTATGATTTTTGAGATAACTCTTGCTTGAAAATTTCTTGCCGCAAATATCACATACATGTCTAACGCCATTATGCAGTGCTTCAATGTGGGTTTTGAGATTACCTTTTTTTGAAAATGTCTTTCCGCACGTATTGCATGCATGTCTAACACCATTGTGCACTCCATCAATGTGTTCTTTGAGACTTCTCAACGTAGTGAATTTCTTTTTGCATATATCGCATGCATGTCTAATACCTTTTTTTCCTGTATCGATAAGTATATCGAGTCTATTTTTATAGTTTGAATTTATTTCTTCTTCCACTTTGCATTCAGTCTCTATTTTAATACTAGTTTCAATTTTACAGTCAGCGCTGTAATTTATATTCTGCAAGTTATTTTGAGAATAATCGTTAATTTTATCAACTAATAAACCCGTGACGGGCTTTACGTCTTTACACTCAAAAATTATTTCCATGTCTTCTTGAGGTTCAGATAATTCATCATATTCTTGTTTAAAATTTTGGATCTGAAATAAAATCAAAGTCGTATCAATATTATGGTTCAATATGTTGACTGCAAAATCTAACAGTTATTCTTACTGGATTTTCATGCATAAATTGGGAAAATTTAATTTGATAATCTTCATCATCATCAAGAGACACATCGCGTGGCTCTAGTTTTACTCTGTAATGAATATAATAAGATTGAGTATTAGAATAAGTTATTTTTATAGTTTTATTCTTAAAAAGTAAAATTCACTTGAGATCACCGTTGAAATTATCGCCCGATTCCATCTTATTGGCTTAGGACTTTGTTTACGACTAAGCTGAAAATCACTGCTTACGTTAAACATCAAACTAAGTAACTCGAATTTCATATTATTTACAAATTATAATAAGAAAACTAATTTTCTTTGAACCAATCTAAGCAGAGAAATTACCAGTCATAAGATGTTATTATATTATTGAAGAAATTATAATTTTATTCAAAAACGAGTACTTCGAGTTTTTATCGCGTAAAAAGTATAAACCAAGTTCCAATCATTTAAGACATACGTCAACGTTACTTTAAATGATATCTTAATGTAATGTATGTATGTATCTTAATTGTTCACCCAAGAATCGTAATAATTATCAAAAAAGTATGTCATAGCAGTGTACAATTTGTCAACGTATTTCTGTTTTTGATTTGAATGATAGTAAGTAAATAATTCTGTGTCAGATTGTGTACATTATTAGAAAGCATACCAAATTCCAGAACTATATTCGGTTATTGATTAAAATAAAATTCAGAGTTATTTAAAATAATTATTTTTTTATTTGTGCTGTATGTCAGAAAATATTCTTCAATGATTAGTTTCTTAATGATAATGATTCTTTAAAACTATGTACAATTGATGCACTATTTTTGTCTACCAAGTAGACACGAAAATCAGTACATGAGTGGTAATTCAATCCTATTGAACTTTTAATATCACATGATTATTCCTCGTGAAAAGGATAGTACGGGTGGTCCTCACAACTGAAAATATCATACAAATTTTAAAATCAATAAATACCGATCAATTTTTTGTGATAAATTATTTACCTTAGCATTGCATCGACTCTTCTATTTCTATTTAATTTGTCAAGAAGCCCCATGTCTTCTTTAGTTATCTTAAAATCAAAGATCCTTAAGTGATCTTCCAACTTAGATTTTATTGACCCTTCTGGAACCACCAAATGCCCCTTTTGCACCTAAATATTTACAATACAATGAATAAAGAATATAAAAGACTAAAAACATGTGTCGGTTACATTTCAATTACCTGATAATGCAAAAATACTTGACTCGGTTTCTTTTGGTAATGCTGGAAAATTTTTATCAATTGCGGATTCTGCAAATGACCTTGACTCATTGGATCTGACCATGGTCGATCAGGAGCACCGAATGGATTTCTGGCCGATACGAGTATGCCGTGACTTTTACAGAATTCCGTTAACTTTAATTGTGGCAAAAATGGATGGCATTCAATTTGGTTCACTACCGGTTTTATTCTGCAATTTTCAATGATTCGTGTCAATTGTTTTGAATTGAAGTTGGCCACGCCGATATTTTTTACCAGGTTTTTTTCGACCAATTGCTCCATTGCCTTCCAAGTATCAACATAATCCACATCGCTGAATCGCAGCTGACCAGCGTCATCCGTCGGAAAAGGATCGTCTGATTCTAAAATGAAATAAACCCAATTACAACAATTGTCCATTTTTGAAGAAATTTACAGAGACATACACTTTTATTAATTTAAAACGTATGTGTTAAATTATACTTATTTTGGTAATTTACCTTCAAATCCCATTGGCCAGTTCATAAGATATAAATTAACGTATTTCAAATTTAAAAGAGACAAGGTCTTTTTCAACGAAGGTTCCACTTGGTCTGGTCGATGACAAGTATTCCATAATTTCGCTGTTATAAAAATATTTTCACGCCGAATCACTTTATTAGTGAAAAGTTCCGATAGTACAGCGCCAATTTCTTCTTCATTGCTGTGTACTGGAGATATATCGAAGTGTCGATATCCCAGTTTGATAGCATCTTTAATAGCCTCCGGTGACATGGACTGCAAACATTTAAAAATAATTTTGTCATTTTTACATTTTATTTTACGTACAGCATAAAAATATATCTTATGAAAATTTGAAATTAAACCTATTATCTGAAAATGATAGACGATAAAAATTGTATTGCACTGTTTGTTGTACACTAATTATACTATATTAAAATTTTTTTAAATAATTAATTATGAAAGTAAAATGAATTTTTCGTATAAATGACAAATCGTATAAATTAATTTCTTTTTAAAGTATTAATTATTATTTTTAAGATTAAAAGTCTAATGAACAGTCTTGCACGATAAATTGACATCAATAGTAAGTACACAAAATTCAAAAATTTAAAAAGAAAAAGAACGAGGTGAGCATTTTTGAAAGTAAGATTAAAAATACAAAATAAACTTACACTCATGGTTCCAATAGCTAACACTGGTACTTTATTTCCATTATAAAATGACGCCGTTTGTAAGCCACTCATTTTCGTTGATCAATAGTATTAATAATTATAACTAATCAAAGATAAATTTTAATAATTTCAAAATTCCAACACTTTTCTTGAGTCAGTTAAGCTGCGTAATTTTATAGAATTGTAAACTAAAAACAAGCAGACTACAATCAACTGAACGCCTTGTGTCGGCTTGTAGCAGTCTGATTGCTGCCGACATATGTGTTTACACTCCGGAGTCTGGCAGTCGTTGAACGCAAAGTTCGTTCACATTTTTAAGGCATGCCTCGATGCTTATTTCCATGTACTGTGACGCGTCATTCTATCGGTACTCGATTCAAAATAATTATCATAACACTCTTGATAAATTTTCTTACTGACGATGCACTAGATGAATAGAATTATTGTCAAAAGAGTTATCAATTTTTTGTTTTAAAATTTATCAGAGTTTACTTAGCAATGGACATATCGAACTATATCTTGAAAAAATATAAAATTACCAACGAACAAAAAACTCGCAAAGATATCCAAATATTTTTTCAATTCAATTTAAATTATAGAAAGTAAAGAATAATATTATTCAACTTTGCGACCGTAATCCAGTTTGAAAAATACGATTAATTGCGTAAAAAATTTATAGACATGTAAAAAATAAATGATGAATAAAAATTTGTGCACTCAATTGATGGCAACATTTACATTAGTTTACTTTAATTAAATTAAAATTAATGAGTTCAATCGAATCACTTCAAGTATGCTCAAAATTTGTTTCGTATTGTAACAAGATTTATGGCAATCAAAGTTGTCATTTTTGAGTACGAGCTTTTCCATTCTGTACGTAGATGGAGCATTATAAACTCGCAAGTGGTAAAAAAAAGTCCGCAGACTATTTATACAAGGCATGTTCAAGGCATTAATAAAGCTGCTTCTATTTGAAAACTTCTTAGTATACTTATGCATTCGAGAATACCTATTGAACATCAGTATATCGATAAAGTAGAAATGAGATTTTAATACGTTCAATAACGTTAATTATGGGTAAACATCGTTTACACATTTGTTTACGTATGTACAGACATGTATTCGCATTTCAGGTTTAGTCTCTCTCCAGCCTCGCTGTCGAGAGGAGATAAATACGAAGGCACCCAAGCCTCGTACGCTCGCATACACACACACACACGAGAGACAGAAGGCGCGCTCGCACATAAACACACACACACACGGACAAATAATACGAGTCCCCAATTTGTTTATTTTTTTACCCAGTGTCCGGACGTTGAAAGCGCATAACAAGAATTAAATATAACAGGGGTAAGTTCGATTTTACCCAGCGCGTTATTTTTATTTTCACGCGAAGCTAGATTTTAATAAGCGCGTCTTCTTTGAAGTTTGAGCGTAACAGAGGCTCTCTTGTAAACACAACGGATCGCGTGTGTCTTTATCACCGCACTCATGACATCTCGTGTATTTATAAAATGACGATTACAGGTGGAAGCTTACGCGTTGAAGTATATTTCTAAAATATATCATTGCGCGCGCAAAAAATGGCACCACGTCCACGAGAGCATCCGCGAGAGCATCCGCGAGAGCATCAGCGAGATCAGCAGACCGAATACGAGCTCGACAAGGAGCTACCTCGAACGAAAACAAAGCAGCAAGCGAAGGAGCAGCAGCAGCGGCAAACACTGGCAATAGTACCGCGAGAAGAATCGGAACTGCAACGCAAAGCAGCAGCAGCAGCAGCAGCAGCAGCCAATCCAAAAGTCCTCGAGGAGGCGAAGAACGAGAATAATCAATCGGCGGAATTCGTGCCGGGCTATACCGATTTCGGGTCTCGAGTGTGGCACGTGTACGTCTGTCGGCTGCTGGGCCGTCTGGACTGTCCCGTGCCGCACTGCCCCCGCTATCGTCCATCCGAACATCAGCCGTCCAGCCAATCGAAGCCGGAGCAGCAGAAGAAACAAGTCCGAAAAATCGAGGCTGAAACGGGCTCGGAGCTACCGATGCCACCGGGCTATGAAGCCGTCGCGACCATGTGTCGAGTACTGCACGCTCTGGTCTGCCGGAGAATCGACTGTCGCAAGACCTTCTGCGCTCGTTATCGTCGATCGATCGGCCACGTCGTCCGCAGGCGCTGTCCAGCAGACGACGAGGCCGAGGACGACGACGAAAAACCAAAATCGTGCGAATGTCGCACGGTGGCCGCTTTCATGCGCCACTGGGACGGCTGTCACGAGCGCGACTGCGCCTACTGCTCGCCGATCAAGGAGGCGCGCGACGCCCATCTGCGCGAGCGTCGCCACGCGAGCCTGTCCCGTGCCCGGCGCTGCGACTTTCGCCAGCAGATGCTGCTGCTGCTGCACGCCCAGCGCTGCCAGGGCGACTGCCAGAGCGCCGAGCGTGCGGCGCGCAACGGCCAGTGGCCGCCCTGCCGCGTGCCCCAGTGCGCCGCGATGGGCCGCGTCTGCGCCCACGCGCGCCTCTGCCGGATCAACGATGACGAAAGCTGCCCCGAGCCCCATTGCCGGCACGTCAAGGCCCTGGCGCGCCACTGGATCGCCTGCGCCCAGAAGACGCCGGTGCCGCGCTGCGCGAGCTGTCGCTCCGTCAGGCGCATCCACGACCGGTGGCTCGAGGGCGAGCGCAGGCCCGAGCGCGAGAGGAACTTTGGCGCGGCGATGACGCGACAGCGCCTCATGCTGCTGGCCCACGCGCTCGACTGCCCCAGGAGAGACCGAGGAGGAGGTGGCGAGGAACGAGAATTATCTACGAGGGAGTGCAGCGTGCGCAGCTGCAAGCCGTACAGCGCTCGGATTCTAAGGCACGTCTGCGAGTGCCTCGGCAGGCAGCATCAGGACGGGCCGTGCGGCGAGGCCCACTGCGCCTTCAACACGGAACTGCTCAAACACTACCTGAGCTGCCGGCTCGAGGAGGATCGCTGGTGCCGCTGGTGCGGCCCGGTACAGGAGGCGGCGAGGGATCGCGCCCTCGAGGCCAGCCCGTCCAACTTCCGCCAGATGCGCTCCAGCAGGCACGCGCACTTCTATCTGTTCGAGATCGAGCGATTCTTGAAGCAGCAGCGGAAGAAGGCGGCCGACGCCGAGAGATAGATTTTTTTTTTATTGTGTGTGGTGTATGCCGATTTTTGTTTACATAGCGTTGTGTAAGATTAATGTGTGTGTGTCTCTGCGCGTCGTTTACCGATAAATAATATCGGTATGAAAAAATTGTGTATCGGTACAAATCAAATTGCGCGATGTGCGTATATTGCGCGGCAAGCACGAGTGTACGTTCGCGTTTTTTAAATTGAAATCGACGATCGATGACGCAAAGCGTCACTATAAGGAACGCAAGCTCGTCGATTTTTGTAAATATCTCAATAATTATATGCGTACATATAGACCGATTTTATCGCTCGTGGTTCTGCTGCATATGTATAAAGACAAAAAAGTAATACAGAGCAGCATGTATGGCTCGGTGCGCGTTGCGCTGCTTGGGCGCCTGAAACACGAATAGAGTATCAATGAAAGGATTTACCCGCGAGTATAATATGTTATCGCGTTCGTAATAACGATAAAAGAAAGGAAAAAAGAAGCGAGTTGTACTGTACTGCCGAAGCAGAATCATTCAATAATAGAATGATTTTTTAATGAATATTTTTTATAACGTCTGAATGAGTTATTTTATGTAATGTATACGATATGATAACATCTTTTATTTTATGTACGATCGTCAAAAAAAAAAAAAATAATCACAAATTGTTTTTACGAACTCGTGTATGATAAAATTAAAAATACGAAACTAGTTTCATGCCGAAATATTGTTTTTTATTTGGGAGATTGATCGCCAACGAAAGGAGTGATGCGCGTCACTCGGTGACAGCGTACAGAAAGAAACGCAGTAATTTTAAAATATTTTGATAGCACACATACTCTGAAATAATAATTTTAAATAATTGTTTATACTTTGAAAAATTCTTGAATATCTTATTATTGTCATTATTGATCTGTAATATTTCAGATTTAGACGATCACCGTCGATAGGAAAATTAAGATTATGAACGCCAGATGGCTTGTCTACAGCCTTCGTAAAATATGTACATAAAGCAAGCAAGATAGGTGCTTAAAAGCCGTGCTCAAATTTTCAAGAAACACATGTGGTCAAAGGACATTTTGCAATCATTCTCTGATATATTCACTCCTTAATTACCTCTATCCGTATTAGCGAGAAGCAAGCTTGGTTACGTGGCTGCAGGCCGAGCAACATTCATCCAAGCAAGCCCGACGTATTCGAGCAGTAAAAATTGTTGATAACAAAAGTTTAGTTCACTTCTTACGCAGCTATTATCGCAGGTGATTTCTTGACTCACGATTCAGACTTTTCTCTGAACTAATTCAATAATGCCTGCGTGTTATGTCAAAAAAATTTCACATTGCAATCAATTATTGCTCATGATTGGAAAACTAAAAATGTATTAATATCATTTTTACCCTGCTTTCGAATCCTCTTTTTTCATTATTATGAACTTGATTATAGAAAAATTCTACCTGACTCATTAAAAAAAGTTATCTCAGTATGAAAACCTTTTTTTGTTTGAAATTTAAATATATTTTTGATTTTAATATAAATTTCAGTTTAATTGAATTAAATCTTTAATTAATCAAGATCACGAGCAGTCCAAAACTTACAAAATATCTAGCGGCTTTTTTATTTATGTTGTGTTTTTAATATATGAATAAAAGTACAAATATACAAATTTAAAGACCTCAACGTTTTATTGATGGTAATAATTATAGAATGTAAAATTATAGATAACAATTTTATTTTCAGCTCAGCTTAAAATGGAATGTTGAAAGGGTAGTGTGGGCTCGATTCGCACCTGAAATGTAAATTGAATGATTATTACTCTGTCGTTCGTGTTGACATTAACGAGTCAATTCAATTTTTGTAGATGGCACAAAAATATTCTCTATCAATATTTTCTATCCACAAAACGAAAGGAGTGTTCGTCAACTTACCCTGTCATGGGACAAATTCGGCCGTTGCAATCGAACGTATCGATGTAATCAATGTCTTCTTTTGATAGCTTGAAATCAAAGACCTGACTATTCTCGAGGATTCGCGATTTCGTAACGGACTTGGGAATGACAACGTGACCTCTGTCGAGCTGAAAAACGATAAAACATTCATGCGGTGTTCAATGTTTTTCGCCAAGATAAGATGCAGATCTCTCTTCAAGGCGTAAAAATGAATATCTTATGTCATAAACGAAGCGCCAGAGACGAGCATAGTTCGACTTACTTGATAACGAATGAGGATCTGAGCGGGACTCTTGTTGTACTTTTTGCTTATCTCGATGAGTTTTTTGTCGTCCATGAGCTTAGGATCGTCGGGTTTGGCCCACGGTCTGTCCGGCGAGCCGAGTGGGCTGTAAGCGGTTATGACGATGTTCTTCGATTTGCAGAACTCCGACAGTTTTCGTTGATTCAAGTAGGCGTGACATTCGATCTGAAAAATTAAAAAATTGTCAGCGATTAGAAATGAGAAATGTCACGAATATTATGAAAAATACTCGAAATAATGAATTACCTGGTTGGTCACCGGCTTGACCTTAGAATTCTTAATGAGCCTCTCGAGCTGCTCGGAATTGAAGTTGCTCACGCCGATGTTCTTGACCAGACCCTTGGCGAGAACATCCTCCATACCCTTCCACGTGTCCAGATAGTCGACCTCGGGCGCGAGAACAATGCTACCCGCGGCGTCCCTCGGGAAATTTTCCGGCCCGTCCTTGTAGGCGATCGGCCAGTGGATCAGGTAGAGATCGAGATACTCGAGGCCGAGATCGCCGAGGGTCTTGCGCAGATTGATCTCGACGAGCTCGCGCTTGTGATACGTGTTCCAGAGCTTGCTCGTGACGAAGAGGTCCTGGCGCTTGACGACGCCCTCGGCGACCTTCGCGGCGATGGCCTCGCCGACCTCCTTCTCGTTGCCGTAGACGTGGGCGCAGTCGATGTGTCGGTAGCCGATGTCGATCGCGTCCTTCACGGCCTGTGTCACTTCGCCGGGCTTGGACTGTGTGCATAAAGAGAGAGAGTTGATAAAAAATTCAATCGTAACAAACTCGAACGCGCGAGTGCGAACGATCGATATCTTTTTTTTGTGCCGTATCGGCCGTTTTTAGTGCTTTGCACAAAATTGCACAAAATTGGTAGAAACGTTATCGCGTTGGTACCGAGCATAATCGAACTTATCTACGCCAACAATGATAAAGTAACGTAACGATATTTGATGCAATTATGCACGACAAAGATAAGAGAGAAAACTTCAATAAATCATCCGATCGATTTTGTTTACGCACGCAAGCTCGATATTGATGATTTTTCTCTCAATAAAATTTTTCAATTACCACCGACTAAATTCTAAAATTTAACATTTAAGCCTAATCGAACAACTTCTTATGTCAAGTGCATAATAATAACCAGTCTCGACGAGGAACGCGCAAATTTGTGACAATTATCCGGCATTAATACATATTCATAACCTTACCTTCCACGTTCCCAAGCCGAAAGCATAGATTTCATTGCCGTTGTAGAATTTGATTTTCGTCTCCATTATTCTATCGAACGAACAACAAGCAAACTCAAATTAACTTTATTCAAATCGTAGAGTATACGAGAACTAGCCAAGCGCAGTGGTGTTGTGTGTTGTTTTTTTTTTCGTTCGACGTTCGAGTGTATTCGATTCAAAATCTGAGTTCGAACTGATGCCAAGAGAGCGAGAGAGCAGAAGCACAAACGCGGTATGGAAAAAAACCTCGAGCGAGAGCGAGGCACAGCTGCTGCTCGGCAAAATTTACCAGCAGTCGAAATCGCGACTGGTGGTGGCAGCCGGTGTGTTATTCAACGCTTTTTATGCATGCGAGTATAGTCGCGAGCATAATAAGCCGCACGTGATCGAACGTAGCATGTCAATTAATAATCTCGGTACAGAAAAACTAATGAATCTACTTCTTTTTTTCACTTGGTATAAGTATTTTAAGAGTGAATGAAACTTGTTGTGCTTTTGGTGTCCATGGAGTCTTTTGAAACATTTCACTTGTGAAAGCAGAGATAAAAATGTTTCTTTTTGATTTGTATCGAGCTCGAAAGTAAAAGATATAATTTGAATTATTTTCATTGTCGAAACAACATGTCCAACGTTATTTATTTATTAATAATAGATTTTGTTAAAAATTACATTTTTTACATATGAGTACATTTCTACAACATATTATCTAAAATGGAATGTTGAACGGATAGTGTATGGACGGCGCAGCACTGTAAAAAGAAATAAAATCATAAAAGTAAATATTTTTTCGATTTAAAAAGATTAATCTTGAATCAACTTACTCGTTCATGGGAGCGACTCTGATTCCAGTTTCTACAGATTGAATTTCTGCCATTTCTTCGTCGGTTAAAGAAAAATCAAATATTTCGAAATTTTCTTTGATGCGCTTTTTTGTCACAGACTTCGGTATTGGAGCGGCACCCATTTGAAACTATTGGAAATCATTTGATAAATTGTAATTCTGACGTGGTGATAAAAATGTTCAACTGATGCGTTTAGTTCTGATCTTACCACAAATCGACACGCTATTTGCGCTGGCGTTTTATTGTATTTCTTTACTATCGCTTGAATTTTCGGATTATCCCATGAATTTGATATTCCGTATCGATTGCCAGGTCTGCTGAACGGAGAATAGCCGGTGACCGTAATGTCATGCTTTTTGCAAAACTCAATTAGGCGCTTTTGGTTCAAATTGATCGACACTTCAATCTACGAATAAATTTATCATTTTTATGTAAAAATCACGTTGAGATATGAATTTTGCAATACGATACCTGATTGTTCACGGGTTTAATTTTTGCAGATTCCAATAATCTGGTTATCTGCTCGGAATTAAAATTGCTTATACCGATGCTGCGAACAAGTCCTTGTTTTTTACATTCTTCCATTCCCCTCCAAGTTTCTAAGTAATCGGTATCGGCAAGGATTAAGTTGCCGGCATCATCCTTTGGTAAAAGATATTCTCCTTCCTGTCAACGTGTGCCAATAAGTTTGATTTGATTTGTGTAAATTAAAAGCCACAAAATATAAAGCTTTTACACAATATAAAAGCAAAGCAAACAAAATATAAAAGCTTTTACCTTGAAAGCGAATGGCCAGTGAACTAAATACAAGTCGATGTATTCGAGTCCTAATTTTTGCAGTGATTTTTTACAAGCCGGTACCACGTGAGCTTCTTCGTGCCAATTAGACCACAACTAAAAAGAATTTCATTCATTTGTGGTAACCGATCATCAATAAACAAACGGATTCTGATATTAATAAAATAATGAAACTAACCTTCGTTGTTACAAAAATATCCTGACGTTCAACTACTCCTTCGGCAATTTTTTGTCGAATTGCATTTCCGATTTCCGCTTCATTTTCATAAAACGATGCGGTATCTATATGACGATATCCGACATCAATTGCATATTTTACAGCTTCTTCCACCTCTCCTTCTTTACCCTAAATTAGTTTTATCATTAATGTTTGATTATCGTAAAAAATAGCATGATAATTTTAAAGATAATTTACATTTTATTGGTAGTATTAAAAGAGACATTAATTTTTACATTGAGAAAAAGTATGTAGAAAAGAGTATCGTATTACCCGCCAAATCGTAGTTATCTTTTTGACAGATGAATTGCATACAGACGAAAGATAATTTCTATTGCATCGTTATAGTAGCTACATCATATAGTTAATATTTTTAGGTTATATTACAACACAAGACTACAAAAAATATCGTAAAAACAGTAGGACAACGCATGAAAAAATGAGTCAATGACGTAAAGAAAATTTTATTTACCAAATAAGTCCCCAAACCAATCATGGGCATTTTATGCCCATCGCTAAAAGTTACAAACGGAGTCGTAGACATGTTGTTTGCTTGTAATTGGCAGCTATACTAATCGACTTAGCAGGTATTACACCTTATTACAGCTCGTTTGTTTTCGTAGTTACTTTTCTACGAGAAAGATTATCAGTTTTCAAAGTAAACAAACATTCAGCTGATTCATCGTAGATATGACATTGATAGTAAAAAATATTTCCTCTAATGGAGCTACTTCATCAATATTTATGATAAAAATAAAATATTACGTTGACATGAATTTCCACTTATGTGTATATTTTACTGGTGCACTTGAAACATTTTCAACGTTAAAAAGGAATCTTGAAAGGATAGTATAAAGAATCCTTAGCCCTGTAATTCAATATATTATTGCATAATTTCATGCAGTGGTATTTTTTAAATTATCTGACTCACTCTCCAAAGGTTGCAGTTCTTATTCCAGTTTCCATGGCTTCAATTCTACTTATTTCCTCCGCTGTTAAGTTGAAATTGAAAATATCAAAATTTTCTTTTATTCGAGATGGAGTAACTGATTTGGGAATTGGAGTTACACCTCGTTCAAGCTGATTGAATATTAAAATCATATCAATATAATGGTTATCTTTCTATGGGATGTAAATCAGAACTCACCAAAAATCTGCAAGCAATATTGGCACAAGATTTGTTGTATTTTTTAGCAAGCTCTTGAATTTCCGGTTCATCCCATAAATTTTTAATACCGTGACGATTTCCTGGTCTCCCCAGGGGAGAAAAGCCGGTAACAGTAATATTTAATTTTTTGCACACCTCAAGTAACGGTTTTTGATTTAAATTAAGCGTCACTTCCACCTGTTTTGAAATTTTCGTGAAAAATTTCAGTTTTCGAAAAGAAATGTTAAAAAACAATAATTAATCATCAACAATCACCTGATTATTTACGGGCATTATATGAGCATTGTTGACCAATCTTTCTAATTGCTCAGAATTAAAATTGCTAACGCCTATACTGCGAGCCATTCCTTGTTGCCTACAAAACTCCATTCCTATCCAAGTTTCCAGGTAATCAGTATCTTGAAATTCAATGTTTCCAGCAGCATCCTTTGGCATTAGTTCCTTTCCAGACTGTTGTGTCGTTACATTAGAATACATTGTTTAACGAAAAAAAAAATTATAATTTCAAGCACTTACTCTAAAAGCAAATGGCCAATGAATAAGATATAGATCTACATAGTCGAGCCCCAAGTTTTGCAAAGATTGTTTACATGCAGGCACAACTTCGTTAAACTTATGGCTATTACACCATAACTGAAAAAGGAATTTTATTATTACTGACACTTCAATTATTTCGGTAAATCAATATAGTTACCTTTGTTGTGATGAACAAATCCTCTCTTTCGACAGTACCATCATTAATTTTTTCTCGAATCGCTTGACCAATTTCTTTTTCATTTTCGTAGACATATGCTGTATCGATATGACGATACCCAACTTCTATTGCATACTTTACAGCTTCTTCCACTTCTCCAGGCTTTGCCTATGAAAATAGCACATAAAAAAGTTTGCTATTTACATTTATTTCATTTTTTGATAACTCATCGATTTAATTATTTCAGCCACAAGGAGGTTGTTTCGATTTAATTCAAAAAATTGTTTGCTCGATTTTTTATCGTAATCTTTTAAATTTATTTACCAAATAAGTTCCCAGCCCAAACATGGGCATTTTACGACCATCATTGAAAATTATTGAGGGCACAGACATTTTCAACTGGAGCGATGTGACTCGACTACTTCGCTTTACAACCACACTCGAGCATTGTCATTTATCAATAAACACGTATTTGTGAATCTTAAAGATAAAATGAATCAGGGCATAAGTGTATTAATTTTACTGCGTGTTAGATGTCGTAGAATAATTAAATTTAATCCCATTGTTTTTATTTAAGAACAAATTGACAGAGGAAATTGTGAAATTCAAAATTTTTAGTTAAGTGTAATGATATTTCTTACCAAACAAATTCAATCTAAATACATTGATATGAAATTATCATCCGCGTGATAACATTATTAACACGATCACCAATAATAACGTTTTTATGTGCAAACATTGCAAGTATATAACCTTTCTTTAAATTTAATTATTTTAAAATATCTTCAACTAAATATATTTACCAAAAGACTTATTGGCGCCCTATAAATCATCAAAATTAAATTCGCGATGAAGCTTTGAGATAAATATTCAGTAATTATTGCAGAAAACTAAATTGACAATTCAAATCACGGCTCAATTTAACCATTTTCTATAATTCTATATTCTTTAGAAAAAAACTGTTTATCATTGAATTGATTTATTATTATTGAAAGATATCAATTTTCGATGTTTGTTGATAGTTGGTTGTTCATGCATTACAATGAGTAACGCACACTGAAATTAATAATGTAACATAGTTAATTATGATTTTTTTTTTGAAAATCAACGATTATTATTTTTAAAATTAATTCAATTTGTACAAAAAAAAGCCTAAATCTGAATACAACTTATTTGCTTGCAAATGAATCAAGCATAAGCATTCTATACCCATTGATAACAATAAAAAATGGAGTCGTAGAGATGTTGTTTGTTTGTAATTGGTAGCAACACTTATTGGCTTAACAGGTACTGCAGTTTATTGCAGCTCGTTTGTATTATAGTAACTTCTCTACGAGAACTTTTATCAATTATAAGAGTAAACGAACATGGTTTAAGTTCAAGAATCAGCTGATTAATCATAGATATGACATTGATAGCAAGAAAGATTTCTTCAAATGGCACTACTTCATTATTATTTATGATTAAACAGAATATTCAATTGATGTAATTTTTCTCTTATTCGTGTATTTACTGATTCAGATAAAAAATTTCCCTCGTAAAAAAACTTTAAAATGGAATCTTGAAAGGATAGAATGTACAATCCTTAGCCCTGCAATGAAATATATCGTTTATTATTTATTTTGATATTAATTTCTTTAAAAGGCGTTTGTAACAATATTTTACTTACTCTGTAAAGGGCGCAACTCTAGCTCCAGTTCCCATGGCTTCAATTTTCGTTATCTCTTCCGGCGTTAAGTTAAAATTAAAAATATCAAAATTTTCTTTTATTCTGGACGGAGTTACAGATTTGGGAATTGGAGTGACTCCTCGTTGAAGCTAATTTAACGAAAAATTTAATACTATCAATATTATAGGAAAAATCAATAAATTAAATTTTTTTGTAGATCAGAACTTACCAAAAATCGGCATGCAATATTGGCACCAGTTTTGTTATACTTTTTAGCAAGCTCTTGAATTTCTGGTTCATCCCATAAATTTTTAATTCCATAACGATTTCCTGGTCTTCCAAGGGGAGAAAATCCAGTAACAGTCACATTCAGTTTTTTGCACACCTCAAGTAACGGTTTTTGATTTAAATTAAGCGTCACCTCTACCTGTTTTTTTTCAAATTTATTAAGAACTCTCATTTTTACAAATGAAAGTTAAAGTATAGTAATAAATCAGCAACGATTACCTGATTATTAACGGGTTTTATTTGAGCACTAGCAACTAATCTTTCTAATTGCTCGGAATTGAAATTGCTGACGCCTATACTACGAACAAGTCCTTGTTGCTTACAACTCTCCATTCCTTTCCAAGTTTCCAGATAATCGGTTTCTTCAAACTCTATTTTTCCTTCAGCATTCCTTGGTGTAAGTTCTGTACCAGACTACGTAAAAATTATAAAAATAATTTAACCAGGTTTTTTTAAGTAATTAAACACTTACTTTAAAAGCAAACGGCCAATGAATGAGATATAGATCTATATAGTCGAGCCCCAAGTTTTGCAGAGATTGTTTACATGCAGGTACAACTTCGCTCTCCTTATGGCTATTACACCATAACTGAAAAAAATTTTATTTTTACCGTCACTTCAATTATTGCGGTTAAAAAATATACTCACCTTTGTTGTGATGAATAAATCCTCTCTTTTGACAGTACCATCGTTAATTTTCTCCTTAATCGCTTGGCCAATCTCTTTTTCATTTTCGTAAAAAAATGCAGTATCAATATGACGGTATCCAACTTGTATTGCACACTTTACCGCTTCTTCGACTTCTCCAGGTTTAGACTTTTGAAATATCACATAAAAATATTCGATATATAGTTATGTTTCAGCTTTTGGCAATGCATCAATTTAGAGATTTTTATGATAGAGAATTCAGTTTATTTATTTGAATATAATCTTCAATGAAAATTGTTGAATTATCGGAAATAGTATTTCAAATTTGCTTACCAAATACGTCCCCAGCCCAAACATGGGCATTTTATTACCATCATTGAAAGTTACTGAGGGCACAGACATTTTCTACTTGAGCGATGCCTCTCGACTACTTCGCTTTACGACCACACTCGGGTATTGCCAGAAAATTTTACATAAGCATTATATTTATCAATGAACATCTATTTTTAAGTCCTAATGATAAAATGAATTATAGCACTAGTGTGTTCATATAATGAATTTTACCTGCATAATATAGTGTAGTATAATTGAATATAATCTCGTTGAAAATATAAAAATATTTTCTGTAGGTATCGTGAACATTCAGAATCGATTTGCTCTAATTATAATTGTGTTGAATGAGTTTTTATAATAAACAAGTTCAATATAAACGTATGGTTAAAAAATTAGCTCTATAATAGTATTGTTTTTACGATTACTAGCAATTAAGTTTTTATTTATTAACAAGGAAAATATTAAACAAACAATTTGTATATGTAAAATATTATAAATTTATTATGAAACATTTAACAAACATCACAGTTTTATGTTCTTGAAAATTGTAAATAGATTTCAAAATAACAATATCAACTTATCCATTGATTCATTATGTTTTAAAATTCAATATTGAATGGATATTCTTTGCAATTCTTGAACCTAAAAATATAAATAAAATATTATTTCATATCATGTAATGCAAATCATTTTTTGAAATATATTATACACGTACTCATCAGCAGAGCAAGTTCTAAAATTTCGGTCAAGTTTATCAATTTCTGCAATTTCATCAGCAGTCAACTTAAAATCGAAAATATTAATATTTTCTCGGATGCGTTTTTCAGAACTAGACTTTGGTATTGTAATAATTCCAATATCGACCTGAAATAACAATTTTTTAAAGATTCTATGTACGACCATTATCACTTATCTATTAATAAAAAATCTTACTAAATAGCGTAATGCAATTTGAGCATTAGTTTTATTATATTTTTTGGCAATCTCCGAAACAGTACGAGCTTGCAATTCGATTTCTGGACCTGATGGTTGAAAAGAAGTGTTACGACCTGGAGCACCAAATGGACTATATCCTGTAACAGCTATTCCTTCACTAGCACAAAATTCACGCAATTTTTTTTGGTTTAAGTTAATGTGTACTTCAATTTGATTCATCACAGGTTTGATCGTTGAATTTTCTAATAATCTTTTGAGTTGTTGAGAATTAAAATTGCTCACACCGATGCTACGAGTCAAACCAAGCTTCATACATTCTTCCATTCCTTTCCACGTTTCAAGATAATCAATGCCATCTTCCTATAATTTTTTAATAAATATTATACTTTCAATTGTCTTAGACTTTTTGAAAAAAATCATGGTTTTCAAAAATCTTACAGGATACGAAAATGGCCAGTGTACTAGATACAAATCAATGTAATCCATTCCGAATTTTTTCAAAGATCTTTTACATGCTGGCACCACTTGATTTTGCCTGTGCTCGTCATTCCAAACCTGATATTAAATATAATTATTGTTAATCCACAGATGATATCATTTTGAAAATTAAAGTTTATTTTATTACTTTAGTAACGATGAACAAGTCCTCTCGTTTAACAACGCCTTCTTCAATTTTTTCTTTAATGGCTTGGCCGATGTCTTCTTCGTTTCCGTAAACGGCTGCACAATCGAAATGTCGATATCCAGCATCGATAGCCATTTTTACAGCTTTACCTACTGCAGCAGGATCATCCTGTTTGTTAATATTAAATATAATAAATAAATATAATTTAGACGGTTCAATATTTGAACTTATTTTACATTCAATAATAGTAGCGAAAAAGATCCAATGCATGTTAATTAAATATGTATTGAATAAATGTAAGGTACCGGACTTTCAATTGAACTTATTTAAGTACTTTACGTATTTATTATTACAATTATAATTATCCATATGGGAATATTCAATTTTTAATAATTTGTTTTTGCATTTATGACTAAATTGACTTCACGTAAATTATAAATAAAGTACATACTCCTCCCTGCCACGTTCCAAGTCCTAGAACAGGAACTTTTTGCCCATTACTCAATGTAATTTCATCTACTTTAACTGACATATTGGCAAATTAATGCACAAAATTTTCTTAAAGTTTGAGAAACTTCTGCTTGACAACTTGTTGGCGCACTAATACACGCTTACCTCGTATTTTTTTTGTCATGGAAGTCGATATGTTAAATATCTTCTTTATCGGCTCCTTTGGATATCTTACTTAGATAAAATAGATAAAATTCAAAGCGTTACACTGTACTTGAAACATTTTAAATTGGGTAGAAAATTTTATACATTTATTAATAAATTAAACTGATGAGCGAAAAGATGTCCCACGTCTAATGACAAATCCGATTCGAGTGTCGAGAACCAGACAAAAATGAAATATTTTTAATATTTTTTCTATGCCTGGTGCCATTAAATTTTACTGATTTTTTATATAATCCAAATGAATAAATAAATTTTATAAAATAAAAATTTAATTCCTTTGCCGATGACCGTGGCTAATGAATACCCGATAAAAGCGAACCATTTATTATTGCACGATTGATAAAGCATCAATAGGAATAATTTATGAATTACTGCGAACAACGTACCGTGACGTAAGATTTACATACCAACAGAAACGATGTGATTTCTCTCTAGTTCTTTTAACGTTTATTGCAAATACTGTATAAGCTACATGTTTCTGCTGAAATTTTCAAAGTAGCAAAAAATAAGGACAATTTCTATCGACTATTTTCTTAAAAATAAAAAATAATAATAACTTTTAGATAATCAAAGTTTCATGAAATCAAGACTGAAACAGGTAAAAGGTAAAATGAACTTTTCCATTATATTATTTTACATGTTAACCCATTTACTTTGTTATATTTTTGCATTATGGACATCGAAATTATAATTAAAAGTATTCTCACCTATAACAATGTTTTATTTGATTTAATCAAAAATATGAATGTTATACGTAGAGCTAATATTGAATTATGTACAAGCCATTCAATATGATTGTGCCCAAAAAAATGTAACATAATTCATAAACTTTCGTTTAACATATTTTCGAGTTACAATCAATTTTTGATTAACATTCATGAAAAGTCATAGAGACCACGCTCCACTCAGATATTTCGTTATCAGTTTTACAATGACTAGAAAAAGTACAATTTTATTTATAACAAAACTGCACGTTTGCATTCCATGGAAAACATTGATTAACCGATTTTCTGTTAAATCATTGAGAGCAAGACTTATTTTTTTCGAATGCTTTGATAAAAATATTATTTTATAAGGTAGAAATGTTGATCGTTTATTTTCATAAAAATTGTCTGATCTATAGATGGTAATGCACCATATGCAAAGGGTAAATACTAGCTACGTTTTTGATTTTTACTAGAATTGAAAAGAATCTTTAGCGCTGCTGGTGTTGGTACAAATTTTGGATGCATTTCTTTGAAAAATTGTCGAATCTCTAAAGCAGCATTAAATTTACTTCATTGAAATAACCATAGAGTCATTAATTATAACATCTATTAATATTCGCATGCGTGTCTGAAAATAATCATTTTTACAACGATTTCGATATTTCTTTTTATAGAAGTAACAATAACTAATATGTTTTAGTATATATTTGCAATTACTCGATTATTAGAGATGACAGGTCTTTTAAACTGAACTGAACACCTCACTTGTTCATATTTTAAAATATATGTTTACGAGATTTATCATAAGCAAGTAATTATTACTTTATAGTTATATGTACAAACATAAAATGTGGCTCGAATCCTAACAATTTTTTAAATTTCAAATTTGGCCCCTTTTTTACTGCATTAAATTTTGTATCTTCAATTCGCCAGATCAATGACTATGAAACACAAATATTTTATCCATCTATTAAAAACCTTAAAAAGTAATTGGTCAATATTTAGATCATAAAGTGATTGGAATCGGTTGAAAATATAGCTGCACCTATCATTTCCAAATTTTTATAAAATATAAATTCAAAAATGAATAAATGAAAAAGGTGTACAATTTACATAAGAAAAATTAAATTATTGTAAAATTTTCACGAAACTCGCTATTTAAATAATTTTTAGGATAAATCAAAACCATGATGAAAACAAATGGTTCATGTAAAATCAATAACCTGATCATTTGAATTTTGAAATTGGAATTCTACATTGCATATTGCAGAGGTTTTCATGCCATATAGCTCTTTCAATTGTAAATACTAATAATTATGATTTTTACTAGACAAGAATAAAACAGATGATTTTCTTTACAAGGGTATATTTTTATAGCTTTACTATTCTTTGTTTTCGATGAATATTAATAAATTTTTCCAAATAATTTTAAATTTTCAATTCATTTATCGAAAATTAATAGTACAGCACTTGAATTGTAATTTGTGAAAGACAAAGGTGCTTTTAATGATAGTAAGTTCATTTTGATTCCTTTATTTTTTGAGATACGTTATATTTAAATTAACTTATAATACATGCATATTATGGTCTTTAAGTTTTTTGTTACTGCAGTCTCAGATTAGAGCATTGAATTTAGTAACGATATTTAGAATACGTTGAGAATGCAAAATCAAAGCCTCTGGAATTTTGAATGTAATTTTTTCGATTCATTTCATTGCAATTGATAATTTATACAAATTAGGTTTGAAATTAAGAAGAATCCCTCATGGCATGTGTAACAAAATAATATTGATCTTGAGCATTTATGCTGATTCATGGTTATCTATTATCCCAGCGTAAGGCCGAATTTGGTCTCATTTCAAGTAATATATCAATATCAATATTAATATATGAATTTTAACCACCACATTAGTTTTCGAATTTATTTTTATTGGATAGACTTATATAATATGGATTGTTTATTTTTAATGTTACATTAATCACGGGCAGATACCTTAAAATAGAAAAAAGACAGCACACACGCCTGCGTGCGTATATTTTTTGAGTTCTTTGTTCATTTTCTTCAATACTTTGATACGTCGGACTTTATCCGTATTTATAATAAATGTCGGAATAATAGCGTAAATGGATATAGTTTATTACATAGTAAGTTTTTCTCACGCCTGCGTGAGATAATATGAATAATAATCTACTTACATGTATAAGAATTTTACATTTAAATGTAATTCTAGTGAGCATTACTCAGTATGTCACAAGTATCTCACCTATTGCGAGGGATAGAAAACACTTTGGTCATTTGCTCAGCAATCATAAATAATTTGAACTTCATGCATGCACTCTCGTGACGTTTTTCTTAATAGTTTGAAGAGTTCTACATTCATTTTTTTCTTTTTAATTTATATGTCTAAGCGTCTTATACGATTAATTAATTTAAGGCTGGAGAATTGCGTGCCAGCGCGATTTCGGCCGGTGTATTGACAATCGCTGAAATATTTACGCACATCAATAATTGTATTATTATACATATTACATTACCATTTGTTTTTTTTGTTATATAAGTTACCGCCATACTTAATTAAAGTTGCTATTATTATTTCCAAGTGATATATTATATCGATAAATCATTTGTGTATTTCCATTAATAGTATACAGCTGATGCTATTGATTCAGAAAACATCAGATAATTTCAAGTTGATAATGGTTTAACTTCATGCCAAGATACTATTACGTTTTGACATGCACGTTTGGTTCCATTTATTTTATGGTAATATTACAAAGTATTTTAATTCGTGGTTTATTAAACGAAAGTAAAGAAAATAATAAACAATAAGTATCTTATATTTAAACGCAATTCTAAATGAACACCGCCAAATCATTTGAAATTCATACTTAACTCCGATCAAAGAGCTTAGTGAGTGAAAAATAAAGAGAATTTCGAAAAATTATCTGTACAAATGGCACGATACTACTTTGTTCATTTTTAATAGTTTTGCATAGTAGTTTTTTTTACTATAATTACGTTTACTTTTTTATTTACATGTATAGAAGATGGTGAGTGAATCGAGTGATAACGTACATTATTTTATTCCTACATTTTGTGAAATAAATTTTTGTGTCGTTAATCTCAACTATTAATCATTTTGTACGAAATGAATCAAAGTTATTTGCCCTTTGGGTATAATTTTTTTCATAAATATATACAATATATTTTTCACGATGTTATAAAGTAAAAAACTTATTTTTGTTGCACGTCTTTTTTTGCTTAGCATCATTTTTGCAAATTGCTCTTATACAGAAATAGAAGATGATCACGGCTCACAACAGACCTTATTTTAAACTAGGATGAATATCATTGCAACACGATGAATTGTGATAAACTGATTGATGTATCGTAATATTTCTTAGGATAAAAAACCGTTCGAATTCACATTCTAATTATTTTCTACAATATCAATGAAAAATGCAGTTAAAAAATTGTTTTTGATCTCCCTACATTTCTAGAGAATATTTGAGTCAAATGAAAAATTAATGTGCTCGTTCAGTCTACCTGAGTGTATTCATTTAATAAAACAATGTGCTATTTTAATCATGTCCCTAAATAATTATGTACGATTGCAAGCAAAAACTTGCCTCACTTATAATAATATTCTTATCATTTAATAAACTATTACTTTAACTTCAATGGCATATTTTTTTTCTCTATTTAATGGAGTTTTGACCTTAGCCTTATATTAGAAGATGAACTAGTTTAGTATCACGTCCAACGTTAATACTGTATGATAGTCGGCTTTGGTCATAAAGAATTTTAGCAGTAATATTCTTTATTTTTCAATCATCACTCTTCAGTTGTTTGTACGCTCTCCGAAGTTTCTTTTTTCTCCTCTTCTTTTTGTGCTCTGAGCTCGGCATCTGAAACAAGTGATTTCAATCGTGAGCAAACGAACGAGAAAATGATCGACTGCGTTACGTGAAATTGTTCACCTTTCACTGCTTGCTCTTTCCAAATTTTTTTATTAGCAGCAAGGCATTCTGTCCACGGTTTTCCAATCTCAAATTTATTTTCCAAAGCTGTTGTAAAAGGAAACAACAAATTATTGATAATTACTCATATTATAGACTAAATTTTATTCTCATTTAATAGATGTAAATCGTACCTCCACCGGACTCGTCGATGCTTTCTTTGGCATTCAACGGAGCCAAAATAGCCTCGAGCATGTCTCCGCAAGCCTGCATACTCGGCTCAACGATGAATTCTATAAAACCTATTTGAGATTCGGCTACGAGCGTACTGTTTCTGTCGCACAGAGGAGAAAAAGGTAGGCCGAGCTCTTTTTCTCGATCGCCTTGTTGAAAGAATTCTTCGAGTAGCTGCATTGTCCATCTTAATGAGAATTTATACGCTTATTAGAACGAAAGAAAAATTGCGGAATTCCCGATAAAAATGGTTTCATCATTACCTGTGATGTAAATCCCAGCGTTTTGCAGGATGTGAGATATCACAACAATGAAGTACGAGGCTGACAGCCTTGCTTTTATCGACGCTTGGTTCAGGCAGACTCAATATATTTTTCATAATTTTAAGCTGCTGGAAATGAAAGCTCATATCTGTAGCGAGAACCATGTCTATAACGAGAGTTCGAAACTCTCGGAATTCTTCTCTCGAGAGATTTTGCAGGATATTACAATCGTCTTCCTTGAGTAATCTGCAATGACGTAAGTTACAATTTTTTAATGTTCTCCGTGTAAAAAATACAATTAGATAGCCTTGCATTGCCAATAAATATTTTATCAATAAATATACATTGAAAGGAATGTAACTTTCAAAGGTTCAGTTTGAAATGAAATTAAAAACGCACCGGAAAGTCGCTGAAATGTGATGATTTTCCAATACAGCTCGATCGTTGTAGAGGAGGGCTTCGTCGCTGCCGGACATCACATGAAAGTTGTTCGTTGTACCCGTATGTTCGAAATCGTGAATTATAGCTGCAACCAGCGTGGCGAAAATTTCCAAATCCGTCAGCCAATTCTTTGAAATCAAACAAGTACAGTAAGCATATGTCCTTGGTAGAAATGAATAACGTTTTATGGCTAGTTTTTACCAACAAAAAAAATTGTTGGAAAATTTTAAGACAATATATTCACATTTTTTGATAATCCGACAGCGCATTCATACCATATCATAAAAAACCGTGCTTGCAGACTTATAAGTTATACAATTAGTTTTACTTTTCCACTTGCAGATTTTGAGATTTGATGAAGGTACTCGCCATCTAGCGATTGAGGCTTGAAGTTGTATTGTCGTATTTAAAGTGGTAAAGACATTTTGATTCTAAGGTTTTCTTTTGGTGACCATTTTAATAACTTATACAATTACTTTGTCACCTGCAGATTTACAGATAATGGTACTCAGGGTCTGTGATAGAAGCCTTAAGTGGCATTATCGTATTTAAAGTAGTTTGGTAGTCGTAAAAAATGCTAAAAACAAGCAAAAATTACCCTGGTATATTCACATCCTAAGAACTGGGCTATCAGTTGGTTATTTTAATTCTAAAAATCAAACACTTATTAACCAATTTTTACACACTAAAAATATTTTTTTTTAATGTCTAATAAATAATACGGAAATGCCCTAACAATAAACCGCCATTATACAAGGTTATAGACCTATTGGTACTCCTCACTCTCAATAATGAGAGTAAGTAACTTGTTTCCATCCAAAATAGCTCCAGTTTTTGGCAAGTTTAATTTCAAACCAGAGTATCTAGTTATCTGGCACATATAATATATCTATTGCAAGCTCGAGCCTTACCATTAGTCCAGTACGAAACAGCACGTAATGCATGGTTTGAGCGACGTCGGCGGCGTGAAGATTGTTGTGATACGGATTGCGGTGGCGGCAGTAACCCTCCTCGATCCTGTTGAGAAAGTTCTCCAGGACAGTGGGCGGCACCTTGAATTTGGGAATCATGCCGTAGCGATTCAGCAGATCGTAGCCCATGTACTTGACCGGCGAGCCCTGGGCGGCCTCGCTCAACGAGAACACGTCGAAGGACCACTCGTCCAGCGTCTGGAATTTCGAAACGAACACGCACGTGAATAGACACGCGGGAGAAAATATATATCTTTCGCGCGACCATCGGCGCAGTACCTTGAGAACTTTCACGACTTCGGGAGGAAATTGCATGAGAGCCGTATTGGTGACTCGTCGGTAGATGCGATCGACGAATATGCCGGCGCGTATCGCGTGCGCCACCGAGCGGAATTTCGGCTTCTCGTCGGCGCGGCGCCTCGTCGTGGCCAGCTGGCGGGTGAACGTCGACGCGAGCCACTCGCGCACCTCGGGCGGCACCGCGTCCGGCTGCACCTCCGACAACTCGTCATCCTCGTCGGCCAGTCGTCTGCGGGATGGAGAATGAAAAGAGAAGAAAAAACAACGTTATATTACACGGTTCGACCGGGGTTCAATCGCCGATTGACAATATTTTTTTACAGTGTATTTGCATTTACTGTAACGCGTCCTCGTTGGGAGGACGCGCAGCCACATTCATGTGTTTTTTTTTTCGTACTATCGATAATGTTTATTATATTGTACACTATTCGAGATTAGCAGGAGTGTTGAGAGTGTTAATTATTATTTTTCAATTTTAAATACGTATCGTTAGAAATTACATGTTCAACTTTTTTATTACCACAAAAATTGTTAGCTCTAATGACAATGTTATTGGTGCTGCTTTTCATAAAAAAAGGAGCCACAATTCTTTGAAGCATTAATCTAGCTTTCTAATTCAACCGTATACTCTAAAACTTTTAAAATTGTAATTCTTTCGACCGTATAAGGAGTATTTCTAATAAAATAGTACAATATGTAGCAGGGATATAAAAATGGGTTGAGCTTCGCACGTGAGTTGATCGTCAAGATGCGAGTGTATAAACTTGATTATTACCCCAAACCAGTTATTTTATTTTTCATTGTCATGTGCAAGGAGTTGACTTTTCGATGGTAATAGCGAAAAAGCTCAACTTCGTGCACATGTGATAATGAAAAACTATTTTTGAAACTAATGAAAAATAATTAACAAATGCCGGAGATGTTCATTCAAATTGTATAATCAAGTATCTATGATAAAAGTGTAAAATTTTTTATGTAAAAATCCCTTCCCAAATTCTTGATATAAAAATTTCAATGTTTACTCTTTGGCTACATTAGAAAGTATTTGTACATTTGTATTTAGCCTAGAATGAAAAGTTCCACTGCTTTTATTCAGTAAAATCTTGTGTATAGATCTATGATATAAAATAATTTTCTATTTCATTAATGTTTTCATCTTTATAGTTTATTATTTTTGAAGATGGTTAAAATTCTATTCTCAAGTTAATGTTAGCTGATAGATTCCACTAAAAAGAAAATGAATCAAATATTTTACTTATACTTCGACAGGTATGGAAACAACAAGTATCAAAAGAGAGTTCCATCTAACACGTTTTTCTATACATAAATTATAATTGAACATCGATACATTCATGCAGTGTTTTTTATTACATTATAATTTTTGTATTTTGCTTGAATTTTTACACACTGTGTAAACATTCTGTTAGAGATAATTAGAGAAATATAAAGACACTCAGGTGATAAAAAAAATAAATATAATAGAAAGGAGAGAGAGAGAGAGAGAGAGAGAGATAGAGAGAGAAAGAGAGAGAGAGAAGTTTAGAGATAGAAAGAGAGCTTTCAATTTCAGTAATGGACAAACCTACGACGCACGTTCTGCTGTCCACTGGCTTCCTTCTCCATTCTCTCGGCGTCTCTACAAAGCAAAACACCAAGAAAATAACAACAACCATGGTAAAAGAGGACGTGTAACTGAATTAATTTTTAATAAGTCGTAATTAACTACCGAAATATTGTCACTAAAGTGTATTTGATAATTAACTTCAGTGTTTGAATTTGAAACATAACATTCATAAACAAATGAAATTCGGAAAAATTTGCTCATGTGTACAACTTAATTTTTTAGGATAAAAATGATGTGTACGTGGCAAGTCTTGTGACGGGTCGTTCAAGATGTGTTATGCAATTTACTATACAGGTGTAAAATCACTTTGGCTTTTTTAGACGTCTCGAACGAGAGGACTGTAATAAAAATATTTGACTGGTGTATATACTACTCTCTTTAAATTTGAATATTTAAAATCTTTCATTTGAAAGTCATTTGTGCTTTTTGGATATTTAAATGGGCTTTGATGAATCGATTAGTCGATATAAAATAATACTTTTCATGTAACACTTTGCCACGCAAATTTTTTTAATTTGATATTTTTTTCATTGAAATTCCACAATAATTGCATTTTCTTGATTTTACTGATTCATTTGCATTCATTTAATATTCTAAAAACACACGTAGATAATGAAATTGAAGCATATTGTTCGAAATATTATGGTTTATCGTAAATGTATACTTTGATAAAAAGTAATTGAACTTTTTCATTTTCGATATTGAAAAAATTTGTAATTCTAATACTTATAAATTATGCATTGTAAAAGGTATTACAAGCATGTTGCAAGTCAAATCAATAATTTTACTGAAATGTAATAGATTATTCTGTCTATGATAAAAAAAAAGGAATCCACTTTTGTACTAAATTAATTTTGCTAATCGATTTTAAGATACACTTCTTGATCTTAGTAACTAGATCAATGCTATAAGAGCTTTGGGTCGAAAGTACAGAGTACATAAACAGATATAATGTAACAATATAGTTATGAGAATTTAGTCTAGTTTAAAAATTCTATTGTTTCGAAAGGATAACAGAATATAGCTATAGAAATAGGGTAGGTGCAAAAGTGCGTACGATAAAAAACAACTAAAACGTTTCTGAAAAAGAGGTCCCCATTCATGTAGACATGTAGTAAAAAATATCTAATTTTCACGAAAAATTTTCCATATGCATGCTAAGGTTTGGGAAATATTTACAGAACTGTACGAAGCATTTTCCAAAACAATAATCACTTGGTAATAGTAATACTTTTTCTAAAAATACTCGATCACGAGTCAAAGCATTTTTGCAGCTCGACAAAGTTATTTCTTATGGCTTTCGCCGTGAAATAATAAAATTAGTTTTTCTGTAGCATATTTTTAGAAAAAAGTTTTGGAAAATAGTGTAGTAACTTTAAACCGTTGCTTTTGATTGTAGTGGATGAGTGTGTGACCGTTTGTTGTTTGCGTTGAAAACGGTGACTTAAAAAATGCTATTGACAACAGACTTTTGAAAATCAAAATATTCCAATCGATCTAAAGTACATCTGCTGAGAGAAGTTTCCGTTTTGCAATTATAGCTAAAATTTCGATCCATGTTGAATAACAATTCAACGGTCTTGAAAATTTAAATACATTTTTTTTAAGAACACTAACATCTCCCAGTAGATAAAATTCGTAGTATACTGTCATATACAAAATAAATACCTAGTGAAAACAAATTCTTAAAAAAATTCTGAACAATTTATGTCAGAAAGCGTCGGTTGAAAAAGTTGGGGAGTGAAATAATGGATGCTGTAAATAGAATTTTTTCTGGAACACAGTTGCAGAAAACTTTCTTCGTGAAAAAGAAATATATAAAGAACGAAAAAAAAAAAACATGTGGCTCATCTCCAGTAATAAGGGGGAGGGTCATTCAACCGACGCATTTCTATGATAAGGGAGGTGTAAAATATAATATAAACTGAAAAGAGGAGGTCATTTGTTGGAAATTGTTAATGTTTGTCGCAACCTGGCCCACACGGGGGTGCGCAGCTTCCGCTTTTGCGTAGCCACGGCGTGACTCTGCGATCCATCGTGGTCGAAACCGCCGCCGCCGCCTGGCGGTGGTGACGTTGTCGAGGGCGCCGATTGCAAGCCTGTCGCTCTACCTGACGTTCGCGAGGTCACCCTAGGGTAGTGCTCATTAGTCATGTATGGAAAAAATTTTCACGTGACAAATGAGATTTGTGGACATATATTCGTTTTCATTGGCGCTGTTTTCCACTGTAAAATCTACTTCAACTCGGAACAAACAATTTTTCGTTTAAATTCTATTATCGCCGCAAAAAAAATTGATCATCGTTAGATTAATTTGGTAATTATCTAAGGATATCACTTTTGGATGTTCGATGAATAATGCATATTGAACTCAATGATGAAATATAGTTGAGATTATAGTTCTCCTTTGATTTTTTATAATTTTCGTTCAAATAATACACACTTATTGTAACTGAAGCTAAAAATTATTTTTGAATGGATTTACTATGATGAATTCAATAGTAAAAAAAGTATTCAACAGAATTTGCCAGGATTAGTAGAAAGAAAAAATGTGAATTCAAGAATTTTATGTAATAAAAAGATTAATTTTCTAATGAATTAATCATTCATAATTCTGACCTTCTCTGTAGATATTGTTATTGTCAATGGAAAATTGTCTTGATTCAAGTACAATTATAATTCTGTTTCGATTTTTTGTTCATTTGTGAAATTATTGAAAATATTTGAAAGAAAAGCGAAAATTGAAATTGGTGAATTACCAATTAAATACTCAAAGAAGAAGTAAATTAAAAGAAAATTCTATTCAATAAAGGATTAATGAAACCTTGCCTATTGAAATTTTAAATTATAATATCATCCTGCGCTGTAAATAAAAATCTTATCCAACATTATATTCGATATAATTTTCGATGATTACTTTCCATTCTCAAATAAAGAATATTTTGAATGATTGAGATTTTTTTTAAAGATAGATGAAAATTGCAGAAAAAATTGCAAAAACTTGCATCAACTTTAAAAAATGTTACGTTTGAAGTAGTAAAAATCAGAATACTGATGTACTTGAATACTTTTGAAAAATATTCCAGTGAATAGAAGTTTGGAATAAATTATTAACATTGATCAATAGAAACGAGAAACAACAAACACTTATCTGTGTAAGTATTGCCAAGAATGCTTTCTAAATCAACAGGGACACTGAGATCAGTGTTATCATTAAAAATTCCAGAAGTTCGTTTGAGATATAGATTTGATAGATCGATATTATCATACGGGTTTTTGAGTTTATTTACAAACAAATTTTAAGTTTACATTCTGCTTTTTTTTATCGCTTCTATAGTTAACTTCCAATTTGAATTTTCATGTTAATAACTTCAAACTTTATGTTCAATAAAAAATACGATTTTTACATTATGACACAGTAAAATGTTCCAAGTAATATCTCAGATCTTCAAAATTGATTGTACAATACGTTACAATTGATATTCTTGAATCTTTGAATTTCTATCGTTAATAATATTTAGGATGTTTTATTTGAAATCTTCGAAATTGAAGGAAGATTATCCTTCGATAATATAATTCATAAGTAAAATAATCAAGATTCTTGAATAACTTGTAAAAACTAGGGCCTTAAGTAAACTCTTGTAAAAATGCCTAAGGATTGATCTTCTTTGATCACTGAAAAGCGACTAAAAGTCGTGTATAATATAACCATTTTTAAAATAGATTATTCATTTGAATTTGAAATTCAGTTATTCATCAATATATTGCGTACTTCTTTCATGTTTCAAAACATCTCTTGTTAAAGCAGTACTCACTTTGTTTCATCGATGAAGACTGCTTCGAGCACGCGGGCGGCATAGTGCAAATTTTTTTGTAAAAGATCTGCAGATATTTCGCCATGTTGCAATTTACGCAGCAGGCACCTTAATCTGAAAGTAGAAAAACCAATGACGTAATTTGAGTTCTTTGGGTTACATCGAATTTGGAATTCGATTGAAAAAAGGATATCCTACCGAAGGGCTGCTTTGTCACAGGCATCTGGAGTATCGATAGCGGGCAGAGATTCTGTAGCAAGATCTACATTATCGAGAATCTCGTCAATATCAACCGATTGGCCCCGTGGATAAGCTTCGGGGCTGTTGGAATGACACGTGCTTTCGAAGCTTCCACTTGTGTTTGTGCGATTTTTAGCGGAGCTTCGACGTGTTATTGTCAAAGTGCCTTGTTCTGAAAATAAAAGTTATTCATTTATTTTTGTATTCTTTTTTTTTAAACTAGTTTCATAATGTGCGATAGTCTCTCGTGTTTGTGTGTTAAGATATCTATTCTTTATGCACATGATTAACACATTTTTTTCAAAATATTGAATATTTCAACTTTGAAATAAATATTGTTTTACTGTGTCCAAATGTGTAAAACGATGTAGTGTTGTTACTAGGTGTATTATATAGCTCACTTGACAGCTGACCATTACGGCCTGGCGAGAACGAGGAGGTGGACGAATTTTGTGACTGCGAAATCGTATCAGCGGGCACACCCTGAGATGCGCAGCTCGCATTGGCAGGTGGAGCCACGCTGCTGCCGCTGCTCTGTTGCTCATTGCCGACCTCGAACTCTTCTCTCGTCTCGCGTCTTTCTGGTGGAGATGCGACTGAAACATAAAATATATGAATAAGATAAAGCAGTAAGGAAAAATATGCTTTTATAGTCATTTTTATGAGGATTTTGATTTATTTGCTTTTATTTTTTTACGATTCGATGGTGCACACTTGGAGTTCTGTTTGGAAAATAGTTTGATACCCTAGTTGATATGCTTAACATTTGATGGCTATTGTTTAGCCAACAAAAAAGTTTTTTAGACATAAAAGGGCCACGGGAAGTAGGCATTTACCATGGTACATGGAGAGACCTGAGATTTAAAACTTTTAAAACTGTGACTTATACAATTAGTTTTACTTCGCCTCTTGCAGATTCAAAGATAAAGGTATACTCGCCATCTAATGGCGGAAGCTTAAAGTGATGATATAGTATTAAAGTGGTGAGTAACTGACCTTGATTTTTTGAAACAATTTAATTTTCATTTTTAAGTAGTGTAAAATGCGTTCTATAATCATAAAATATAGAAAAATCTTCAAATTAATAGTCAATTGATAGTAAGGTAATTTAAATGATTTCAAATAATCATTATTTGTTCAATGGGCCATTTATATCTTGTAGTACTAGAAAGTACTATAATTAAAACAAATTAAAGTACATCCAGTGATCGATATAAAATATTTCTGGTTTGCAAATTGACAAACCATTGAAAATAATTGTTACGGATGGTAAATTAATTATTTTAAAATATATTCTTCTGAGATTTTTAATTAAATAAATAGTTGTAGCTATATTAAATTTGATTAAATTGCGTTAAAATAAACTGTAAATAATGCTTAAAAGAAAAGACAGCTGAAATGGACAATTTCAAATGGACTACGCACCGTGCACATTATTTTAAAATAGTACAGAAATAATTAACCAAATTTACATCATTTACAAGAATATTTTTCACAAAACAATTTTTTTCGAGCCAAAAAATAGTGTACCGGTTTCAAGCGAATACGTCTAGCATCCTCGAAAAGCTCGTACATCCTCTTACATCCTTCAACATTTTTTATTTTTATCATTTCTTTATCTGCAGCATAATTTTAACTGACTATTTGAAATGGAGAAGTCATAATTTTTTCAACAGTATATTCTGGATAAATTAAAGATAGAAAATTGTTGTTTTATCATTTATTAATGAGCCAAATAAAAAACTTGACTTAACATTTTCAGTGAAAAGCAAATTTATTATAAATCGCTCGAGAAATATTCGCGAGCTTAATGAACATCGCGACGGAGCGGATGAAAATAAAAAAAAAATCTAAAGAGCCCTTCATTAAATTACTCCTGGTATGTTTTAATTGAATATTGGCTTAATTACGGAAAAATGCAGAAATAAGTTGAAGCCTTTTTTTATTTCATAGACAAATTACGATGTCAGACTGTAATGGCCAACGGTATAACGAAACGAATAATCGAAGCACGATGTTTCGATTATCTTTTAAGTTTATCAAAACATCAAAGTTTCAAAAGAAAAAGAAGAAGAAACCGATGAAAATAATCCTCGAAAGCTGCGGTATGGATTGAATTTATTCCATCGGAAAATACATAAATACACTTTAATCTGGTCGGAGAGGTCGTAAGATCTCGCGAAACGTGTATACTAGGGTGGTCCACTTTTTCAAAAATTTTTTTAATCTTGGGGGATCCAACGGAATCTGAAAGTTTAAGGTTTAAAATGAATTTTCCCGTAAAGTAGTGTTAAAAAAAATGATTTTAGATGGTGTCGATGGATTTTTGAAGTTTTTTTTTGACGTAAAAAAATCGCAGCCGACAGGAGGCACTTCGATAGTTTGCCAGATTTTCTATAAAGCCATAATGGGTTTTGTGAATACATTTTCTTTTGTATTTTTTGCCGTAGAATCGAATGCCATCATTAGTTTTGGGCTATAAAAACGATTTCAGTGAAAAAATTGCGATTTTTGAATTTTTTTCTGTTGAAAAATCGAAAAATTCGTCTTTTCACGTCTGGCAAATGAACAAAAAAAATCGTAGAAGCTTTTAATCTACGGATTTAGTTAGGAAATTTCATAACGAATCGAAGCCCGTCGTCGGTTTTTGCCTACAAAATTATTTTAAGTCATAAAATTGCGATTTTCCGTAGCTATGATTACGAAAAAAATCGAAAGATGCGCCTTTTAGCGTGTTAACATACACTGAATGTAGCTGTGAGCATTTTAACATGGTTTTTAATGGGATTTTTGGCGTAGAATCGAATGGCGTTGTTACTTTTACGCTACAAATCCATTTTCAACGAGAAATCGCTCCTTTTTGAATTTTTAAACATGAAAAATGACCATTAGGCGCCAGAAAATCAACTAAATAGTCTAGTAAGTATTCAAACATGTTATTTGTCGGGATTTTTTTCGTGGTATCGAATTTTGTTGTTACTTTTACTCTTTTAATTTATTTTCAGCAACAAATTGCCTTTTTTGTAGTTTTACTAACGCAAAATATCGAAAAATGCTACTTTTGGCAACGTAAAAATTTATAAAATTATCTGATCATATTTCTTTTATAAGTAAAAGAACGTGATCCAAATAAGGCAATTTGTTGCTGAAAATAAATTAAAAGAGTAAAAGTAACAACAAAATTCGATACCACGAAAAAAATCCCGACAAATAACATGTTTGAATACTTACTAGACTATTTAGTTGATTTTCTGGCGCCTAATGGTCATTTTTCATGTTTAAAAATTCAAAAAGGAGCGATTTCTCGTTGAAAATGGATTTGTAGCGTAAAAGTAACAACGCCATTCGATTCTACGCCAAAAATCCCATTAAAAACCATGTTAAAATGCTCACAGCTACATTCAGTGTATGTTAACACGCTAAAAGGCGCATCTTTCGATTTTTTTCGTAATCATAGCTACGGAAAATCGCAATTTTATGACTTAAAATAATTTTGTAGGCAAAAACCGACGACGGGCTTCGATTCGTTATGAAATTTCCTAACTAAATCCGTAGATTAAAAGCTTCTACGATTTTTTTTGTTCATTTGCCAGACGTGAAAAGACGAATTTTTCGATTTTTCAACAGAAAAAAATTCAAAAATCGCAATTTTTTCACTGAAATCGTTTTTATAGCCCAAAACTAATGATGGCATTCGATTCTACGGCAAAAAATACAAAAGAAAATGTATTCACAAAACCCATTATGGCTTTATAGAAAATCTGGCAAACTATCGAAGTGCCTCCTGTCGGCTGCGATTTTTTTACGTCAAAAAAAAAACTTCAAAAATCCATCGACACCATCTAAAATCATTTTTTTTAGCTCTACTTTACGGGAAAATTCATTTTAAACCTTAAACTTTCAGATTCCGTTGGATCCCCCAAGATTAAAAAAATTTTTGAAAAAGTGGACCACCCTAGTGTATACGTCCCTTTGATCCCTGCGTTTTCATTTTGCCTCTCGGCGAGCGCAGGTAACCTATCGATGCTAACCACCCTAATAAGATCTTATCACAATCAACGTCGCGCGCGCGTGGCTCTCCTTCGTGGCACGAGTGAAAGAGAGAAATATTTCTCTCTCTCTCTCTCGGCTTTGAAAACACGAGCTTTTAGCAGGAAACGCTAATTGCAATTTACGAATTCATAAGAAAACCGCAAAGTTTTTGCAACGATTCCTGGCACTTCTGCCAGAGAGAGAGAGATTATAAGTACTCTCGAAGCGATATGCTTCTGCTGCTTTATAGGCCGCGTCGCGGCGGCGATGACTAGGATAATATTACTAACCGAAGCCCTCGGCAAAAGCGACGTAAGAAATGAAAGCCATGTAATTCAGCTGCTGCTGCTGCACTGCCAATCTCGGAGGCAGGCCTTTCGCGGAAATTGCGTAAAGTTATTGCCTTTTAGCGCCCGCTGCAGATCTCATCGTTGAATTTTAATTAATTCCCATAGACGTAGAGAGAGAGAGAGAGAGAGAGAGAGAGACCTTAAGGGAAAGAGAGCGAGAGCCGAGGCACGACCGTTTTCTTGAAACTCTTGAAAGGTCAGAGCTTTACTTATATACACGCGCACAAACACACGTATATACACACTGCTACCGTGCGTATGTATACGATATTTGAGTCGTAAACACTAGACATCGTGAGTAAGAGCTTATATACCCGCCCCTGGATGATAATCCGAGAATACACGCGAGCTCGCGCGAAGCTTTGAGCATCCTCTTCGTCAATTACGAACTCGCCATGTAGCTCGGCTCGTCTATATACCATACTATATATCGACTGATCGCAGCCGAACCGAGTTGTATGTATACACACACAGCAGTACCTACAGTTCCACAGCTCTACGTGCGAGGTTGAGTTTCTCGATGTGCGCACGTTTACACACACACACACACACGCACGCATACGGACACAATGGGAGGGAAAAGCGACCGAGCGTTAATAAAAGCTCCTACTCGATTCGACAAGTTTACACAGGCCCCCGTTGTAACTTGTTTAATAAGTTAACTAATTACAAGACACGAGCTCTCTCGCGAGAGAGAGAAATACGTACGTTACGTCTACATACTTATAAGCGCGTATACACAGCGGCATAAAGTCCGAACTTGTAAATAGCACAGCGACACGGAAGGACTCTTCGATAAAGTGTGTGTGTACCACTCGGGATTATTTTCTATATATATATATATATACGTATCTGCCGTAGCGTTGCAAGTTTTCGAGAGCCGGAGGAGGACGCGGTGCGCGCGGAATTGTGTTCTTGTGAACTATCCTATAGACCAATGTATATATAGCTTAAGATTGCGACGTCTTGTGTATTAGATGTATATACATAGGACGACTCGGGCGCAGAACTAGTAGTCGAGAAGCCTTGAGCTAGTAATTCCTAGAGTAATGATTCGAGAAATTAGCCTCGAACTAAATTACTCGTCGACGCAGCAGTAGCAGCATCCAGAGACCGTCCGACCGACTGGAATTCCGCAGGCTTATATACTTTCTGATGCTTTGGCGGCACGCATAATGGCTCGAGTGGTCTAACTCTTCGGTATATAATGCGGACCAGCATAAGTGCCGCGCGCGCGTCGAAAACAGAGGAAATATTCCGCATCCGAGATTCTCTTCCACTCGGCGAGCGAGCTTCTTTGATAATATATACAGAGGTCGGAAAATTTTTTCGCAACGAGGAGCGCGCAAGAAGGTACGTCTTTGTTTCTTAATTACCTCGCCGTTTATATAAGCTACTTTGAAACTCGATACTCGATAATTACTCAATTTGTAATTGAACGACGCCGAGTTTCGTATCCTCGAATTTTGAGTAGATGACTCTAAGCTGTTGTTTTACAGTTCTTTGAGCTCGGTGTAAAGACGATGTTTTATTTCGCCGGATAAGTATACGAGAGAAATGGCATTTTTGGGTGTACCGGAGACAGAAAGAGACAAGTTTCATTTTATCGATCACGTTTTACGAGACTATGAAGTGACGCGTAAACTTTCCCGACTGTTTTCCAGATCAATTGACTTCGAAGCGTTCGCGAGATAAAGGAAATGACAGAAATATTTTCTATCTGTGGCACGGGTCGAGGGATGATAACATAAAAGAAGTAAAATCGATCGAGAGAGATAGAATTATCACTTTAATAAAATAGACAAATAATTGAATCGAGCAAAAAGTCAAAATCGACAATAATAGTTCAAATCGGTAGCAGCGAGTACGGTGTAATTAAACTTTTTTTATCTTACGAGCTCGAAGCGAGTCCATATCGTCGAAATTTCAAATTTTACAAGTAATAAAAACACACACTTAAAAGGTTTATGTTAGCACGGTTAATTGCCATTAAAGAAGCATAATTGATACTTGGCTTATAAAAGCACGTGATTAAAAGTGTGTGTATAAACACGAATCAAAAAATGATGAGTAAAATGCACACAGGGCTATTATTTCTCATCGTCTGCATACAAATTATGCTTGTATAACGTTTTACGTACACTAATTCACGTTCTCGTTATACAATGCTCGCCTTGGATAATTTTCTGATATGCTAAAAAAATATTATACTTTGATGACTCAATTATTCATGTAAGAAGCTTCAGTAGCGAATTGTAAGATGTGAAATTAATTAACACCCCGTAAATCTACGCCCAAGTAGCTAAACTGCGACATAAAATTGAAGAAATCGAATCGACTTTTTTTTCACTTCCTACTTAATTAATTTTAAAATAATTTTATTCGGAAAAAATTCATAACACCAGCATCGATCGGAAAACAAACATGATACAATTTTTTTCTCGATGACATCATTCGCTCCGACGGAGATTTAATTTTAACAGCTGTTACAAATTACATAATGCAAAATATCATCCAGACAATTGAAATAATACGAGCTGATTCGCATCTTTGCAATTTACATCGCTCCGTTTTGCGATCGAGCGCGACAAAAACGTGACGCATAAGTTAATTCGAGTCGCGGACGTTTGCGAAATCTTCGCTCTCGCGCGCGCGCGCAGATTTTCATAAATTTATGCAAATACAAATGTGCATTGAAAATTAAGTGCATTCAACTTTTCAGAAACTGCCAACGAGAAACGACGCGCGTAAGTGCAATCGGAACAGAAATTTGTTAACTCGTATATATACCGAGTTCCCCAGCAACAACAGCACACAAAAAAATGAACCGAAAAAGTACTTTCGAGAGCAATCTTTTTTCTTTTCCCATCTCTCTTTTTATTTTGACAAATATCGTACACTCTCGCATTGTCAAAAGCTGTATCAGAGAGAGCATACACGGGGTAGCGTCTTCGTTGTATATATATATTTTTTGTCATCCGTATATAGTTATGTTTAATCATTTTTTGTGACATGGTTGAATCTCGCTTCTTGATGTCACCCGATGTATAACGCGTGCGGCGCATGTGAGAGCAAAATATTGTTTTCGCTCGATATATACACACACGTATGTATGCTGCCTCGACTGCGTACGTGCACGACAACACCTGCGCGCGCGCGCGTGTGTGTGTGTGTGTGTGTGCGGATGAAATATTGCAGTGGACATTGCGAGCTGCGACGACGATGGTGTAGAGTGCACTTTTATCTGGTGAAAACGATAGCGAGGGGAGCAGCGACATACTGCCCTCTCTGCCTCGCCTGTATATATACAGTCGCACGGTCGATATTCGTCCTTTTTTTTTTTTTTTTTTTNCCTTTTTTTTTTTTTTTTTGTTGCCATGTCTCTCGCGTCCTCGCGCGCAACTCGTTAAGACGCTTTATCAGGTGTGTGTGTGTGCACTTTTTGGGGACGATTTTTTTTTATTTCCGAAAAAGTCGAGCGAGGAATAAAATGTATAAAAGTACAAACGGCGAATCAAATGTCCTGGTCTGAGTCGTGCCATATTCGTCGTGTAAAGGACAATATTTTACTCGTGAAATTTGAAAGTTTTAATATCTCGTGTTTCTGAAATTGAGATTTGATGAAAAATTTGATATTATAATGGCAGTATACTGAAAAATTTAATGTTTTCCGTCTAAGTTTCATGAAATTTGAACTATTTCCATAAGAAAAAAAGTTTATAATTTTATGTCGATACATCACTATGCTCTCAAGATTTATAGAAAAAATTTTTACGAGAATATTTCATTCAACTTCAACCAACGATAACTAGCACAGTAAAATTCCTTCAGGTAGGGATTTTTTTACACGCGTCCGTCCCTATTTAATAAAATTAAAAATAACGCAATTTTATTTAGAAAAATTTTACTTCGAAACTCCGTTCGATCGGAGAGAGCTTGCACTATTTTTAATCCCGTTAACTATAATTATTCGAAAAGAAGGATCGTCGAAAGGCGTCAAAACCATGAGATTTAAACGAAAGGCTTGATCTCGCTAAAATGTTTGAGCAACGCGTCGGCGGGTATATACCTTTGATTTACCGATAAGATTAAATCCAATCACGCACGACCAAAGTATACTTGTTTACGCCTCGGCTATACATATAATCTATTTTTGATGAAACGTTTTCATTCGTCAGCGTGATGCACTCGCTTCGCTCCAAAGTTCGCTCAATTAGTATTAAAATATATATTTACTCGAATTCGATGTTCAATACCGACGCGTATCATAAATAATGTTTTATAAACGGCGCTCTGCCTCTCTCTCTCTCTCTCTAACGCGACGATGAACCCTGACCAACGCCGAGGCATTAAAGTGAAATAAAATAAAAAATAAAACGAAACGAAATAAAACAAACGAACATCAGCCTGGTGCATGTTATTGCGTATTATATATATGTATATATAACGCCAGCCGCAAGCTCTCTCTCTCTCTCTCTCTCTCACTCGGCACATTTCCAGGGCGCCAGGGGGTTGGTTATACAGTAGTATTGTATGAGGAGGTGCAGAGAGCTGCAGCAGCAGCAGCAGTGCAGTGTGTGCCAGCACACACACAGTGTGCACCTGGATATTGATTATAGCGCGGCGCGCGCGTACGCACCTCACTCTCTCTCTCTCTCGACCGCGCCGTTGTACAACGCCAGGCAGGCAGAGGCAAGGTATATATAGGTACACACAGAGGCTCTATACTGCTGCTCCTGCTATACTACTACTAGCTACTATAACTGCCTACTGTTGCTTAACAATAGGCCGTGTGAGCGCGCGCTACCTGTCAGAGCCCGGCGGCGTCGTGATTCCAATTCCATAAAAATGCAAAAACGATTGTTAAAAAAAAAGAAAAAAAATGATAATAAACGCGAGGACTGCCCAAAGTACTCGAAAGTATACGTGCGAGTCGAGGTTTGATAAATTTGCGTGCTCGAAACTATATACGGCAGCAGCGGTGATTGATGCGTGTATACGTTTATAAGTATCGGTCATTTTTGTGAGCCCAGACTCGACGTCAATATTTACAACTTTTATCGACGATATATACGAAGCGAATTATTATTTTATGATGCCAATTTGGATAGTTAATTTCGAGGATATTAATAGAGCTGTATAATCTGTTAGAAAATTATGAGTGATTGATAAAACATTTTTTTCATTCAATCGGTGAATACACACACATGATAGTGTTCAGACATCGAAATTTTATTGCTGGGATTACTTTTTCGTCGGGTGGATATACATTGGTTTTTCTTTCTTCTTAGGATATGCAAAAATAGAGGTGTGTGTAAAAAAGTAAGCTCACTCCAAAAACCAGCGTGCAAAAAAGTATGTCAAAAAAGGAAGAAAAAAAAAGAAATATTTCAATTGTAAAAATGAATTTATTTATAAAAAAGATAGAGCAGATAAAATGAGGCAAAAAAGTAGGTAAAATTTTATTCAACAAGATAACAAGTGAAAAAACATTAGGACGAAGAAGAATAGGATACTTTTTTTTTCCAGGAAAAAGTTTAAAAGAAATCCACAGTAATAAAATTTTGACTCACCATTTTTTTCGCGCGGCGAAATTGCTTTTGAAAGTAAACCTAAAAGTGAAATGAGTTGTTTTAGATGAACTTGCTTTTGTTGTTAGAATATTAAAAGCTCTTAATGTTTCAAAGTATGCAAAAAAAAAACAAGACAAATGAAGATGTACGGAAAAGACCTTCCAAAATATTCCTGCTTTTAATTTTCTTAAAATTTCTTTAATTCAATTACTCAAACTTCGTGTTGGTAGCGTTATTATCAAAACGACCACATTTTATCTAATTTGGTTCTCAAAATTATAGCCAGACACCGACCAAAAGTCACGTAGATGGGAAAAAATTTTCTAGCACGGCGAGTAGATGAAATCTTCAACATTCGTACACGAATAAAAGTTTTACTTATTCGGTCCGCAATTAAAGCAACAATAAAAAAAAAAAATCTCGTCTCTAATAAATCTCTCTCTCTTCTTTAATTAAATCGCCACGCAGTATTTCGCCCCTTATGCAGCTTGGACTTATTAAACCAAACGAAACAACGACAACGAAAAAAAAAAAAAAGAGCCAAAGCAACCGACTCGTTCTTTTACGCGACAAGGATAGTTAATCAACTCTCCCGCGAGTTGAATAAATTACGAAAAATGTCGTCGACGCAGCAGCAGCAGCAGCAGCAGCAGCAGGAGTGGAGGAGGCTACATTTTAATTCTATTATATGTAACAAAAATGTATAAGCCAGAGAGTCAAATTTTTGGGTGGATCGTTTCTTACCACTAAATCTTCCAAGTTTATGCTCTTTACAGGATAATTCTGATAAAACGGCAAATAACTCGTAAGCTCTTTCTCGTTTTAGGGGCGAGAGATGGGCTAGGGGTGAAGGGATGCGATGCAAAGACGCGCGTTACGAACGAGCCTCCACCTACATTTCTGTACTCAGCACGTATACCCAACAGACCGAGCGCGCACGTAACTTTAGGATATAAAGGTAACAGTCGGCTGCTGCTCTTCAGCTCTCTTCGGTCCAGTGCGTACTTTATCTTTTTTTTTCCTCCCTCCCTCGCTCTCTTCCTCCTTTCTTTTTTCCTTTTTTTTTTACCCTGCCCACGTCACTGGCTATATCCCGTATAATGGAAAAAAGTTCAAGTTGGTTTCGAGCGTGCATGCGCGCGTACGACCTGCTGCAGAGAGAAAGAGAGAGAGAGAGAACTGTAAAAGCTCTATCAGAAACGCGGTTTCTCGCCTGTTTAATTACGCTCACCCCAAGGGAGATACCCTCTCTCTCTCTCTCTCTCTGTCTCTTTCGTGTAACTCAATCGCTTCACTTTGCCGACTAGCACGATTTTTTTTTCTTGCTCGGGAGAGAGAGAGAGAGAGAGAGTAAAAAGAAATAAAAACTATGCGAACTACTCTACACTCGTCGGTTAAAAAGGGACATGCGCGCGAGAGTTTCGCAAATATTACACGGAAGCGATAAACGTTTTATACAATCGCCGCGTACTATCACTTTGGCGAGTTTTAATAAAAGCTCGCCACTCGAACGTCGTGTACGCGCGTACACGTACTCGACGCGCTTGCAGCCTTTAACTTCACCCGAGCCACACACATGTATGTATAATGACCAAAGATCAAATTTTATTGGAATATCGTCGACGTCGTCGTAGTCGCGGGCCGCTTGTGGACAAATCAAATATCAATTTCCATCAACCTCGCGTCGTACATACATTAAAACGGCAAATATATATGTACACGTATACGTGGAGGAAATTTCGAGCATCGTCGGAATTTCCAATATACGCTCAATGGAAATCTCTTATACTCCAACGTCAATCGTGTACACTCGAAAAATAAACGAGTAAAGACTGTGACGGATTAATAAAATTAGGGATTAATTGCAATTGCTGCTCATCTCTCTCTTCTCTCTCACTGTGCGCAAAATCAGTATTGCGTTCGACACTATATTGCAAATCTATATTTGCCATTTATACAGTCATTCGTGCGCTATAGTGTATACGAATGAGAGATACACTGCGACGCAGCAGCAGCAGGAGAAATAGCGACGCTGTACACGTAGATGCTGCACCGAAAATCGTAATTACATTTTGCAATTACTTCCGCTAATCGCCGAATGCGCGCAGAGCTCGCTCAGCCGCCGCCGTTGCCCATGTACCATAGCGTCGTTTGTTAATCCCTCAATGAGTCGTGTGCGGAGCTTCTAGTTTTCTCCGACACGCGCCCGAGATGCGTACGTGTTCGGCAAGATATCCGCGCGCGATTCAGCGACGAAATCGTGCGGCGCAGGCACGGGCGGGATATATAAGAGAGTTTCATTTTAAGAATCCGAGGTTTGTATAAACGCGAGGATCCGGATGATTAATATTTTTCGTGACGAAACGGAAACGAGACGGCTGGTATATACGACGCATACAAGTGCATACAACGAACGATCGTTATCGACGACGTACGAAAAGAAACGAAAAAACAATATTTACATCGAAATCCGCATCGTTGAAATTAGCGCACGTACATGATCGTCGCGAGCAAAAACGTGTAAAATATATCAGCGCGTCACGCTAAATAACTGCGGCAAAGATTATTATTGAAAATAAAAAAAAGTTAAAAAATAAAAAAGTAGCTCGACCACCGGCGCGCAGATATACGGATACACTTAATAACGAGCGCGTGTATCACGTGTGCCGAACAATTATATCAATGTCTCGCGGGCCTGCGAGCGCGACTGTGTACTTGTATATCGCGTGTGTCTCTCTATCTTACCCGAGGCTGTGTAGCCCGGCTATATATATTATATATAACGCGCGGCTGGCGCGAGATCTCGTGCCCGCAAACATTTTGCGCGTCGTCGTCGTCGCATTGCTTTCGTCATCCTCGCACACACATAGAGAGACACGGTATATATGCACTGCGATTTGTGCAGGTGCTATATACACCGCCTTAATGTACATACACTCGATCGTCGTGCTGCTGTTGCTGCAGTGTCAACGCCGCGGTGGGCCGCCGGGGGCGGGGGAGTCGGTCGCGTATACACATACCGTCGCACACGACAAAGAATGTGCGATGCAGCACACATAATATATACACGCGCTTGGATAACGTGCCTAACTTGAGAAATTCGGGGCCGTCGATGCTATTCGCGTTGCATATATACATAAGTTCGTGCGCCCTGCGTGTATATGTATGTATACGTCCGCAACAAAGTGGACCAACCTTCCGCGCGCGCTAAATTAACTGATTTATACCTTTGTCTTTGCGCAAGTATGTGTGTGCGATGCGATGCAAGCGACTGTATATTCGCATGCTGGCTCGCACGCACGCGCACACATGAATATCTATACCACATGACTAGTAGCAGTCGATTGTATTAATACATGCATGTACGCCGCGCGCCCGTTGACATCTGTGCGCAGGTGTATGTGTGCATGCGACAGCGGTATAAGCGATCGCAAGCTCGAAAGTCACAGTGGTAATAGCAGTGCTAGTAGTAGTACACTAGAAACGGTGTGTCCCTATGCTAATCTCTTTGTGCAGGTTAATGTGAAATTCTCTTTATAGAGCCTGTGTGTGTATATAGCACACACGTATAGAGCAGCAGCGAGCACTGTATACAAGGTTATACCACCGAAATCCGAAAGATTTGACCTCGATTAGTATCGAGTCGAAAATTTCGATGTTTACGCGCGTACGGCCCGCGCGCAGTGGTTTGTTGTTATACACACACACACACATACATACGTATATGTTGCATGATAATTACGTTTTAATAGTTGTACCAATTGGGCGTAATGTAGTTGTTTATGTTTATGCGCGTGCGAGCTCGCACGTATACGTATGTAAAAGTACGTTTGTCGAGTGCAAGTAACTTTTTTCAGCAAGTTTTTTTTTTAACGACGTTGACGCATGATGAAATTCATTTCGAACGTAAACGAAGTAAAGCCAAAACAAAACGCAAGAGGTACGGGGAAATCAGGTAAATCGAATGCAGTCGAGTGCAGTGTCTTCGTTGCGTCTCGATCGGAACTATATACATTCGAGATTATACCCGAGGCAAGAAAGCAGTGTATAGTACAGGATAATTAGTACGGATATCTGTAAATAGGCACGTATCAGTCAAAACTCATCGCCAAGCAATCGTCACACTCATACACAAAATTTCACTCGTGTGCCCCCAGCCGCGTTAATTATCATCTAATAAAAAAATCACGTTCTCGTTTGTAAGTCGAATCGTAACAATTTCTTCTTTTTTTTCGTTCTCGGGGGCTCGTTTATCTTATCCATTGTTTTCGGCTATTTTATTGGCTCGATACGGAGGATTGGCTCGGAAACAATATAGAATTCGAAAGTTGGGCCCGATAAAATCTCGGCGCGATCGCAATCATACTAATGTGTATTGTACACCGCACATCACGTACTCGTCAAATTTTTGGTCGCCATAATAACATTAGAAGCGTATTTTATATATTCGTGTTTATGATTGTAATGATATATTTACAGTCACGCGCGCTATCGTTACATTTTTTTTTATTTTTAAATATTTTTGCTTCTTAGTCACGTATACGTACTACGCGACTGTTAATGAGTAAATTACCGCGCTAAAATTACCCCGCGGTGTATGCACTCGGCGTGTGTTGGCACTGTGTATCACTTCAACCGCAAAATATGCCACACGGGGATCAGTCATTTTATTTTTAGGCACTTCTAGAACCACTGCAGGCGCTAAAGAGCTCGAGCGAGAGAAGCAAATGTATATAGTGCCAGCGTAATATTTTACTTTTGTTTAAGTATTTTAGGCACGCGAGTTTAGCGACGGAATTATGAATAATATTTTCTCAGGCGAAAAACTTCGTGAAAAAGAAAAGAGAAGAAAAAATATCACAATGATGCAATAAATGACAGATGTTGGTATATTTCCGTTTATTATTATCAGAGCAATAAATGAAATTCTTTTACATATGTGCATGCAATTGTTGCCAAACGAATGCACAAAATTGTACGTCGTTTGGATAACTTTTCATTGTAACTCGCGGAATACTTATCGATACAATCGTTCAGTAACTTTATCAACGATGACATCTCTATATACTACAAGCAAACAAACAAGATCTGGATTATTCACGGCTACTTTTATTATCTACGCGAGGAGAGTCGAGCCTACCGAAAGAATTTCGACCGATTATGATAAAGATTTTATACGGGTGCGTCTGGGCCGTCAATCGTATCCAAAAACGTTCACAATTACGCGCCCGAGATTATAAAAAAAAAGTTCCCCCCAGACAATTAGCGATAAGCTATGTGTACGCTAACAACAATTAAGTTGTCAAATCATAGACCCGTGTCGATTTCAAACTCCGGAAATCCCTCCCTACCAATTTCTCGCTCGCGAGCAGCAGTTTTTTTTCTGTATTATAAAAAGACAGATCGAAATTCGAACTTGAGCCACTACCGATTCATCCAGTGAATGACGAAGTGCTCGTTGTAATAGTATTAATTCATTTTCAAATACGTACCTATCGAGTACGAGCATTTTTTTTTTTTTTTTTTTTTCANTTTTTTTTTTTTTTTTTTTGTCAAGTGAACTTCACATTCGAGCTTCACATAGCTTCAAATCAATTTAAACGAGTTCGAGTTTCAAATAAATTACATATCGACGAATAAATAAAATTCAACTTCAGCTCGGCAAAATGAAGATCCGATTCGGGATTGGAGCTTTGGCGCTCCTGGTTTTAGGAGTCGTCGGCGATTCGGGCTGGTGGAAAACGATGTCGCTCTATCAAATCTATCCCAGAAGCTTCAAAGACAGCGACGGCGATGGAATTGGCGATATAAAAGGTTCGTACACTTTTGATTCACTTTACTTTTGGTACATGAATGAAGATCGAGCGAAATATGTCTGGATATCTTTTCACGAATTAATTCCCAAGTTCAAACGAACAATCGATTGGTATATATTTTTATCAAGATATATTTTTTGCATACACCTTTGTACAAATATGTACAGCAGTTGCAAATAAAACGAATATTTTAAGCTCGGTGTATTCAAATATTTGACTCGTTTCGGAGATTGATAATTTAGCTTCGTATCAAATGTTTTAATTAGAGATGAAATAATTTCTGCTCGCTTCGTATCGAACAAGTAATTCTCACTTCGAAGCCCTTGTCACGAATTTCCATTCAACGATACTTCGATAAACGGTTGAAATTTTTTTCCTTCCATGAAGCTCGGAAGTCTTCAATTTTATTTTTCAAGTCAATCAATCAAATTCAATGTCAAAGATATTTCAATTGACAAGGGTCGAAAAAAAGAAAATTATTCCCCCCGGTGAGTGACCGGTCAACTTCTCTCTCTCTCTCTATCTCTCTTTTTCTCTTCGACATTGCGCGCGGTAGAAATGCAAGATCGATAAAGCCAATGCACGAAAACGCGCCAATTGAAATTTCCCATCGTACTATATACTAGCTCGAAACTTTGAAGCAATCGTAGCAACCGTACGAGTGAAACAATCGCCTCCCCTTTTCCGCGAAGATAATATAACAAACGTTTGCTGGATTGACGCGCGGGGCGAACGATGATGGTTGGCGAGAGGCGAAATTTCAATTGTTTTATACACGTGTGTGTGTGTATGCAGGTCCGTGTGTAAGTCGGAGATTAATCGAGTATTCGCCAAACTGCTGCTACTATACCTACCTAATAGTCTCGGCGATCGCTGCAGTTGAATTTCGCATCATTAATTTCGCTATGCCGCAATGGTATAACAAGAGGAAGTTTTGAGAGCCGTACATTCGTAAAAGTGTATGAAGAAAAAAAAGGGACCACGCGAAACGTAGATTAATTCGAAATTCCGTCGAGCAAAATTGAGTTATCAGAAAAAATCCGCCCGACTGTGGATGAAGCGGCTGCAAGTAACATTTCTCTCTCTCTCTCTCTATCTGGGCTCTTTATTACGCGAGTGCAAACAGCTGCGCTGCTACGTACAATATGCTCGATTCACGAGGCAGAAGGAGAACAATAATATAATTCGCAACTCCGAGCTGTGTGGATTCTCCGCGCGCGTCCACCGGGTCAGCAGCACTTGAGCGCGTATATACACACACGTAAATTACATATAACAATAATGGTAACGCGTACGTTCGAGAGTATACATAATACAATATATGCAGAAATTCGGGCAAAAACAATCGAGTTGACGCTTTTTTTGTTTTCGTACAGTAAGCAGCGAAAACAGGTACAGATATAAGTTCGTGTGTATTGCAGATAGTACACGCACACACGTATCGTACCCGATATATATATATATATATGGCGTAATCGCCATAAGAGAGCAGTTCGGCGCGGTGAGACCACTAATATATGCGAGGGGTTGTCTTTGTAGAATACGTATATATACGCATACACACACGTGGTATGTGGCTACCGGAGCTGCACGAGAGAGAGAGAGGTGAGAGAGAGCTAGTTTGCTCACACACGATTAGAATTTCATCGGAAACCCAATGACCTGCAAAGCTCTCTCTCGCAAGCGCACCCCATATGCACACTGCACACATAGCACGCGCCGCGTGGAGTAGCAATACGCTATACAATACGCTCCAAAACACACACACGCACACAGAGATATATGTAGAGTTGGGTAAGCCCGCGTGTGCCATATATATAGTAGTGCCTTGTTTATCCGTCTTAGTTATACACGTTCGCGTGGTTCGCAGTGTATTGTATTGTATATACAGCGCGAGGAGCTGAGGGAGATGAGAGCAAATCGGATATGATGTCCATTACGGCGGTCCATCTAGTCTTACTCGAGCAGCTATAGCTGACATGAATTACGCAACGAATTCTTATTTTATGCCGTTAATAAATTGTTACGATTATAATTGTAAATATTGTTACCTCTGATGGAGAAATGAGTGACTTAGTTTCCTAATATAGTCAAAGACCGTGTCGAGCTTGCAGAAGCTGAGAAAATAATTTTCGAGGTCTGAGAGCGTACGAAGCGAGATGCCGTGTACAATTTATGCACGTGTTTGCTCTGTGCGTGAGTACACCAGCGCCGTGCGGCTGATTGAATTTTTGGGAAGCTGCGAGAGGCACTGCAAGCACGCTGGCTTCGGGCTATATTATTATTATTATATATTATTATATAACAGCAGCGCGGTAGCATTTCCGTAATGAAAATCAGCTTTTATTCCTATTTCGGCCACGAATATACGTATATTTTTCCTTCTTTTTTACTTTGATCGTTGAATTAATCCGTAATACGCGCAGGTATAATCAGTAAGCTGCAGCATCTCGTCGACTCGAAGATCGACGCGTTCTGGCTGTCGCCGATCTATCCCAGCCCCATGGTCGACTTCGGCTACGACGTGTCGGACTTCAAGGCGATCGATCCGATCTTCGGCACGATGGAGGACTTCGAGCTGCTGCTCGAGGAGTCGCACAGGCTCGGCCTCAAGCTCATCATGGACCTGGTGCCGAATCACAGCTCCGATCAGCACGACTGGTTCCGCAAGAGCGCCAAGAAGATCGAGCCCTACACGGATTACTACATCTGGCACGAGGGAAAAGTCGTCGACGGCGTCAGACGACCACCCAACAATTGGGTATGTATATCGACTATTTTATGAGCGCTTTGGAGCGAGATGTTTGAAAATGTCGTTGTTCATAGGTGAGCGTATTTCGTGGAAGCGCCTGGACTTGGAACGAGGAAAGGCAAGCCTATTACTTCCATCAGTTCGCAGCGGGACAGCCCGATTTGAACTTCCGCAACGAGCACGTCATCGAAGAGATGAAGGTATGATTTTTTCTCCCTAAACTCGATCAAATAGAAAAAATAACAACGATATAATCATAACGATTTATCATGTCTCACAGAACGTCATGAGATTCTGGCTCGACAAGGGAGTCGACGGTTTCCGCATCGACGCCGTGCCCCACCTAATGGAGGCGGAGCATCTGCGCGACGAGCCCGTGACGGGCACCGACCCGGAGAGCTTCGACTACACCGAGCACATCTACACCAAGAGCCTGCCCGAGACGTACGATCGGGTGGCCGAGTGGCGCGCCGTCCTCGACGAGTACAGCAGTCAAGAGGAGGATGGCCAGGACGAGCGCATGATGATGATCGAGGCCTACGACACGATCCCCCTCACGATGAAGTACTACGAGTACGGGGCCCACTTCCCCTTCAATTTCGGACTGATCGGCGACGTGGCGGCCTCGCCCACCGCCGAGGATTTCATGCACATCGTGGGCAACTGGAGCAACGCCCTGCCCGACAACGCCACCTCCAACTGGACTGTGAGTTTTCTCTCTTTCCTTTTTTTTTTTATTCGACTACTTTGCACTCTACACCCCCGCATGTATGTATGCCTCGCGTACACGAGTGCTCGAGACTTATGGAACGCGATTAGTCTCTCGCTCGCTCTCTTTCCTTCGTGTGATAATTCTCTTAATTAGAGGCACTTTCGAACACGCGCGAAAAAAAGGGTCGGAAGGGCCTTTGTGTCGACCCGCACCGAGAGAATTCACCTCTCTCGCGATCGCGTCTAGCCAGCAGCTTTTTCGACGTAATTTATTGCCAGAGATCGCGAGCGCTGCGAGTCCTACTTTTTTTTTTACTGGAATTTTTTTCCGCTTCTTTTGTCATTAAATTATGAATATATCGCTTTTGCATGTTAAATCGAGGCTGCGCGAGAACGCGACTAAAAATATGTGCATAGCGCCGTGCGTGTTTCGCGACATACACGCGAAAACGAAGGAAATCACATTCGTGCTTCTCCGAGATAACGTGTAATATCGTTTGTATTTTTTAATATTCACAGCCGGGCAATCACGACAAGCCTCGACTGGCCACGCGCTACGGTCGCGACTTCTCCAAAGCCGTGACGACGATGGTGCAGCTGCTGCCCGGCGTCGCGGTCACCTACTACGGCGACGAGATCGGCATGGAGGACACCTGGCTCAGCTGGGAGGAGACCCGCGATCCCCAGGGCTGCAACGCCGGCCGCGAGCACTACGAGGCCGCGTCCCGTGACCCCGCCAGGACGCCCTTCCAGTGGGACGACACGACCGCAGCTGGTAAGTGACGATTGCGTTTCGTAGCGTTGCTTGCACTGCGACTTTGGAGAGGGGATGATTTTGTTCAAACGTGAATTATGACGTTTTGTATCGACAGGATTCTCTTCGAACCCGAAAACGTGGCTACGCGTCAACGACAATTACAAGGAGGTGAATCTCGAGGCGGAAAAGGTAGCCGACTGGTCGCATTACAAGCTGTTCCTACGACTGGGCGAGCTGAGAAAATTGCCCGCCGTCTCCAACGGAACTCTCGAAACTTTCCTCCTCAGAGACCTGCGGAACGACCAAGCCGAAGAAACGATATTTGGCTTTTCCAGGTAATGATTGAACTCGAGTTATTTTATCGTCCAACTCATCATTAACCGAGCCTCAAATTGTTTCATGTTTCTCGTCCTCTCTCGCTAACGCAGAAATCTGGAAAACGAAAGCAGCGTTTACGTACTGTTGAATTTCGATTATCGCGAGGCCACGGTCGACTTGAGCGATTTTCCCGAGGCGGCGTACGTGAGGCAATTATTGAGCACCGATAAAAACGTCCCATCTAGGTGAGTACATAATAAAACACACACACACCCACATATTGGCAGAGAGAGCAGCATATTTTTAGATCGAGCATACACCCGTGTGTATTACACGCGAAACAAAGAGTACGGCGTGCAGCGCGAATGAAACAGAAAAAAAAAAGTAATCAATCCATTCGAGTTTGGATATACGTATTTTTCATTACATACGCGGCTCGCAGTTTATGGAAAAAGCGCCTTTGCTTCTCATAATCGGTATACACGCGCGCGTTGAGCCATCGGGGAATTTTTTCATTCCTATACGTATTTTGTATTATACACTTTTGCAGCAATTCTCTATATCTTTGCAGCAGCTCCGAATCCGATTAGCGCATACGTACATATATACGTGAGCTCGCGCTGCGCATCTCCATTTAAATAGTAATGTAACGTTCCTTCTCCACTTTATATCGACTTCGAGTCCGAGCGATAAAAACGAAGTTTTTTACGGCATTCAGCGCGAATGATTGTATGTTTATTTTAATATCCGGGCTGCGGAACAAGTTACTTTCGAACCGATACTCTTTACGATCCTTTTTTCAATTTAATGGCTATTAAAAAGTTACTATTAAAAATACTTTTTTCTTTGCCCCGATGAACGAGGACAAAATCTTTCAGAGAATTGTTTTACTTTCGACAACGATTCAATTAAAAATATCTCGAACTCTGCGAAAATAGATACATAATTGTGTGCATTTAAATTCACGAAATGTAATTTTAATATTATTATTTTATCATTCGCAGCGACGAGACGATGGAATCGAGAGCTCTCAGGATACCTGCGCGCGGCGCCGCTGTCTTTGTCGCCGCAGCCTCCGACCTCTAAGAGGTACGAAGTAGCTGGCGATAGAAATACAACGTGTATATAACGGTGGGAGATAAAACGTGTGTGTGTGCGCGCGCGTAAAGTTCACCGCGCGCACAAAGGCGTCGGCGGCGGCGGCGGCGGGTCTACTAACCGACCACCGAGCTACTACTATATACCGAGCAAAACGGAAAACATTGGGGATTACCAGCACCGGTGGTGACAGCAGCAGCAACGAAGAAAGCTCTGCCGTATATGTATCTGCACGCGCTGGAGCAGACGAAACCCTCTGTATAATTTACACGCCAAAAGAGAAATATCGTATCGGCCCGTAGTGTTCTGCGATCGTGTGTATCGCAAGTTTTCTCTCTACTGTTTCTCACTCTCTTTTCGCTCGCGACGAATGCGCTGCAAGCTCCATATAGCACTTTGATACGGTTCGGGCCTACGTACTCTCTGTCTGTCTGTAATCAGTCGTCGAACTTTTTCCATGCAACATAGTCAGCCGCGTACACGCGAAATCGTCGTGCTGCATCGAATGAAAGTGCAGCGCACAGGTTAACAACAGCAGCCAAAGAGAACAAGAGCGAGAGAGAAATCATACGCTCCAAGTATTTTTCGATGGTCACTTTGTGGTTGAAAGATTCGAATCACCCCCGCGCGCCCGAGGATGTGTCCTACATTTATATACGTATAGTCAAACACACACACACGATGTATCTGTAACTTTGTTGCTTGTTGTGGGCGATGAGTTATTTTATTTTTAGTTTTTAGTTGTATACTAGTTATAACGTAACCTGTATATTGTTGTATAAGTTAAAAATAGCCGAGCTATGTGTATTGTTTTGTTATTTATTATTTAAACGTTTTATCAATAAATAATTCACTTCGAGTGTATATCCAATCGACTTTCTCATTTCAATCCTTAATGAGTTTTAAAAACTCGAGAGAAGAAAATAATTACGTTATAGTTAATCGTTAACTCGATTGATATAAAGGCCCTGTGTATATATACATCCGCCGCTTCTTGCCAACTCTCTCAATCTCCTCCCCTTCCTATAGCTATATAGCTCATTCTATGTATATTGGTAAATGAGCCGGACTATCCTATCGCCGCCGTCGCCGCTGCTGCAGCGCGCGGATACTTGTCTCATTTTCATCGCAAGCTCCAGCGTGATATACAGTTATATACGTAACCGAGGTGCAGCTTGAAAAGACTGGGTCGTAAGCAATATTTGCAGCACAACGCCAAGGTATATCCGATCGAAAGTGTATAATATATAGATCCACTTGTATATAATTTCATTCGAGAGAGAAAATGAGTCTCCGGCTATAAAAGAAGAAAAAAAAACGCGTCGCGCGCAAGCTCGCAAGCTCTCTTCGTCTTTCTCTCGGGCTCGCGCGCGCGCCGTATCTCATAACTTGCGCGCATACCGTGAAGCATGGCTTTGAGCGCGAGAGAAAGAGAGTGGCGGAGACAGAGAGCTTTTAGTTTTAATTAAAGGAACTGTATAAGGCCAAAATAAGTATATATGAGAGATAATTGCCACGCATATTCCCCATATATATTTGAATGCGAATGTATGCGACGCACGGGAGGAATGCGTGCGTGCGCTCGGCACCCCGGCACTTTCTTAATTATCCTCAGCTCTTCTTCATTACTTGGATAAGAGAGACTGCAGAGAGACGTTGGCGTTATTTTTTTTCCTGATTTTTATATAGCTTCCTTTTAGATTGTGTATACGCTGATTCCGACGCGTCTTTTGAGTTGATGCAAGTACATCGATGAAAATGTCAAGGTATTATAATTATTGATCCGTAAAACAGAAGTTTAATCATCTTTTATGTAGGCATCAGAAATGCTAAACACAAAGATCGAATAAATCTGACGCTTCATTCTTTGTAGACATCACACACTTGTCATAATAATATTTGAATTATAAAACGACTAGCTTCTCATAAAACTAGTTCACACTGCCGATAAAAAAAATAGCAATAAAATTACGAGCGTAGCGCATAAAAATTGACCCGTCTGCCCATTCGTGTACGTCTACATTTATTACTACCCGACTTTTACAAGTACCTCGTGATCAAAATTACGCTCTAATCTCTTTTCGACACCATAAAAATTCCTAAACCACGAAAACAGCTACGTGACTTATTTCTTAGTGAAAACACGAGATAAGCAATTTGAAAATCTTCACTGTATATAATAACATTTGCAATCAGTGGTGCCTGTCAGTTAGTGCGTTATAATTGCGATCGGTTCATTGAAAAGTGAAGGCAATTTCGAATAATTAATCTCGCTTAAATACGCATACACAGTCGATCGGCGAGCTCGGGCGGGTTAAAGCCTTGTGTGCCGTTTGAGTGACGGATGGTAAATACTAAACGGCTCGTTGATTTATTTTTTTCAACTTTTCACTTTTCCCTCTCGTTGCGATTAGCGCGTAATCGCGATTCAACTCCAATGTTGCTATTTCAATCTTGTTAAATGTGCAACGCGCGTTTGTGAATAAAACAACGTGCTGCGCGTCCATCAATCGCTGCGCAGGAATGACGCGTACGGCGCGCCAGAGGGTCAGAGACGTCAACCCGCGTTGATTGCCCCAACCAGGGCGTCCAGTGCGCGCAAAACGGCCGGTATATATTTCATAACGTACACGAGCTCTAGGATCCCTGACACAAACGCGGTGGGCAAGCAAAGAAGGTTTATTAAATATGTTTAACTTGGGTATCGAAAAGGCTTTGTTATACGGCAGACTGACAAGTTTGAGATCCGCTTTTGCAACAAGCCGCAGCAACTAGGCAGTATAGCATAGGCAGTGCATCAGGCAAGCAGCAGCAGCGGCAGCACAGTTTGCTGCATCATTCAGGATCAAATATTAATTAAACAAGTTTCGAATCGCATTCACGTGTTCCATACGTACGCAGAGGCCGTACACACATACTACCGCTGTATGCAGTTCTCATTTGGATTCATGAACGTTTTGCGCGACGCATTGCGTCGATCGATGATGTTCGCCGCCATCACCGGGAAAACATAACGTTCGACTCTTAAGAGGGCGAGAGAGAGAGGCCACGCTTGCCGCTCGTGCTTTCATACAAAATATCCCCCGCGTGCGTATGAATGTGATCGTCGGAAAACTTATTTGAATCATGTGTCTGCGCGTACTTACTAGCAGCTTTGAATTGAATTGAAATTTTTGACGCGCCGACTCGTGCGTATAGTTGCAAATTATACAATACTCGGAAGATACTTCCTCGTACGATGCGATACATAATATTTTTTATAACAAAGAAAATGTACAATAATCGTTCGAGTGCGCGGCAGACGCAGCGATCGATAGCGCGAATTATATCTTATCCAGAGACTATAAAATGATTTTTCTTATTTCAACTTTAGTCCACGATCCGATGACATAATGAACGTAACGCAGTTATATACCCTTTTCTCCCCCCCCCCCCCCCCCCCAAANCTTTCCCCCCCCCCCTAAAATGTAAGTAATTGCGTTTTTGTCCCAATCTATTTTTTCTATGATTGAAAGAAATTGGAAACTTATTGCGTCAATTTGGAACCATCGAGTGGTCCAATTGCTTATCTCGTATTTTTTTAACTCAAGGAAGTAATAAGTCTTTAGCTAAAATTATGTTAGTGTTTAGTTAAAATTATGATGTATCATTAATTAGCTGTACAACAAACATTAAAAACTTGTATATGGCCGATTCTCTGTGAAATCGAATGGCCAAAAAAATTTTTTTTCTGCAAATATGAAAAACTTGCTGTTCCCGATGTCAGAAATGTCCCCAAATTTTATTAGAATTTTTGGGACCATCTATCACTCTTTTTCAGGGGCCCGAAGTTGGCCATTTTAGGGTTTTTTTGAAATTCATGAAAAATCACAAATATTAAAATAATTCCTGGATTAAAGTAGAATGATTCAAAAGTAAAAGTGCCCAGCAACTTTTTTGTTGGAAATTGTCCAAATTTTCAGAAAAAAAATATGCCAAAGTGATTGGAACAATCTAGGTAAATGTAAAGCAAAAAAACTGCAAAAAAAACATAAAACAAGAAATCTACTCGAGTTCGAACCGGACTTTCATTTCCTAAACTATGTAAAAAGCTTCCCAAAGATGTCAACTAATGCCTGATAAAGTTTTGTAATGGGTCTTAAAGTTTAACTCAATGTAGACAACAATGTGTGGTGAAAAACGTGCAAAAAAGGTCAAAAATGGGCCTAAAATGCCTAAAATCACCAAAAACAGCCATTTTCAGTCCTTTTTTGCAAGTTTTTCACCACACATTGTTGTCTACATTGACTTAAACTTTAAGGCCCATTACAAAACTTTATCAGGCAGTAGTTGACATCTTTGGGAAGCTTTTTACATAGTTTAGGAAATGAAAGTCCGGTTCGAACTCGAGTAGATTTCTTGTTTTATGTTTTTTTCTGCAGTTTTTTTGCTTTAGATTTACCTCGATTGTTCCAATCACTTTGGCATATTTTTTTTCTGAAAATTTGGACAATTTCCAACAAAAAAGTTGCTGGGCACTTTTACTTTTGAATCATTCTACTTTAATCCAGGAATTATTTTAATATTTGTGATTTTTCATGAATTTCAAAAAAACCCTAAAATGGCCAACTTCGGGCCCCTGAAAAAGAGTGATAGATGGTCCCAAAAATTCTAATAAAATTTGGGGACATTTCTGACATCGGGAACAGCAAGTTTTTCATATTTGCAGAAAAAAAATTTTTTTGGCCATTCGATTTCACAGAGAATCGGCCATATATTTTGACGAGTGATAATTTTTCCCAAGGTTCGAAAAATCGACCGAGGCGTTTCATTTTGGGGAGATCGCGTAAATATATTTTTGATAAATAAATATTTACATTTCAATAATGATTAATAACTCAAACAAAGGATATTGCTACGCGTTCTAAATCCAGTCTTAAGGTACACGCAAATAATCAGTGCGAACTCTGCATCGTAAATATCGCATGTGTCGTTACAAAAAATCATGCACGCCTTACATAAGAACCCGCGCACGAGTTCACCGCGGCAAAACATATTCATATACGAGCATCGAAAATTCTCCCGTATATACGTTGTTTTTCTCCATTCACATGCTATACAAATACACTTATATCTACGCGAATACGAGTGCAGCAACAGCAGCAGCAGCAGAGGCAGTCTTTCGGTTATTAGTGCGCGCGATTAGATTAGAAGCGCGACGCGCACATGCACCACTACCACCACCACACGCATAGAGCTGTCTAATACGCTGCTGCTGTCGCTCAGCTTTATATGTATATGCACAAAGTCCATCCGCGATCGTGCGCAAGGACACCTGCGTGCATGCGACGCGATTGTGACGCCGCGACGTCGCCGCAGTGTGCAGTGCATCGAGCTGCAGCTGCCACCGCTCTTTATAATATATAATATTTTTCTCCGCTGTATTTCCATTGTCGCGCGGTGTGTTGGCACGCGCGAGCACACGGATACACGCACACTCGCGTGGTATAGGAGCGCGCGCGCGATGAATCATTTTTAGCTTCCGTTGAAAGACATCGATTTGAAGGAAAAAAAATAATAGACAGGTTTTTCATTTATATGTTTGATTTTTTGTCATCTACTCGTGTGATTTGTTTGGATTTGTATAAAAGTTTATATGATTTTTGTGTTGACATAATATTAATACATAATCATTGCAAAAAAATTGCAGATTCCTGATTGAACGCGTTCACGAGACAGTTCGTCAAAGTTGTTTTTTTCTCCGAAGAAAAGAAAATTTCTACCGAAACATACGTAAGGTCGAAATCACGGCCTCTCATCGAGTGCGCGCATCGCTCGAGCGTAGCCACCACCAGCTGCATATATAGGCAACCGATTTTTCTCCTACGCTACCACCAGCTCTGTACATTATCCAAGAGCGCGCAGATAAGGTATCGCTCGCTGAAGAATTTTTTTCCCACGCAATTAACGAACGACGAGAGACTCTAGGCCTTAACACCTCAAACGTCTATATAAAGGTCTGGAAGCGGAGCCGCGAACGAGGCAGTGGCGGTGCGCTATCGAACGCGACGACGACGACGACCATGTTGACTCTCAGGCTGTGCGCGGCCGTGGCCCTTTTGCTCTGCTGCTGGGCCAATCTCGCTGGCGCCGTCATCAAGAACCCAGGATGGTGGAGGAACACGGTGTTTTATCAGATTTATCCGCGCAGTTTCATGGACTCGAACGACGACGGGATCGGAGATTTGAAGGGTGAGTCTCGAGGATGAGAATTTTCTTCGGATACGGATCTTTCGGAAAATATTTGTTTTTACGTAAAGTATTTTTTGAACTAGAAAAATTTTATTTCAATCGCAAGTAGAATAATATTTCATCTCAAAATTAGTTCGTAAAGGTCTCAAACACTAGTCGCGAACATTTTTTTATTCCTTTATTTTAATTCCTTCAATTGCAAAAATAATTGACGTTTTTCAATTATGAAGCAATTAACTTTGAAGAAGGAGCATAAGTGTACAGTGATGTACTAATTTTGTATAACGATTCTATTGTTTGGTATCGTTTCATAGAATATAAAAAATATATGCCACATAAATAAAATAATTATTGCACATTATTAAGTTACACTACCTGTAACCGGAAACTTTAAAATTTTCATCATTTACAAAATTTTAATCAAATATAAAGAGAAAAATTTTCGAGAATAAAGCACACATCTAGTATTTCACGATTTTCACGTAACGAATGTACCATTATTATGAATGACACACATTCAATCGTACATTTTTACGAGAAAAAACTTTTTGAAATAAAAATATTTAAAAAAATGCACGCGATAGTAATCGATATCGCGGCCGTAGATCGGAAGTGTTTGTATTTTAGAAAAAATGCATGATACAGCGAGCTAATCGATAATTATCTCTTATCAGAAATTTTTTTCACTCCTCAAGGGTAGAACATCGCTGCATTCGAGAAAATTGTCGCTATAAATATAGATTAAATAGCGGTAATAGTAATGGGCAATAATACTAATAAAAATTTATTGATTCCGTTGATAAAATGACTTCAATTTCGACGATTGAATTAATTGTATTATTCAATGAAAACTCATGTACGCGTTAAAAGAATGAAAACGCGAATCATCTGCACTTGTTGCTGTTTTCCACAGGTATTACCATGAAACTGCAGCACTTCAAAGATTCTGGAATAGGGGCCATATGGCTCTCGCCTATCTACGCCAGTCCAATGGTCGATTTCGGCTATGACATTTCGGACTTTCGCGACATCGAGCCGGATTACGGAACGATGAAAGATCTCGAGGAGCTGACGAAAAAAGCCAAGGAAATGGGCATCAAGGTTTTTTTATCGTTTTACTTTTACACGAATTACGTTGCGCTCGAAAATCTCAGCTTGTATTTTGATCGTGATAAAACTCACGTACGCAGGTCATTATGGATTTGGTGCCCAACCATACGTCCGATAAGCACGACTGGTTCGTCAAGAGTTTCAACGGGATCGGAAAATACAAGGATTACTACATTTGGCGAGGCAACGACTCGTCCAAATTGCCGAACAATTGGATCAGTGTTTTCAGCGGTCCCGCCTGGACCTACAACAAGACTCGCGGCATGCACTACTTCCATCAGTTCGAGTACAGGCAGCCCGATTTGAATTACGCTAATCCGGACGTTCGACAAGAAATGGAGGTGCGTCGAATGATTGTTTCTCTCTCTTCGTCTCTCGTTTGAAAAAAAAATTTCAAACTTCTTATTGTCGAAAAATTTACTTCCTTACAGGAAATCATCAGATTTTGGCTGAGCAAGGGAATCGACGGTTTCCGAGTCGACGCGATACCGCACGTTTACGAAAACGACGACCTGCTGGACGAGCCAAGATCGAACGATCCGAATGCCGGGCCGAGGGATTACGGCTATTTGAATCACATCTACACGAAGGACGACCAACGCAGCTACGATCTCATTCAGAGCTGGCGGAAAATCTTGGACGACTGGGCCCACGAGCGCGACGAAGACGAAAAGGTTCGCGCCTCGATTTTCTTCTTATCGCTTCCAAACTCGCCGGATCCGTCTCGAAGTAACGTTCGCAAAATTTATCCCGCAGGTTATCATGACCGAAGCCTACACGAGTTTGGTCAACACGACGAAATTTTACGACTACGGCTCGCACGTGCCGTTCAACTTCAACTTCATCATGAGCGTGAACAACAAATCAACGGCGGCCGAGTTCAAAAGCGTGATCGACGACTGGATGAGTCACACGCCGAAGCCTCACGGCGTCGCCAACTGGGTGGTAAGTAGTATACATACGATTTTGCGGTCGACGCGACAAATCAATTAAATATTTTTCGCCCCGCACCCACACAGATGGGCAATCACGATCGCAGCCGCACGGCGACTCGCTATCCCGGCCGCGCCGACCAGATGACGATGCTGGCCATGATACTGCCCGGCATCGCCGTCACTTACAACGGCGAGGAGATCGCCATGGAGGACAAGCTGGACATCAGCTGGGAGGAGACCATGGACCCGCAGGCCTGCAACACCGATCCCGAGCACTACAAGTCGCGCACGCGCGATCCCAACAGGACGCCCTTCCAGTGGGACAATAGCACCAATGCAGGTAATTGTTGGGTTAAATTTGTTTTTTTTTCATCGTCCCTACCTTTGATAAGGGTCTGATAATCTTAAAGAGACTATTTAAAATACATTACTATTGATTGGCTTGCTTTTAGCGATTTTTCTATTACAATTATGTTTATTAAAATAATAAGTATTTAACTAGTTTGTATACATTCATTTTACTTCGAGCCTGCCCCACTAGATGGCGAGTACCTTTACTTGTAAATCTGCAAGTGGCAAAGTAACAATAATTGTATACAAGTCAAAACGCATCGTATACTAGCTAAAATCACGATTTAATATGTGTTGATATATAGGCTTCAGCAAAGCCAATACTACGTGGCTGCCGGTACACGAAAACTATCCGCATTTGAACCTCGATCTGCAAAAGAAAGATTACGGATCCCACTACTGGCTCTACAAGAATTTGACGAGCCTGAGAGCTAGCTCGGACACGCTGAAGCACGGCGAACTGATGACCGAGGTATTGAACAACGGCAAAGCGTTGGCCGTCGTCCGTAAAAATGTCGAGAGCCCGGAAAGGATCATACTCGTGATCAACTTCTTGGACGCGGAGTCGCAAGAAGTCGACGTTTCTAAATTTACGAACGGAGAGCGAGAATTCGACGTCATCCTGTCTAGCCAAGGATCGGGAGCTACCGGGTATGACATTTCTTCGTCGAAACTTTTGACCTAATGCGATCTCCGAATGTTCATGCGATTGTCGTTTTTTTTAGAACCAAAACGCCAACGAACAAGGTGAAACTTCAGGCCAAGGCATCGGTGATTCTCAGAGGCAACGACGCGCCCAGCTTCGCAGTGATTTCCAATTTACTGATCATTTTCGGCATATTCGCGAACAAATTGTACTCGATGTAAATTTGCGAGTGGAGTGATTTGGTCGAATCATTTAAAAAAAAAACATCACTAGAGACAAAGTATTCCGAGTTTACGTTTAACATATAGCGTATTAGAAATTTCATAATCTATTCAAATTATTCATTATTATATACTATTGTATTATGAAAGAAAAGTTTTACAACGGTCGACTGTACATAAATCCGAAGAGAGCTTTGTGTAAGCGCGAAACTTTAATGCAAGTTATATAAATTTTTTTTATGTTTGTAAAACATCTAAGTAATATAATAAAAACATCCATAAAACAAACTCGACGTAAAAAAAAAAAAATTAAGTTGTAAAACTATAAGATTATAAAATTATCAGATTTACTCAAGTATTTCAAGTGATTGATCGAGAAGCTAAATAAGTCAACGCATAGGTTGGACAGATGCGAGACTAGAGTGACCTTGAAAAAATATTGCGAACGTCTTTATTTTATGCATTTATTGTTAATGATGTTGTCTATCGTTTTTACTATCACATAAAGCTTAATCTAATCACAGTTCACATACCATCTCATCGTTCAGTTCAGTTCGTCACTGTCGTAAAACATTGACTCAAATGTGCACCATCAAGTCTATGGCATTTTTTTTATTGGATCCACGCATGATCTCATCGATCATAATTTTGCATCAAACTTACCTAGAACAAACAAAAAATGACTCATTAGTTTCAGCATAATCTTCGAATAATCTTTTTAATATGTTTAATAATCCTTACATAAATACCATAAAAACAGTAATGCTAATTACAGTCATGCTCGACATGCTTGAAATTTACTTTCATGAGATTATTCACTTGCATACACCATCAAACTTTCAACCTTATTACACCCTCTTTGAGAGTCCGAGCAACTGCACTGCGGAAAAAAAATACTTTCCCCCAAGAATAAGTTTCGAGAGTATATCAATAATTTCATCAAATTATTCAATCGGCGAGTTATGCGCCTTTTAAACTCGATCAGCATAATTCGATATCCTTTCAAAGTGCAGCTCTCTCCTCGTAATTCCGAGCTATATACATGCCTTTCATAATCAATTTTACTTTGATTCGCGGCGGTATAATAGTTTAATTGTTCGCAACGAAGTATATAGGACTCGACAAAGAAAAAAAAATGGAGTAATTATACCCATAAACCGTATGTACAAATTAATTAAAACCGATTGCGAGCTCTTGCGAGCGATCCGAAATTTAGAGAAGTACGCGCGGCTGGTTGGTTGGTTGGCTGCGGGTCTCTCTCTCGCTGCATCCGTAAGGAAACTCCGCGCGCATATTATATAACGCGCGAGCGAGAGAGAGAGCTCGACATACGTTGTATTATTCTCCGAACTCGTAAGCGGATTGAAATGACGTAATCGACTGGCTCCCCCTTTGTCACGTATACACACCGGGTAGGTAGGTATACATATCTGTATATTCCGTACCGTATACGTACGTACGTATGCGCGCGTATATACACGTATGGGGGACAGAGCGAAAGTTTGCTGCCTGCGACGACTTGATCTTGCGCGAGCTTCCAAACTTCGCTCGAATGTTATTGAACTTATAATATTTGACATGTTCACTCGTTAATTGAATGCATATTCCGAATTGGAATTTGCAGTGCGCTTCGAAGCTTTAAGCTTTATATTCGTAAAAATAATATTTTTTTCGGCGTGTAGAACTCGGAAAGCCGACGAAAATTCTTCAAGTTTTTGAGATAAAAGCTCGATGGAGTGAAAAAAATATATATTCCTTTCCGATACCTTTCGAATATTCGAACAACATATAGCTGGGATACAAATAGATTCAATCTTGCGTCGTAAAAAGCATGTTTACTTTCGTTCATTTACGAGGCTCATAATTGAATTTTCCGTCCGTATGTATTTTTTTTTTAAAACTCATTAAACTAGGCGCTGACACTTGCGAATATACATAACCCGATACGAAATGTGGGTTAGAGTTACTCGTCGCGGGTGCCTAATATTGATTAAAGTATTAAATATTTCAAGGGACCGCTTCTGCGAGTTATAATCTCTGCCCTGGCCGTGCAGCGTGTTGTGGCTTATATATACCTCGGGCAGAGGGCAGAATTTTTTTAAAAGTAACTTGTGTATATGTATACGTTTGACCGCCCATATATAAATATCGATTCCTCGAGAGCCATGCCCAAAGAAAAAACGCAATACGTCGCAGAGAGAAGCTCTCTCTCTCTCTTTCTCTCTTTCTCTCTGCCGAAGCATGTCATCAACTTATTGATTTTCGATGCAATCTCATAACAAAACTCATAGAGATTCTCCCATTGTATAGCATTTTTGTGCATCCATATCGGCAGAATGGGAAGGAAAAATATTCCTGCGAACAGTGAAATTCGAGAGCGCGCAAATACAACGAAAATGTTATAAAATTGTTTGCCATTCACGTTTGGATAATCACGAATAGTTCGAATATCTCCTATTATTATTTTTTAAACGCGCGGAAAAGCTCCTTCTCCCACGGAGCTCGAAAAGCTTCGGATCGTGTATATACACAGCGAACAAATTCAGGGAGAAATATCGCATCCCCGCGCGGCAATCCTCATTATATCTTCAAAGCCATTTAATTATATAAAAACATCGAGCGTCGAGCTTGCAGCTCGTATATAAAAAAAATTACCAATTCGTCGAGTGCGCGTCGCAGCCACTCGATCAAAATTTCCATTCGATGAGTCCTCGAGAGTTTCGCGCGCGAGTTATGCTTTCCGCTCGGCTATATAGCAGCTTGTATAACGGAATCGACCTTTAACCACGAGGATCGCGTCGCAATCTTTTTCCGCCTCATGAATTTATCTCATTTTTTTCCTCCTGCGTCCCAGCTGCTGCTGCTGTGGTGCTCTTTTACCGCGCGCCCAGACCGCGCCCGATATTGTTACCCCGGTTCGACGCTGCACTATACGATGTACACGCCGCAACTTTCACGAGCCGCGCATCCGATATTTTTCATCCCCGTGGCCCCCGACGTCGACCGACTGAATATTGGGCGCTGCAGGGAGGTTAACTTTCGACCCCCTTTTTTATTGCGTTTCCGGTATTAATACCGCGAGCGCTTATCAAAGTGATACAGGTGTGCATCAACGCGCGCTAAGTTCTGCGCACGATCGATTCGCTCAATTAAAGCTCGCCCTTTGAGCTTTTTTTTTGTCATCGCTGACGTACTATTTATAACGGGGAAAAAAGAGGTTTCCGTGCTATAATGAGTTTACGGCTCGTAATATCCGATCCTGACTCGCGGAGATTAAATGCACCTACGGATACTTTTGATATGTACATCGTAGCGCGCAGTACGTTACAACGCGACCCCCACCCACGCGTTTCGTCTTCGCTTGTATACGACGTTGTACCATATATACGTTACACGTGGTACATGTACACGCACTTCTTGACGCACGCAGAAAACTCGAATGTAAGGGCGCGCGCGCGTCTTTATTATGCGTTATAAAGGTCGAGCAAGCAACGCATGAACAGCAGCAACAGCAGCAGCATCGCCGCGTCGTCAATGACTCGTAACTATAAAAACAGAAAGCGATACCCATGCAAAACTGCGTATAACAACTTTCTGGGGGGGAAGGGCGCAGGGGGTTCGGGCGAGCCATTAAAGCCAGCTATTTTATTAATACTTAATTTTTTTTTTCTTCTTTTTCTCTTTATATCATTGTAGGTACATCGTTGCGCTCGATGTACGCGCGCGCGCGCAGCGACGTAGTTTACTGGCACGATACACGCACTACGCGGAAGCTCAGGACAGATCTCGCGAGTCCGTGTGTAGTAGTAACGCGTGTTTATATGGAGAGCTTTCATTTAGCATCGGAAAGGCCGCCGCCGCCGCCGCCATGGATCGATAAACGAGGAGAGATGTGCTCGGCAACGTGGGCAAAAAGTTATATTCGGGTATACGTTTTTTACGGTAGCAACAGTTGCGATGATAATGTGCGCGCGGAAGGATATAATACGTTGTACTATATATATCGCGTTGGGAACACGTATACGCTGTTATTTTCTTTTTTGTTGCCTCCTCCTCCTCCTGAATGGGGTATCATTGATCGCGCGCCGCGACGGCAATTCTCTCGCTTTTAAATTGTCATCGATCTATCTTTTCGACTGTAAAACTTCCGCCGCGCTCGTCGAGAGCTAATGCGATATTCTGGCGCTTATAAAAAAAAAAAGAGAAAAAAGAGTTATTCATTCGGGTGCGGAGGGATTTTATAACCCGCATCGAGCTCGGCTAAATAGTTTTTCGACAAATTCGAGTGCTCTCCGCGCTGTCGGTCTAAATTACTTTCCAATTATATAATATATCTTTGCGTGATCGAATCGTCGTTAACGCGTGCGTGCGTGTATGTGTATGCAATCTTTTCTCGCGATCTGCACCTTTAAAATCTATCGATCGAGATTCTATACTTGAATATGAGAAACGTTAAAGTGCGCTGTAACGAAAACTCAATGCAAAATAAAATTATCGAAAGCTTCGAGACTCGAGCGACTGGATGTATACACTGGAGGGCGCTTTGAGAGCGCCTCGCTGCACAGTATACTACGTATACTGTATATATGTAAGGTGCAAACATTAAAGATCTTTCATAGAAACGTTTTCATCGGTTGGCAAGGCGCAAGCAAGACTTTGAATATAAAGCTCGTAATCGAAGCCTTTTGAGCTTTGTGCGCGCGCGCGCGGGTTAACGTAACTTCTTTGATCTCGCGAGCGAAAAATGTCGAGCTTCATCAATATTTAATATTTTTTCTTCATCTTAGTGAAAAAAAAAATATTATTTATCGTGAAAGCTTCGGCGAGAGCTAATAAGTATATACACGAAACGAAGAGGTAATGTTTTTTAATCAACTGAAATGAAATATCTCTCTAGCTCTTCGGTCACAAATTATGCAGCAACGAGCTTTTTCTTAATTTGTATACGAGGTCGACTCCGAGAGTTTGCTCTTTAAAAACAATTATCGAGCGATTCATCGAATAAACAAATAATTATCTTCCACTCGAGTCGCTATAAAAATAAAAACGAGCGAAGAACGCTGCGCACGTGCAACCCAACTGCCACCGGCCGTTCCGACTGACTCGCATATCGGTCAATTTGCACACTGCGAATATACTTAATTCATCTCGCGCAAAGCCCGCGTATAGCAATCGGTAAGTATACATCTTCCTGTTGAAGTCGCATTTAATGCGAGAAGTATACGTACGCATTTAAATGTAAGAAAGAAAAAAAGCGGAGAGAAAGTAAGTAGCACCGTAAAGTGGGA